TCCAGACGTTCAAAATATTCACGTTCCTCTGTTTGTCAATTGCCCAATGAATAAACGCAAGATTTGTTGGAATATAACAAATGAAAAAACAAGCAACAAGAATAAGACATGTTGAAATGGATTTGAAATTCAATTTGTTTCTTCTGGGAAAATAACCATTATCACTTAATGAAGAAGAATTATTTCGACTGTACTTCTTTGCGATTAGATGTAGCTTGATGTTTAGGTACAGAATAGGAACAAAAAAGAGAAAGAAAGACAAAGTGAATACCGGAATAAGCCATTGAAATAAATACATCAAGAACATAATAAAGAAAAAGAACAGAAGAACAAAGTATAATTTTACCAAGAGTGCTTTTGTAATCTTTGTGTGGTGAAATATTGGATGGTAAAGTCCAATATATCTTTCAATACTAATAAGCAACAAAGTAGCTCCTGAACAGAAAACAAACACTTCCATAAAACGAGCAACAAGACGAACATTGTAGAGTGAACCTTTTTCATAAATCTATAACGTCAATTCTAAGATTAAAGCTGGAGTATTTGTAGCTACTGTAAGCAAGTCAAAGGAAGATAATAAGCCAATCGTAAAATGACAAATTTTCTTTCGAAGTTGTGATGACTTTAGATAACAAAAAACCACCAATGAGTTCAACAACAATCCAGAAAACAGGACAAATACATTCATTACAAGCAGAAATATCAGTTGTACGAGGACGTGGAGATCCATTTTTCGTTATTCAAGAGATTAAGGGAGCAGCTACCTCTTGAACAGATGTGCGCGTATTGTATTTCTCAACATAAATTACTCATTGTTGTTTATATACATTATTAAATATTTAAATACGAGTATCTAAAACAATATTCTGAAATGAAGAATATTTATCAAAGTTCATTTTTTGATTGGGCTCTTGCTTTTCTTTAACCAAAAAAATTGGATACATACTTATGATCTTTTCTCAAATTACTTCTCTCTAGTTGCTTTGTGATTTTTAAGTGATGTGTTTTTAGTAAGTTTTTAAAATTTGATAAATACTTAACCCTTCGATATGTACAGAAATTTTCTTTTAATTTTTGCAAAAAATTGAGTCATCTTTGCAAATTCAGAATAGGAAAAAGAAAGAGATGCAATTTCATTAACATTGTCTTTGTTTTTCTATGCTGAAACTTTGAGCGCAAAGCCAAGATGCAGAACAGAATACTCCCGCCTTTAAATTCATCGTTCTTGCCACGGCATCACGTATATTTGGTATTCAATAATGCAAGCGTTTATGAATAAAATATTAACTGTCGTAGAAAGTTTCTGCATGTATTTTAAAGCAATGATTTTTGTTTCTTTGATAAAAACCATTAGTACTTTTATATTTTTCCTATGATAAAGAAATTTTGAAATCTTTGAAACAATATTATATTTCAGTTATTGCACAGTTCAAATCGTATTCTTTTCTCCTATAAGATATTTTTTGAACGTTCAGAAAACTCATTAGTACTTAATGGCAACTTGGTGGACAACGACAGACTTTTCCTAAGTTATTTCTATAATTGTTGCTTATATTATCTAGTTCTTATATACAAGAACTATTTGAATCATGTTTAATGAGAACTTAGTGTTACTGCCTGCACTGACGCAGATGTTTCCATATATTTGCAACGTAAATGATACATTTATGTACGCACATCATCGTATCAGTAAAACAATTGTTAAGCAGTAAATAATTAAATCAAAAGCTCATTTGTTACTCATTCATCCGAAAAAAGAAAAATTATGTTAAACTTTCCTTGACCATTTTTTTGCCACTAAAAAGTGAAGACATAAAAAACTCTTTAAATGGATTTTGTGTCTATGATGATTTTTGAATTTTTTTTTTCTTACCATAGCATTTCTTTGTGTTGTAAAATTGAAATAATCTGTAAGCTAACTTTGCAATTTATTTTGTATAATTTGTAGGTTATCTTAGCTTTCTATCATGACTGCATGTGTTGGAAAGTCAACACACCAAATATTTTAGCCAACCAGCACTTATGCTTAATTTGACTTTGTTCCAAAGCCATCGTGATAGTTACATAAATTATCAAAAACTTTGCCTCTCTTTTGCCTAAATATATATTCTATTAGTTATATTGACTAAAATTCGTCATTAGATAAGTTAAAGGTACCACTTTCTGAAAAATAAATTCCGCTAAAGAAATTTGTTTATCATCATCTACTATAATTGGCAATATAATATTTACTATATAAATGCAATTAGTATTCTTTTCATGTGATTATGATTTCGATGCTCTTCAATTTCTTGAAACAGTGGATTCTTTTTAATATACGTTTTTACAAATTTTGAAATGTTTTCTAGAAGTAGCAGATATATAGGGTGGGTCAAAATAAAATATAGAAGCTCATCTTCAATTCGAAAGACTTTTTTAACAACGCTGCTGGTTAAAAATTTCTAAAGAACATTTGACACTAAAATACTCTCAATAGGATTTGCTCCAAAGTATGTTAAAATGGAAATATATTTTTAGTAATGCATTTTGACCACCTCTTGACTCATTAATGTTTTCTACATCTTTTCTAGACAAGATAAAATCTTCGCTCGGGGTCATGTAATTGAACAGCCAAAAGTGCTTTTATGACCACATAAAGACTGGTGACAAATACTTTTAAGTATACGAAACATTTCTAACGAACAACACAAAACTGATTTAAGAAAACGTGGTGTAATATATAGCTACTAATAACTACTTTAATAGAAAAATATGAAGGAAAAATTATTTTTAAAAACAATGCAGTAAGAAAATAATGATTTTCTTATTAATATGCTATGCTATTATGTCACAAAAACTTCTTTTAGTAAAGAATAACTTTTGTTAAGTTTATATAAGTTAAAAATTTTTTTAAATGTTTATTTACGTTTAAAATAATAATTAATGAAAAAAATATATTTCAGAGGAGAAATTTTAACAATATTGTCCTCCGTTTACAAATGGATGTCGACATCTTGTTACAATTGATTATAATGTTGGTGCTAAATGTAATAATCTCGTTTGGGGGTCTAATTTTAAATTTTATGGTGGTTTTATCTTGGTTAAAATCATCGCAACTCCAAAAGAAAGTTTTTCACTTCACAATTTGTTCATCCTGCGTCGACCTGCTGACGGTAGCTATAAATACTCCAGTTTCGATGTTAGAATTGACATTCTGGATTGGTGAAAACGAATCACTATCTAAAGTGCGGTTTATAGCAATTTATTCTAGTGTATTTCTCATCATCTCTTGTTTTACTCGTTTGCTCATTATCTTTCAACGATATCTGGCAATTTGTCGTCCAATATTTCACCATAAAAAAGTAACAAAGCCTTTCCTCATTAAATTGCATTTCTTTTTACTTTTCATATCCAGCATTCTGTTTCTGCTTTGTTTTACTGGACATTATGGATATATAGCAGCAAAAATTCTTTTTTCATTACTGTTTATTTTCCATTTCTACTTGTTAACACTAAGCTTCACATTATCGCAAAAAAATCGATAATGTGCTGCTTAAATCGACATTTTCTAATCGCCGAAAGAACGCTTTAATATCAGAATATCATGGTCAGCTTTCAAAAAAGAGAAGTTTTTCTACAAAATCCATATCAAAATGTCTTCTGCTAGTTGCTTGTATCTTGATTTGTAGTATTCCAAACACTTTTTGGATTATATTCTTGGTACTTCAAAAAAAGAGTGCACTGCAGCTAGCCATAATATGGGTTAAAACACTTTGTTGTTTGAACAGTACAAGAAATTGTATCATCATATTTTGGTGAAACAAGAACCTTCGTGATGAGGCGACAAAGATATTGAAACAACTAAGCAAAGCAAAGACTTCATTTTGATCTATAACTATTGCAAGAATAACAAAGCAAAAAGGGAGCAATGATGTGTTTTTGCCATAAATGCTGTCATAAAAAAAGCAAAATCAATATTTTAAATGTATTAAAATATTTTTTTTAATTAAAGTTAGTTATAGTTTTATGCATGAATGATAGTTACTGGCGTATAAAGTCCAGCTACTTGATGTCTCAAAAGCCTTTTAAACTTTTACAAGATAATAAATTATTAAAGAACTACCAGTATAAAAAGTTTGTGATTATGTATTGTACTATAGAAGTCGTCTCTAAATTGTTTTCACTTCATTTTGGTTTGTAATATTCAATAAAGCAAAGAAGTAACGGCATCACTGAAGTAACAGGGCTAGTTGATTGATATTTTATTTTTCATTGTATCAATAAAAAACTTTAAATCCCCTTATGTCTTGTTCGTGCGAGATAACTACACGCAAACTTTTATTTGAATATGCTTTAACTTGTCAGTATAGGAATACACACCTTTTAGAAGGCATTAATAATAATGTGTTTTCAGAGCATTAGACATGTTCAACATCTCATCTTTTGAGTAAAATAAACAATGTCAAAAATTTCACCCAGTTATAAATGAAGTAACTGTATACATAAGCCGTTCACATAATAAGTTACCTATAGTTACAAATAGACTTTCTAAAATTTGATGAAATTTTATTAAATAATTTTCAGTACATCAATAATACATAAGAATTATTTTAATTATATGAGTTGATAAGTTACTTTACTGCATTCCTGAAATTAGCAACATACGGAAAGTTTGACTCATATAGAGCTACTGCAAAATATTTTATTTCAGTCTTCAAATTTTCTACAGATACACGCAATTTTACAATAGCTAATAACAGACCTTCACATTTTTTTGGTGCTTGCCAATCAGTAGCGTATCCAACGTTCGTCAAAATAAATTATAGCTGATCAACTTTAGATTCAAAGTACTTTCCAAAAAAACACTATTGTTTTCAATTTCCACTAAAGAATATAATTTCAACAATGAGCTTGTCTCGAATGGTTTTAAAATTTCAAATATATTCTAAAATGTGCTTCAGTAATTTATCTCGACGTAAGACAGAAGATTCATTTATGTTAAAGAGAGAAGTCGTGTTAAGTTCGTTCTCTTTCTATTGAACATTATATAATGAGCACAATAGCTTATTTACCATGGTATCAAAGATATCGCAAAATAATTCTGCGAATTTGCACAGAAACAAATACGTTCACACGTTTCTTTATGTTGTGAAAATTGTTTTCTTAATTAAAATTGTCTTTCTAATAATTAAAAAAATTATGTAGTTGTTTTTTTGGATGTTAAATACAAGCTGTGATGGAAAGACAATCTACCATAGTGTCTTTCTACACACTTCAACAGATTTGAGAAGACATTGCTTACATGGAGTAGAACATGGGCACGATAATGTAAGCGCATTGTACGAAAGGTCTTGCAAAAACTTTCATTTTGAAAAGTTAGTAAATTCATCTGCAAATTAAAGGCAGTATAGCAGTAAGTAATCAACAAGAGTGAAAGACTCTATTTGTTTTTTTCAAGGGCAACTTCAATAACTCGCCATGGACATAGTCAAAACCTATGAGCAACCTAAAGAAAGTTGTTGATCTATACTTAATTATACACTACACATTTCTATGTAAACCACATTTTGGCCATTTCGTGCTTCCATTACATACCGTGTTTGTTCATTAAAATTTTAAATTACTTTAATAAATATAGCATTAAAGTTATCTTACGATCCTTTTTACAGTATCAAAAGCCACGCTTAAGCGATCATGGCTGGTCTTTTCTGTCCAATGTATTGATATTCAGTTTCATACATTTTAGGAACAATATATATTTCTTCTTTTCCTGCTTCTGTAATACATAAAAAAAATTTTTTTCAATATCTTTCAGGTATGAAGTGATGTTAAATCCACATCTACTTTTACATTAACGTTTATATAGATTTACATTATTATGTACATCCTTATAAAGAAAAATAAAAGACTAACTAGTTCAGTTCATGAATCTAAGTAGTATTTCAAGTTAAAAATCAGCAGAAAATTCAAATTTAGCAGAAATATACCACTTTACCTCGTCTGTGTAATGGTTTAGGAAGTGAGCTGCCGAGCAACTCGTTTTTCTTCCTGTCTCGTGGATCCAAGAAATTGGAGCGAATTTCAGTTGTCATACTGTTGAATATTGAAGAGGAATTGTTTGTAAATACATGACTTTTGAAGTACAGATAAAGTAAATTACTAGTTATTTTGTATGAATATGGCTTTTGAAAAAATTTAGACGTGGGCGATTTAACGCGAACTACTAAATTTGTCCGTTAACCTTATAAAAGAAATAGAATATGTTGTACTTTAAAAGAAAATTATTTGACTGAAACAATACAATGCAGAAATAACAAAAAATGTAGCCATCTGTGTACTTAATCATGCTAAAATATACATAATTTATCGACTATAAGTTACTGAGAATAAAAATGACGATCACTAAGATTGCAAGCATAAAATTAAAGAATTCATCTACTACCTAGAAGGCACATGTTTTAAAGGCTGTGGAAATGGGGGAATAGTTGTTGCTGAAGGAAACACAGTCACATCTCTCATTGGTCGATCATCTCTGGGAACGGAGTGGCGAGGAAGTGGGTTTTCTTTTGATCCATGTCCCCATGCTTTAGGATACTCTTCGCATTCCCAGATTGTCGCATAATTTTTCTTTGGATATCCGTTCAGTTCTTCCCTTTACATAATTCAGAAAGAAGAGAAAGTTGGTTGAAAGCCAGTAATTTACATTATAAAATAACATATGCAAAAAGGCGTGCTCTAATTGGTCGATGCCCGTTTTGGATGGCCTGATCTAAACACGTAAATCGCAATTACTGTCGTGAGGAGTTTGTACATGCTGGAAAACAAAGATGATTTTTTGCCAAAATTGACTTCGAATGCATTTCATCAAACCAACATTGGGAATTTTTCTAAACTTTTGCAGTCAATAAACTCGTGTAAGTCTACGTTTTAGTGTTTTTCACTTTGATGTTTACTAACTTTTACATCTTCGATGACTTGGGAGAACATACGTAGCCTTCATATTTGATATTCCCGCTAATATACGACACTACACGCGCGCTTTTCTTAACACTCGCTTGATTCCCGCGCGTTTGGATGAGGCCATTCAAACGCAAAAACCGCTTAGTAATTGTTTAATAATTGATACACCACAATCACTTGTAAATGATAAATGAATAACTTTATTCAAACACGTTGAACCCGTCAATCGAAGCTATTTTAAAAGGAGGGCGTGTGCAGATCATACACGTGGAAGATAGTAGGAAGATAGTAGGATATACGTGGAAGATAGTAGGATTATACACGTGGAAGATAGTAGGATTATACACGTAGGATTATACACGTGGAGGATCATACACGTGGAAGATAGTAGGATACACGTGAAAGATAGTAGGATTATACACGTGGAAGATAGTAGGATTATACACGTAGGATTATACACGTGGAGGATCATACACGTGGAAGATAGTAGGATACACGTGAAAGATAGTAGGATTATACACGTGGAAGATAGTAGGATTATACACGTAGGATTATACACGTGGAGGATCATACACGTGGAAGATAGTAGGAAGATAGTAGGATTCACGTGGAAGATAGTAGGATTATACACGTGGAAGATAGTAGGATTATACACGTGGAAGATAGTAGGATTATACACGTGGAAGATAGTAGGATTATACACGTAGGATTATACACGTGGAGGATCATACACGTGGAAGATAGTAGGAAGATAGTAGGATACACGTGGAAGATAGTAGGATTATACACGTGGAGGATCATACACGTGGAAGATAGTAGGATTATACACGTGGAAGATAGTAGGATTATACACGTGGAGGATCATACACGTGGAAGATAGTAGGATTATACACGTGGAAGATAGTAGGATTATACACGTGGAGGATCATACACGTGGAAGATAGTAGGATTATTTACAAAAATAAAGTATAAAAATACAATTCAAAATAATGAAAGGCCTCTTACTCGTTAAAGGCTCGATGATCATGTTGTGTAGTCGTGAGATACATATCACCATGGTACGAGAGAATACCGCGATCCTTAGGGTCGAAAACATGACCTGATACATCCATGTTTTGAGTAGATCTCACAAGGCTCTACATAAAACACAGTCACCAAATCCATAGATCAAACAATAAAATATGCTACTAATTAGTAATGTTGTATTACATATGCAGGCAATGATGATTTTTACCAGAGCTATTTTAAATTCCCAAATTTCTTCATAGCATCCAAAAAATTATTTTGGGCATGTAAAAGAAAACCTTTTGTTTTTTTATTGTTGGCGAATGTTGTACTCACAAATGAGATAAATATTCAATTTTTTTCAACACAACTCAATTTTTATGGGGTGTTGCAATAATTAGACGAGTATTTTCGAATCCTTTTTTGTTTCTGTGACTACAAATTTACAATAATGGAAATCCCGTGGCCGTTTACCAGTATGGCAGTCAAACTACGATGAATGCAGTGGACCAAGCTAAAAAACAGTTCGATGGAAAATTTGATAAAAATTTTTATCATTCATCTATTCAACATCGATGGGAGTATAAAATAGGTCCACTTCACTGTGCAACTAACTGTTGTATATTTTGTTCGATTACAGTCTGCCGTTAGTCGTTTCATCATTCCTATTGGTCAAAAAAGCAATTGACTGGCTGCCACTATGGTAATCACATGCGCAATAAGATACGCATTGCATGAATGGTGTTGCCGTTAGTCGTTTCATCATTGCTATTGGCCAAAAAAAGTAATTGACTGGCTGCCACTATGGTAATCGCATGAGTAATAAGATATGCGTGGCACGAATGGTGAGGCTCTACTTTGTATTCACCATATTGTGGTTGTACCTTGCATGGTCCATTTAAATGGTGATCATGTAATACTGATGGCTGAAATCTTCTATCGAATTTTGTTTCCAAGGTGACCTCAGGTTCTCCTTTGTATTTGTGTTTCATTTCGCTGCTTTGATACCCCATGGTCAGCGGTGTTCGCCACGGTTTTACCTTCAGCTTAGCAATAGGAAGTAAAAATGCGTGAAGTTGGATTGTGCAGGAGGAATAAAAGGCTTACGGCGTATGCCATTAACAATGAAAAATATTGATAAAAAAGTCACTTTATAACAAAGTCTGTTTATAGTTATAGCATTTTTTATTAGCTTACTCTAACCTACATACATAAGTAACTCTACAATACTATCTATACAATGTGTAACCGTACATCCTGTGTCCCAAGTGCAGGAGTCATCATTTTACTATGGAGATAGCCGAGAGGGCACATTGTAATACACCTTGTATAATTAAATATTTCATGTATACACCTTAAAATATGCACAATTCTCAATGACAACTCTCACAACATCAACTGGTCTGTTATGACTTCTCGTTCAAACTGGATAAATCAGTCAAACAATTGTCTGGAATTGTTGACCTTGCTGCAAGTGGCATTGCCAGCCAAATAAGGGATGGCCGTTGGATTTAGGAAAGAGGTATTTGAACGAGGTATCAATTTCCTGAGATAATATTAGTAAATATATCAAACAACTAAGCAAAAATAATTGTGAGTAGTGTTTAAAAAAGCACTTTTCCAAATAGCTCTCAATCATATCAAAAAGGTGGCAGATATTAACTGAAAAGTCTAACATGATGTGGCTATAGAAATTTAATCCAAACTAAAGTACCCCCTTGACGAAGCCTACGTGTGTGAATACTAGCTCCCATCAAATTATCGAGCAGGCAACATCATTGCTTGTGCCTTCAAGACATCACTTGCAACCACCTTCATGGTGAAAATCCAGCAAGTATCCTACCAAGATATTACCCAAGACTGCAAGGTCTAAACATTTATTTTATCCAGGATCCAGCAAGTATGCTACCAAGATATTACCCAGGACTGTAAGGTCTAAACATTTATTTATCCAGGATCCAGCAGGTACTGCTGTATCTTACAGAATCTTGTTAGGATCTAGTACGATTTTACATGATCTTATTCAGGAATTTCACCAGGGCACATATATACATAATCACAGTTATACTAATACAGTGTTTTCATCAGTTGCCATGTTAGGGAAAATTGCAAATAATGAAAGAATTTATGCAAATTTCATGTTCTGTTGAACATTCGCACTTTGATGTACTCTCCCAACATGGCCACTTTGACATCACATGCAATCACTTTATACGTAAGTCAGGTCATGTACAAAAACTTGGTGATGCAATGTTACTTCTTAATATTCATGTCATATGAGAGCAGTTATTTATGAATTTCATGAATAACTGCTCTTAGTTAAAATGTACATGTCAGAGCATAACTACATACAGCAAAAACTTAACTCAAGGAACTTAAGTTGACGTTTTAGTTGACAAGAAGGTTATAAACCAGCTTTATGGGTGAATTTCAAAAATATTGCCTATGATTCATTTCTCTTGAAGTCTATTGCATTGCCGACTCATTTTGTCAGTATAGAAAATAGTATTGTTTTACTTAATTGAAAATAACAACTCTATTGTCAATGAGCAAATAATAGTCAAAACCGACAAAAACAGTGCCATAGTCAGCTCAACGATAAAGTGGGCTAGCTATATAATGAATGCAAGGTAATAAAGTTGTGTTATATTAAGTTAACCAACTGAACCTATTTTAATAAAACCCAACCAGCTTATCAATGCTACATACCTATTCAATAGTAAAATAGAGACCTTGTCATGGTGACAAATTTAAAAATTTTTGTAGAGAGCAGTTGCCATGGTGAATGGTAAAAAACCTTAGAACTCTTTTATTATAAACAAAACACAAACCCAGTAGTTCCAAAAGAACTTTTTTAAAAAATAAAAGTGGTTATAAAACAGTTCTTTTTAGAACTCTTAGGTTATTTGAGCCATCCACCACAGCAATTGTTTTGTATAGTACCATTGAAATACAACAATACTGTAACATTACCAATAAATCTTACATAATTTGTAGAGATGAATATTAATTGTTTGAATACTACACTTTCAATGTACAAGCTATTACGTAGAAAATGTCAAAAATTTCTTACCAATTGGGTCTCAAAGCTCTCATTCTATGTTTTTGCTATATTTTAAAATTCCCTTCAAAGATCATTTACGTAACTAACAACTCTTGAATTTGAAACATTAAGCCATTAAATGGTGCTGCATTCAGGATTGAACAAATCTAGTCTTGATTTGACCAATCCTGAATTGATCAAATTTCATTCAGATTTCATTGCATTCAGGGTTGATCAAATTTCTTGCTCGTTACTAGTCCCTTAAAAGTCAATTTTTGCTCTTACTATTACTAACTTCCAGTGTCACTGAAGTTGGCAGAAAACTGGCTTATTTTTGTTGAAATTTTTTGAATTTATTCCATTTGGCTACCCTGTGAGAGGCTGAGAGCACTGTATGGAAGTGACAGCAATAACCATGGCAAATAACAATAACGAGGAAATGAAAATAGGCTTTAAAACTCACTGTTGATAAAATATCTTCAACATAGTTGACATTCATACTGTTCGGAGCTTTCTTATAAAGCGGATTGTGTAAAGTAGACTCTTGAACTTTAATATTGTGAGTTGAACCAGTTGTTGTTTCATAAACAGACGGTTGCACTAAACCTTTGGCAACGGTCGGTGGCAATGGTGCCAGTAGAGAACGCTGAAAAAAGATTTCATAAAATGACAATATTTTGTTGTAAAAAATGCAGTACCTAGGTCTGTAGAGCAGAGAGCAATGACATTTTTTTACAAAGGAAATTGTAAGAACAATGAAGTCTGAACTTATACAATAAACTAGACAATGAAATCTCCTTAAAAGTATTTAATCATTCGCAGGTACATTTCAGTTGTCGTTTAACCTTCATTCTAATCTAACAGTTGGTGTTTTCATTCTCAGCTTTTGAATCGATTATAAGCAAATGATTTGTTATGAATAAGCACAAATATATCACCTTAAATCTTGTAGTTGGAAATGCTACAGGTTCTTCAAAATAATGCGCTTTACCCGTTGACGTCTCAGAATTTCGACCGGGTTGCATATTTGAAAGAAGAAAAGAGAATATTTCTTTTATTTTGAAGACTTCATGAAGTTGATAACACGAATGTTTTAATTGTTGTCATGGTAACAACACCTCAGCATAATATATCACCCCTGAGCTATATATGACCGTTGCCAGATGAGCATAATTTCGGCCAAAAAACACAAAAAGTGGCATAAAAAATTTTGTCTGGCAGAAATTTTTTTGACAAGTCTGCCATGGCCGAAAATTTGCTTTTTCAATTATTTTCCCAAACACGCTGAACACATTTCACAGAATGTTGGAGTTTAGTAATTTTTGTAGATCTTTCTGCTTGCAAACAAAATTAGCTTTGACGCACACTTGTGCGTCGACATTCAGCTGAGCAATGGAAAAAAAAAGCAAGCCTGAGGCTAAGAAATAAGTCTGACCTCTGAGTAGAATGAAAAATGTATATTACTGCATTTTTTCGTCTCGACGTTATCGATATTAAAACCGACTCGACAACAATGAATAATCATTTGAACTGCAGTGCAGATCTTTCCGAATTTATGTAACTCATAGGACTTTAACGAACATTACTGATTTTTATAACTTTTCAAATTTTCAATCGAATGTTTACAAATTTTTCATGTTCCATTTCAAATTTCGATTAAAGTTTAAACATTAAGCCATTAAATGGTGTTGCATTCAGGATTGAACAAATCTAGTATTGATCTGATCAATCCTGAATTGATCAAATTTCATTCAGATTTCATTGCATTCAGGGTTGATCAAATTTCTTGCTCGTTACTAGTCCCTTAAAAGTCAATTTTTGCTCCTACTATTACTAACTTCCGGTGTCACTGAAGTTGGCAGAAAACTGGCTTATTTTTGTTGAATTTTTTTGAATTTATTCCATTTGGCTACCCTGTGAGAGGCTGAGAGCACTGTATATATGGAAGTGACAGCAATAACCATGGCAAAAATCATGTTTACACATTTATTGAGTTTATTCAATTTTTTAAGCAAAAAGTATTTAAAATTTAATTTTTTAGAGACACTAATTTTCGAAAACAGCTATACACTAGAAAAAAAGTAATAAATTAGGAAAACTACCGATTTCAGGCTGGCATATTTGATTTGTTGCTGCCTCTATTGGTCAACAAAATTATCCTGTTTACAATTTAGCAAAAAAAACATATTGCGTTATTTGTATGTTTTCAGTGGCATGGACAGCCTTCTTATTCGGTCCTGATCTTTCAAATTTATCTGTGTTCATAGGATGGAAACAATGACTTTCCAAACAAAGGAATAAGGATGTTCTGAAATTGTAAATTTACTGATTAGTAAAACTTGCAGGGAGTAAACGACTGTTGTTGTATGTATACAAATTTTTTAACAAAATTAATTATTGAGCAGTGCTGTCAAACTTCAAAAGGCTTGTCAAACATAAGTACTCCAGAGTTCATAATCTTCACTGGTGTCTTTGGTTTACTTTCACTATCAACTGCTACATTTTGAATCTTTTTTATAGTTTCCTAAAATGGAGAAATGTGGTTAATTGACGTGATAAATTGGGCAATTGGAAGTTTGGCCATGAATATAAAAGCACAGAATAAGGAATATACCGAAGGGTCACTCGTGTCGGAGCCTTTGATGTTTTTGTCCTCGCGCATGTTGTGCCGCGCATTTCGGCAGCCATTATTCCAGCAAGATATTTAGGGATTTTCACTTGTTCCCAACCACTGAAATGACACGACGTCATTTCTGATATTAAAATATTTTTGATTTCATTGTGAAGAAATAAAGTCAGGTAATTGCAGTTGTTGAAAAAATGTGAAAAATCTTAAGTATCTTGCTGGAATGATGGTGGCCGTGAGGACGCAGCGTAAAACTTGAGTGGCCCTTCTGCATGATATCTATTCTATGATAAAAGTATACACCCTTTTTTATGTACAATTTTAAACCATTCCTATCACAAGTAAGTTAAAATTTTCAATTTTTATTACAACTTCTGCTTCTATTTTGCAGAGAGTGCGTGATTTTTTGCTTTTCAATTCATTCTTGCGAGTGTAACTTATTTTTCTAATAGCTGATACAACCCACACTTCCTTGGAAACATACCATGCCTTCAATGACTTTGCCAAAGCAAGTGTGGTGTCCGTCAAGCCAGGATGTTTTCACAAGAGTAATGTAGAATTGGGAACTGTTTGTATTTTTTCCAAGATTCGCCATGCACAACCATCCAGCACCATTGTGCTTGATTTTAAAATTTTCGTCGTTAAAGTATCTACCGTAGATGCTTTTACCTATGAATTTTCAATTTTAATGAAGAAATCAAAACTGTTTTCCTATGTTTGCAAACCGAGGGGACCTTTCGGAGAACTTGAGAGCAGATCAGTGCAGGCCAGAGCCTATTCACACAAACGTCTCGTCGATTTGCAAGCGAATAATACTGTTCAGAAGCGTAACATAATTCATCGATTGCGTGTATAATGAAGGAATTTGCCAAAATGACAAAGCTTTATTTCACAGTCTTCTCATTTGAAAACAGTTCTGTGTGTTTTGCGTCCAGCTTTCATTGTATGGATGTTATTGCTGTAGCATGCATTTCTATTATATGGTATAAAATATTGGTCTTTTGATTACTGATAATTCAAAACACAAGTCTTTTGTTTTTGCGACAAGTATAAAATCATCATGCCAAAATATCATCTCCACAAATTGTTGGTATGAATTATTATACAACAGCTTCGTGCACATTGTTTGATAGAAAATAACAAGGTGGACTGTAAAACAACACGATGCCATGAAAAATGTTGCTTAATGGAGATTTTAGTTATTTTAGAAGATAAATGAAATAAAGTCTTAAGAATAGCAACCAGTTCGAAAAAACCACTTAAAGAATAATGCACCCTGAATATTCATATTATGCTCAACGTTATCGATGATTTTACTTAAATTGAAAACTTCCCATTGTTCATATGTTACCTCCTGTTCCATCGCCTTTTGTGAAGTCACCACCTTTAAAAATCCAAAAGTTTACATTTATTGACGAAGCCTTTGATATATGAAATAAAAAAAGAAACTTTCTGCACAGTACCTTAGCCTACCCGGAAGTTTCTGCACAGTACCTTAGCCTACCCGGAAGTTTGGTCATGAGATGTAAATTTCAAATAATTAGCATTCTTTTTTTTCAAAAAATTTTCCGATTTTTTTCTGAGTGAAGGCAGAAAAAACAGCTACGACCAAGCATCAACAAACGTATGTGCTGCCGGTAAGTCACTGTAGTTACACAAAATGTTTTTAAAAGAACTGTGCAGAAATTTCTTAAACTGCATGAGGAATGAATGAACTTGCTTTATACGTTTTATTGCTTTAATTGAAACATAAAAGATTCTTCCAAAAAAAACCCTTTTGACAACCAAACAACACATAGAGAACAAGCCAATATTAGAAGTTTACAACCCAGCAACACAAGCCTTGAGAAGAAGCCAATACTATACAATATTACAGCTCAACAACACAAACCTCGAGAATATTTGACAACCTAACACTACAAACCTTGAAAACAATCCAATACAATACAATATTACAGCTCAACAACACAAACCTCGAGAATATTTGACAACCTAACACTACAAACCTTGAGAACAAGACAATACTATACAGGTTTACAACACAAAAACATAAAAACCAGACAACACATTACGCAACAGTACTATCGCAATAAGAATACCTTGAATCATAAAATTTTTAACTGATCGATGAATCAATGATCCTCGGTAACCAAAACCATACTAAAATACATATGAAAAGCAACAAATCTTAGAGCACATTCATTTCTAACAGATTATTGTGAATTAGAAATCTCTTGATAAAATTGTGTAATCTGCCGAACAACATCATCATGGGCAAACTAATAATCGAGTATTTTCTGAAATTTCAGTGTTTCGGAATATGTAAAAATCCTATTAACTGCATAAATGATCAGTTGATATAAAAATAGTATTTGTCAAACTAAAGAGCAAAGCCCTTTGTTATTGTCGTTTCTTTGAGGTTTGTAACACTCCATACATTTCTTTCTTTGCCAATTGTGAGAATTTAAACACGTATTTATAAGGACAATTGCATGCACTTCACTGTAGGTTTGATAAAAGATAACAATTCTATCTTGAAACATGCAAAATCGTCGTTTATCATTCACATTAAAAACATTCACAGTTACTTTACACTCAATCTTACTTCGTAATCGTCGCCTAAGTTATATAAGAAAAAAATTTGTACTGTCTTCTTACGGACAAATTTCTTAAAGATTCAATAACTAGCAATGGAAAGATTTGTATTTGTTGTGTTAATTAATCTTACCGAATAAAGTTTTTCTTGAATGTTTAGAAAAGGAATAATAAGACATTAAAGAAATGAATGAGCCATTCAGGACCGATAGCAAGCGTTATATTGATATCTTCATTACGCATCAATCAAAACTTCTTTTATTAAGTCGATGAAAATATAAGAAAATAAGGAATGTCTAACCTCATGGTCACTCAAAGCAACAAAATTTGTAACAGTCTTTGGAGCTGTATTTCCAAACAATCCAAATATTATTCGACCTGCTGGTTTATTACCGATAGAAATATCAAAGAACACCTTTCTTGTTACTAACGTAGGTGGTGTTATATGTCCATCTATTGAGTATATGAAATAGATGAGAAAAATACTTGTAAGTATCATGGTATCGTCACAATACTACTACTACATTCATAACTGCTTTCAAATATCGTATTGTTGAGGCAGTTTAGCCACTGTCTGGTACCTGGTTCAATTAACAAAGAAGTCTGATGTTGATATGTTCTCTGCAGGTAAACAAGTTTACCAAACTTTTATCGTTCCGTTCCTCTTTTTATACTCATAATTTACACCCGCACTACACAATTAGTATTTCGTAGCATTTGCCATGATGTAATCTGCAACCTGTTGATCATAAGGATGAGAAAAAACGATGGATGCGTATTGAACAAATGCTAGTAGTTTCAAGACGATAAAATTTAAAAGAGCTTCAAAAAAAGTACAACGCATAATAGTGAGGAATGTCGTGAAAAGAAACTCGAAGACGAATGGCATGTAACAACGCGAATTTTTCATCGCTTCTTCTTTGTCTTTTTCTTTCTGGTTTACGTTTAGTTTTGTTGTTTTTTGTTATGTATTTCCGTTCTAAAGAATATGAAAATGAAACACTGTAATTCGATAAAGTCTTATAAAGATGTGAAGCGCAAACGATTCATTTTTGTTTAACTGACCGTAAAATAGTAGCCAAGGTGTCATGTAATGTTTGAGTAAGTTCGAATATAAATTTATAAAATTTTCTTTATAATAGCTCAACTATGTAGATGTTAATTAGTGTTAACATTCTATATTTAATAGTCCAGTACATACTTATTGTGCACCGATGTCTAAAATATTTACAATGATAAAATCTTTCTGTGAAGTGTAAACACACAAACATTCCAGATCAACAGATCATCTAGATCAACAGATCATCTAGATCAACAGATCAACAGATCATCAAACTGTTCTACACAACAAGCAAAAGCAATAGATTTTTTATAAAATGATTTTTGTTAACAATTCTTTACTTACCAACCGATTTCAAATCGTTCTTAGATCAACTAATCAATTGCATAATTGTCTTACAACCTTTATTGCTTTTGCACTGGAGACTTTGTTTCTCCAAAACAGTTTTAGAACGTAGCTATATTCGATTGATATTCCCAAATTTTTTGGTCCATGTGTAAGTAAATGTTTTGGTTCTGAGATTTCTTGCAGTTGGATGAAAGTGCTCAAATTACTCACCTGATGAACGATTGTTAATTGAATACAAACCATAATCCTCAGGGCGAATATCGTGTTTTTAACGGTATTTCGGAGTACAGACCTGCCAATTCTCCCGGATTCGCGGGAGACTCCCGCTTTTGCTGCATTTTTCCCGACCTCCCGACAAAGATACTAAATCTCCCGGTTGTTTTAAAGCTTAGGCTTTTAGAAGTTTGTTGGCATTTTTATTCATCGCATGGAAAGAAATACTCGATGAATAGCATTCAAAACATAACATTTTTGTGCATAACACTTGAGGTAATCATTGCCATTTGCCTAATAAATCAATTTAAAAATAAGTCGTATACAAGAATAGAAATCTCCAGTTTTTTTGCCAGATCTCCAAGTTTTTCTGCTTTAATCTCAAGGTTTTGTATTCCTTGGAGTTGGCAGGTCTGGGAGTATAAGAGAGAGATTTTGACTTACACCAAACAGCAAAACACTGCATAAAATTATCCAGAAAATACGACATAAATAATAAATGATAAAAAAGAATACCTACATGCCGTTCCAAAGCCCGTTTTATACTCGTACAATGCAAGTATTTCTGGAAAAAATGGCAAAACTATCAAATTAATTATCTAGAGAAATGAATAATAATTTTTCTGAAAAATTTACATTGTAGGGGTAAATGATCGGGCTGGCTTTGTTACTACCAACATACATTTTCACCAGCATCACACAATAGATATCTTGACAGAAGGTCAACTCGTGTCGGAGCCTTTGATGTTCGTGTCGCCCCACTTTTCTGAAGCAAATTCTAAGAAGATACACCTTCCAGAAAGATACTTCCGCTAGATCGCAATATAAAATGTAGATGTTTTTACAAATATATTCGTTTTGCAATACAAACGCTTGGAACCTTTTCTTCTTCACAAGATGATAACTCTTTGTAAAAATTTCGGCAAACTTTTGCTTAGGCTTAGGAGGCTGCAGCTCCCCCCCCCCGAATCAAAGAGTCACCTTCTTCAATTTTTTTCCGTAATATATGTTTATGTTTGACAAGGGAAAATCATCGACATAGAAGGACTCTTAAATACTGACAGCCATTTTGAAAGCTTGCTTGCTTCTCCTATAGACTTTCATTTACATGAAGTACCAAAGTTAATGGTAGGAAGAACATGGCGTAAATGCAATGGCAATATGGTGCAGTCTAAAATGCCACGCCAATACCAAGACATTTTTTGTTATTCAGCTCCCCAGTGCCAAACATCTTTCGCCGCCACTGGACGAAACACACACGTAACAAGAAAATAGCTAGATGATAGTGAAATTTGGTTATGACTTAACTGCACAGTGAAATTACTTTAGAATTCACTTTATTTCGGTAATTCCAGTACCACAGTTCAATCAATGGTTTTCAAAATCCTGAATTACGATAAATTTTCCCTATTTTGAATGTGGTGCTTATCCGGGAGCGGGACTAATTAAATAATTTTCAACTAAAGGCTCACACCAGTATATTTATTTATTGCCCCCATGTGACGCTTAACCGAGAGCGGCGCTAAAACGAGCATTTACGGTAACTTAAAATTGGCGATAAATCTTAGCGCCACTTAATGCAATCCTTGACGGCGCATGCGCACATACAATCGCTGGGGACACCAACACTTGGCATGGTAGAATTGATGTTAACCAAGCAGAGTTAGGGCGACAAAGTAAAATTTCTTTACCTTACGACGGCACACATAGAACAAACGAGTACACAATTTATATAAACCTCCAGGGACCAACGAGTGCATTACGTAACATAATTTAAATCAATAAGAATGTGATAAAAAATATCCATTTTCTGAAATATATATGAGAAATGACAAAATTTATCGTCCATCTTTGTTTTATGAATCAATGAAACTTTTAGTTATTTACAATTGTTAAATTTACACCACAGGACCGGGCCAAAAATGCACATGGAATTGTAAACAGGAAAACAAACGAACCCCCTCCCTCCCCCCCAAATCATAAAGTGCGGAGTTGGGGAACACGCTTTTTCAACGTGTATGAAGGTTCCGCATTCCGTGCATTTAGCCAATGTTGATGACTCGATGCCGTTGTGAATTGTTGGTCATGAAAACAGGCTACCAATAGGTATATTGTGCTTGTTTATAGTCCATAAACAACAGATGGGTCAAGAACTCCTTACATGAAATGTGCAGTCATACAAGTACTAAATCTACTCAAGAAAAACTTTGTAAACGGACGATTATCATTAAAAATTGACGTAAATTACAGATAGTACTTGTTCATTTCTACATAAAAACCTGTAAATAAAAAGAAAGTAGTTAGTCGTCTGATAAGTCTTTGTTAATATTTAAAAGATAATGTGAACAACTCTCGAGAAACTATTCCTGAACAAGCTACCATTGTACAACCTACAGCCAAACCACGAAGTTCCATTCCAAAATATACAAGACATCAAGTTTTCGCACTTTCAAACAATCTTGCTCACAGTTAGAATTTGCCTAATCTCCAAACGTTTGTCGCATTAAAACACCAACCCTGTCAACAGAATAATAACTTGATATGCAAAGCACATGCAGTTGTCCGTATCAGAAACAATCTCAACCGTCAATACGATGAATACAGCTTGCGCAAATAGGACAACTTAAGGTTTGTTTTCGACACTTCTTTAAACGCTGAACCTACAAAAACAAAGATTGAGCGCGTTCCAACGCAAAAACCCAATTTCATCTTAGTTTCAACTCCATTGACAATGCGAAGCGTCTTGTGCTTAGACTTATCCTTTCAACTTACCGAAGTCTTTAATGTGGAAAAGGTAGGAGCAAACGAATTATTACAAACAAATGCCTTCCCTCTTTCAGCAGCCAATATTCTTGCGACCACAGGTAAAATACCTTTTGTTACCTTGAAACAAACGAACACTTACCAAACTGTCAATGGAAAGAACTCTGTATGATTTTCTGCTGTGAATAACCTGCTTTGCGTGAAATCTCAAGATTATCAACTTCACCAAAATCCATTTCTTGTACTGACAAAGTTTTCATCATGATTCCAAAAACTTACACATAAAGTCAGTGACATCAAATGAAAGTATCTTGGCAATTTTCGTGCTATCGTACTATCACTTTCTTCTCCATTTCTGTCGTAAATCTGGTGCAAGTATTTATCCAATCTGACGTTCAAAGAACAACACTTCTACAGGTCAAAATTTAATCAAAACGATTCTGGTTCACGCACTATTTATTCCAGTACTACAGTCTTGAGTCTTATAAAAAATGCATGCATGATTATGACAATGACGTTAAAGAGAAAAATGAAGTTACAGACTAATATCTTAAAAATTTTAAAAGCATTTCGTCTATAAAAAAAACTTTTCAGATTTCCTTCTAAAGAAAACACCGAATTGAATTAAATAAGTACGAGAATAATATCAAGCTAAATAAAGTTTACATCGTCAAGCAACTTGATAGATGAAAATTCATCATCAACTCATGGAGGAAAACACACTTAGTTCAACTGAAACATCATGACCATTCATCCAAGCCGACCGCGGGCTCAACAGCGAAAGAAGACCAAGAGCTGACAAAGCGTGATTTTTATTTTATCTTTTTAAGTGTTTCTAGTAACGTCTCATTGTTCCACTTCGCGGGATGGAAGGCATGGTTGCACCTCGAAAAGGATCACTTCGTCCAGACATTGCCACAGCACGTCGACTGTCCATAACAGCGACTGTCATTGCTCCAGGACCAGAATGATGACTCACCATTCTTGGAGGGATAATGGAACTACGACCTGGGGGAATCACCGTGCGACGATCGACAGATTGCGCCATCATTGATGCACTTGCAGATGTTCCCCATGCTGAACGTGACATCTCGCGAGTGGCCATGCTACGAGCACGTTCCCGACCTCTGTCACGCTCTTTCTCTACAGGCCATCCCCTTGCAGCATCACTGACCATTGCGCGACCAACACGCGAGGAAGAACTCCCAGTGGCAGCCATGCTGTGTGATGACATCACAGCCCGACCACCACTACGATCATGCCAACTTTCCCCCATCCTTTCACGGCTGGAAGAACCTCCAGCAGATTGTGGTATGGGTTTTGATAGACCAGAACGAGCCCCTGCGTCACTACCAAGAACACCCGTGACACCAGCACGCTGTAACAACATTGAGAGTCCTTTCTGAGATTCACCATTTTCAGTACCATGCTCCCAGCTTCCCCTCCGGTCACGACTGGATCTGCCATCAGTTGCTCTCTCCGCACGCCTGTGTTCATCACGAGCCTCGTCACGTGATGAATGACTAGCACGAGGATCTACATGAGCAGCACGAACATCACCACGACGTTCCCTACCAGGAGGAGCTCTTGAATCAGACAAATCACGGCTGCTGCGATCCTTGTGCGTTGCTCCACTGAAGAATTCCCGACTTGCAACATCTCTATCAGCTGCAGGTCTCTTGCTATCAGGCCAAAAACCGGGACCACGAGCGGGAGATTTCTCACGTGCATACGGATCGGCTCCTCTTTTAACGCCACGACGTTCTTCAACACGTTGTCTGTCAAGTCGTTCGCGTTCCATGCGTAGAAGACGTTCACGTTCCAACCTTTCACGTTCGCGTTGCAACTTTTCTCGTTCTTCACGTATCTGCCGCTCTTGAATGATTTTCATACGTTCCCGTTCTTGTCTTTCCCTCTCGCGTTCACGTTCCATTTCACGTTGACGGGCACGTTCACGCTCGAGCCTAAGACGCTCTTGGCGTTCACTTTCTTCTCTTTCACGCAATATCTGCAGGCGTCGTCGTTCTCTCTCGCGTTCTCTTCGTTGTCGCTCTAACACTTTCACGCGTATAGCACGTTCGCGTTCCCGACGTAGGCGTTCACGACGTTCACGTTCTCTACGTTCGCGTTGTTGACGTTCTCGCTTCTCGCGTCTCACGTCTTCAAGGGATTTGATAGCCGGACTTGAGCGTCGACGCGAATGTTTGTCTTTCTTGGAACTGTCTGGTTTTGCAGATTTTCCGCCGCTCTCTGCTTTGCTTTTTGCGCTACTCTCTTTTCCTAATATATTCATTAACAAAACAGAACTTCAACAATGACACGAGAAATCATTGCCATGTTTGACACCGTCATACGAAGGTGTTTCATGCGCCATGTTATGTATACATAACACAACATGTTCATAATTCAATTCTTGCTTATAACTAACAATATTGTTGATATAACTGCCTCATGAACGCACCAAATGTAGAGTTAAGAAAATATATGAACGGAATGATTGGTGGGCATAAACCTCTTGTATAATTTACAAGTCGTTTTGAGATGATTGGACTTCATCAACAATGCGCAGTACGAGAATGAAATATAGCGCGTATTTTCGACATCATCAAATGCCCGAAGAGAAGAACTAAAAATTCTTCAAGTGGTACCAAAAATCTTCTCCTAAGATTATTACGGCTGTGAATATTCTCCAAGCGAATGGTTGTTCTACAGTGTTTTTCAACAGTGATGAGTACAGAATCTGATCATACATATGAACAGGAGAAAACTTCATAGGGAAGCGTGACGTAATATTTGGGACGTAATGTTTCGACCTGATTATACGGAATGAAATAGCAAGCCATATCCGAGCTACGTAATTCACTTAAATAGATACAATGTCTGCTGTCTTTAGGAGACTAGCACTAGTTTTTATATAACACGAATTTTACAGTCGACAATCTCATGTTACCTGTAAACCATACGTACCATACCTGTTGACCAACAATATTAAAAATACCTCATCTTCAGTTGTAATATGATTAGAAGTGGGGGGGAAATATGTAATAAAATAACCTTTTAAAATCGCGGGCGCTGATTGGTCGAATGCTCGAAAAAACCGTGATTACCTAACTCTACGTATATTGCACGAACTTCAGTCACGCAAGAATCTCGCAGATTGCGTGGTTTTCACGGGAAATTTTATTGGCGAAAATATGAACAATGTGTCATTAAAATCGATAAATTTGTGTTTTGATATTGTTTTTAAAAGGCTATTTTATAAACGAAGTAGAAAACATACTTACTTGTTTCTATTGAGTTCCAGAAACAGTTGTGAAAGTTTGGGAGAAACTGGAAATTGCCTGGAAACAGTCGCACTTCGTGCTTCCCACGCAATTCCTCGTTTCACCCCATAAAACTAAAATACATGGAACGCTACCTCAAGCAAATAATTGAAGCCATATCTTACGCCAGACACGCGAGATTTTACCACAGACACGCGTGACTTTACCCCAGACACGCGTGTTTAGTGTTTCGAGATTCTCTCGCGGAGTAATAATTGATTGACTACACATGCGTGTCTGGGGTAAAGTCTCGCGTGTCTGGGGTAAAAACACGTCTTCAAAAAATTATTAGGGTTTGGAATTACAGGTAGCGTTCCACGTATTTTAGTTTAATGTTTCACCTAAACTTTCCCGCGCATTTCTACAAATCTATAGAAACTGGTAAAATGTTTTCTATTTCAGTAGCACACCCTAATAACCTTACGTATTTTCGTAAACATCTGATCATTCATAGGGATTCAAACATTGTATGCACATTGTAAATCAGTTACATGTTTAGTTCTTAACTAACATACAGCAGGCACTGCGTACTTCTCATTTTTTTGAATTTGAAATGTTGCTGCTAATGTCTAATAATTTTTTCAACAAAAACTGACAGACACTAAAATCGGAGTTTTACGAACAGACAAGAGTAAAAAATAGAGGGTGATGAAGGGTTATATACAGTATAAAATTTGTATGATGAGCAATAAGATAAGGAAAACATGGGTAGGGGATGGATCACAAACTTAAATTAATGTACGTTAAGCAACAAAGGAGGGCCCGGGCACAGACAAAAGTAAGGGATCTTTATCGTACACAATTGTACACTTAGCGATAAAGAGTGCCTACAGGTAAAATTTTATAGAATTTAAAGATGATTATTGAATGAAAGTAAATGGCCATAGTGTAGATGGGTCAGTCTACTCAAGATCCCATGTGTAATATCTACATGAAGTACTAAGGAGGGAAGTAGAAATAATTCACTATAAACTAAAACCTCACCAGTTTTATCATCCGTTGGTTTATCCTCAGACTTAGTCTCCGCTGTTTTCTCTTCTTTATCTTCAGCTGGATAAAAAAGCAAGACAAGTTTATGACGTCCGCCCGCAAGGTTGCTATCTTAAGCCTAGTTCTCATTCATCACAAAGCGTCACTGGAATCGGCGACGTTCATCGCCAATGGTCGGTGATGGCCGTTGCACGAAAGATTCTCATAAATCGACGAAGATATATTTGCCAACGTGCTTTGATATTCATACCAAAGAAAAAATGGCTCCTTTTAATCTAAAGTTGATAATTTTTTTGCAGCTTCAATTTTTTATGATATAAGTTATCGCCGAAGTCGCCCAACTCAACAGATCCTCGTGCAAAAGACTTTTAAGCCAGCAGCACTCGGCAATGATCGGCAGTTGTCGCCGAAGTTGCTCAACTCAACACATTCTCGTTCTGAAAGATTTTTAAGCCAGCAGCACTCAGCAATGATCGGCAGTTGTCGCCGAAGTTGCTCAACTCAACACATTCTCGTTCAAAAGATTTTTAAGCCAGCAGCACTCAGCAATGATCGGCAGTTGTCGCCGAAGTTGCTCAACTCAACACATTCTCGTTCTAAAAGATTTTTAAGCCGGCAGCACTCGGCAAAGATCGGAGATGATCGCAAAAAACAAACTTTTTCGTTTCTTGCGATAGCAGCGTCGATGTTCGGCGAGTGTCGCAAAAAACTCGGCAACCCAATTTTCAAGGCGTTCTCATTAATCGTAAGAGGTCGCCGACGTCATAAAAGCTCTATCGCGCCGACGTTTTGAGATGAATGAGAACTAGGCTTTAAACTACACATAAACAAGATATACTCTACATCATGCTTGTAGATGTAGATCGTCCAGGTTAGTATAGTCCTGAGAAGGACTGTTTTTGCTGTTGTTGACTGACGTTTCGACATTTGACTCTGAAGATGACTACCGCTAAGGTTGTCGAAACGTCAGTCAACAACAACAAAAACAGTCCTTCTCAGGACTATACCAACCTGGACGATCTACATCTACAAACATGTAACGATACTCCCGGGTTCAAACCGTTTACTTTATATACTCTATATCGGAATAAAAAATGTTAAAATTTTCGATACGGCAAAATATTAACGAGTAATATCGGCAATATGAAGAATTTCTAAATCTTACCAGGTTTCGCCGCAACTTTTTTACCTAAGGTTTTTTTTGTAGCAGCTCCAGAAGTCGTTATTGGTAGACGATCCCCTTTGGCCTGAAAAAATAGAGAAATACCTATCTATAAACAATGATAATAATGTCATTTATTGATCATTACAGGGTGGCAAATGTGCAATCAAAAATCTCGTTATTGAAAAGATAAAAATGTTTTTCACCGGGTAGTAGTGATGAATTTACTATGGGAGGGGTGAGTGTAGTGCGCCCACTCTTAATCTTGGCAGAGTATAGGGAATATACAGTAGGGCTACTTTCGCTGCGCAACTGGCTGCCGTAAGCCATTTCATCATTCCAATTCAATGGCTGCCACTATGGTATTTACATGCTCAATGAGATATGCGTGGCACAAAAAAAATTCAATGGAGTGGCTCTACGTTAGGTTCTCTATACTGTGATCTTGTCTAGAGTTGATGCATGAGGGAGGGGTGGGTGCCAATTACGGCGACACCTCCTATGGTAGCATTGAAACTAATCAAACCTAGAGCACCCCATCGCTACAAAACCATCCCGTATCAATTCGTTGTCCTCTTTAAGTCTAATAATCCAGATACGTAGGTAAATGCTACCTGGTCAAACACCCACTAGACAACATATAATCAATAAAACAAATATTCAACTAGGTAAACTAACAACATGATCAATAAAAACACTCTAACCCTGTCAACTGTGATGTTTCGGCCATGCATTTCGGTCCGATGAAGATGTTGAATACATTTCGCTGCCTCCTCACTCGTTGACATGGTAACAAGACCAAAACACTGACCGCCAGGAACCTTTGAGTTCGTTACGATTTTTGCACCAACCACCTGGAATAAAATTATTAGTTAAAATCACGAAAAGAAAAGTTTCACGCGATAAACTAAATAGAAATGACATTTTCATATTTGTATTCCCGACTTTTGACCATTTAATTCGACTATTTCCAACCGTCAACTTTTTTAATTTTACGTTTTATTTTACAATCTCAACTTGTACTCCCAATCACAACTTTCATGTACTTGATTCTCGATCTCAAAGCTCGAATTTTTACTCTCGCATTTATTGCAAGACATCATACAAGATGTTACTTCACAATCGTTAGTTAAAGTTATTTGAATTCCACATAGTTCAGTTAATACAACCAGCTGATGACTTGTTAATTTACACAATTGATTAAATTTTATGTCATTTAACGTAAACAACACTCCACGCAATTTCGACGCAAGTTGACCACGCAGTTACTTAACTATCAGACAAACCACGTTTTGTGCAACGCAGTTAAGTCGAGCAGTTAAGTTACTACAGTTAAGGAGTTAACTACGGTAGTTAGCGTTAACTATAGTTAAAGTTAACAACGTTTTTATACAACCGGCCCCAGGTCAATACAATACAACATCATTTCTTAACATTTTAGATTTACATTTAGATTAAACGTCGAAAAAATGACGTATAAAATGGTACACGAGTCCACTCTTTATGTCTTTTCAATTTTATGATGTGATGCAAGAACAAATGTTATTTATGTCTTCTTCCACAAAAAGATGTAAACTCAAGATAAAATACTGTTGAGGAACAATCAAGTTTAGAAATTAATGGTTTATTTAAAAAGTATGAGCATGACAACGGCAAAGTCAGCGGCCATATTGTGGTTCCAAACAAAATATTCATTAAAATTCTTTTAAAGGGTACACCAACATCGCAGTTAGTATGACGCAAGATGAAAACTCTCAAAGCAACAACTCCAGTATTTTATAAGTTTCCTTCACTACATACGAACGCACCACGAAGATTGCTGATGAAAAAACTAAACAACTCCAGTATTTTATAAGTTTCCTTCACTACATACGAACGCACCACGAAGATTGCTGATGAAAAACTAAACAACTCCAGTATTTTATAGGTTTCCTTCACTACATACGAACGCACCACGAAGATTGCTGATGAAAAACTAAACAACTCCAGTATTTTATATGTTTCCTTCACTACATACGAACGCACCACGAAGATTGCTGATGAAAAAACTAAACAACTCCAGTATTCTATATGTTTCCTTCACTACATACGAACGCACCACGAAGATTGCTGATGAAAAACTAAACAATTCCAGTATTTTATATGTTTCCTTCACTACATACGAACGCACCACGAAGATTGCTGATGAAAAACTAAACAATTCCAGTATTTTATATGTTTCCTTCACTACATACGAACGCACCACGAAGATTGCTGATGAAAAAAATCATCAGCAATCGGATATACAAATCAATAATCGTTATCGATAAGGATGTTTTCAATGAGCCAAAAAGTTCGTATATTTAAAGATATAACAAACATGTGTCTCTCAATCAAGTTACCTTTCCGTGCTGTGAAAATCGCGTCTTGAGGTCAGCGGCACGAGTCATTGAAGATAAATTACTGACCCACAAACTCTTCCCAGGCTCCTTCTTCTTAGCATCTGTCGCAGTTTTCTTTGTTTCGCCATCAGCTTTAACTGAATCGGATTTACCATCGTCCTTGGTGTCCGACTTTTCCTCTGTTTTCTTTTCGTCTTCATTCCCTGCGACTTTGGATTTCTCAGGAAGTTCTTCTTTCTTGTGAACATTTGATTCGCTATCATCATTTTTATCTTCAGTAGTTTTTGTTTCAAGAGCAATGGAGTCTCCCCCGGTCTCCTCTTCTTTCACGTCTTCAGATTTTTCTTGCTCTTCCCCTAATGCATCCTCTTTTTCTTCCACATCATCGTCTTCCATCTTTTCATCTCTTCAAACAAAAAACATCGAAAGACGTTTACCCAACAACTTGATGACGTAACGTCAAACAAAATTTTCTTTTCTTTTTCTCTGCTTTATCAGCGTCAATAATGATAAAATCGCCATTACTTCGTATCCTGATTCGTTGTCTTATTATTCAAAAATACTCTCAAAATCATTTTTATGCGAACAGGATTAAAATTGGTTTTTTTCTGATTGATTTTATGGTAGCCAAAAGTGGCGATGTTCGGTACTTCCTGTGTGACCATTTTTTGAACATCAATTTTGCTAAATTGACGTCATAACAAGAGCAGATTCTCAACTTGGCAATAGAAACTACTATTAACTAGGCGACTTCCGCACTACTTATGACGTCAAACAAGCAAACATGTCGGATTTTGTACACTTCATTATAGCGTGTTATAGAGAAAAATCCGTGCCCAACCATAAACGCACAAGACCAGCGTCAGAGGGGCGGCAATCAGACAGCAGGGCAGACAAGACTTGTCGGAGAATATTTGCTGGAAATTTTGGTGAATAGGTGAAGACTTACGTCATCAAAGGTTGAAATGTACCGACGGACCATGTGCTCAACATAGAAAATTCTTAGTACAATAACTCGCAGAGTTGCGCTGCGTTAAGTTTTGATGTGAGCGTGGTAAACACAAAGAACTTGTGGTCGTGAACACGGAGACAAATACCTACGTCCCATAAGCGTCTAAAATATTAAACTAGGCAGTTTTGCATAAAAACACTTAAACGCTTAATCAACTTACTCCTCTTCTTCTTCATCTTCCACTTCTTCATTCATCTCTTCATCTTTTTCCTTAGTTTCTTCAGTTAATTCAATATGCTCTTCATTATTTTCATCGCCAGCTTCCATCTCGTTATCCAATTCATCAAAGTTCAAAGCTTCGTCTTCTTTAGTTAAGTCATCTTCTGCAACAGGACTCTCCTACAAGATTACGTAGTCAAACCTTAGTAACGTAAATCAACGTCTCACTCAGGACTGTGAATAGAACTTTCAATGCGGATGGGGTGTGTGATTGAAGTAATGGGTGGGAGTGGAGTGGGGTGAAGTACGTAATACGTGGGTGTGGAGAGTGAAGTAATGGGTGGGAGTGTAGAGTGAAGTAATGGGTGATAAGGGTGGAGATGGTGGGAATGGGTGGAGTGAGATGAAGTAATGGGTGGGAGTGTAAGGGTGAAGTAAGGGATGATGGGAGTGAAGGGTGGTGGAAGAATGGGTGGAGTGGAGTAATGGGTGGGAGTGGAGTGAAGGAGTGGAAGTGAGGAATGGAATGGAATGGGAGATGGGGTGAAGAAGAAGGGTGGAGTGGAGGGGGAATGGTGGAGTGGTGGAAGTACGTAATGGTGGAGTGGAAGAAAAAGTGGAGAGGGCGGAGGATAGTGGGTGGTAGTATTGGTGGGTTTTATTCAAAAATTCATTTGAGTCAAAAATACACAACGTTCCCTAGAATGAGTGTCAATTGTGACAGTTGAGAGATGAACGAATTTTTATGTTAAATAACCTTTTGTATTTCTTTAAGATCTTCATCCAAATCATCTTGAACGTCATCAGTGTTGACACACATTGATAATGACAGTTGATTTTCGTTTGGTTTAATTTCTTCTTCAGTCTTTGTCTGCTCGTCCTCCGCCGCTTCTTCGACTGTGAGAAGACAGAAAAATCTATGTGGACTTTGAACAAAAATTTGTTAAATAACCCAAAATAGACCATCGTTTAAATGCTACAACGAATGCGCAATATTATCTACTATGGTTGCTTTAATGTAATTCTTCAATAAAACATACGATTAGCTACTTGTCAATCTCAGGTCTACGTTAGTTAGGTAAAAATCTGTTTGAGTTGCTTACTAACTACACGTAATCCTGTTTCAGCAAATAGGTTTCGTAAAGTTACGTAATGAAGAAATTAAGATTTAGCAAGAGATGGAGCACATCTGCGTTCATAATGATTTTGAATGAGATACCTACATTTCTGCAATAGCACAAACGGATTGTGAAAATATCACTTTTACATTATCAAATATTTGACAAACCTGATTCGTCGACGGTTTCGTTTTTTTCATTAATTTCTTCGGGAACCTACAAGCATGCCACATGAATATGATAAATGAATGATATATTATAAAATTACTACATAAAAGAAGCGCTGTAAAAGCTAAAAAAACCAAAGACAAACAAGTGGAGCAAAAAACATTGTTTCTTAATCACAGATTGCCACGACTTTTAAAAAGTTCATGCTTCAACTGTCAAAATTGGAACACCTCAATAGCCATTCTTATTATACTAAATTTGTGTAAAATATATCTGAATGCAAGATATTCGTGTTTTTGGTTGCAAACCACGCATTAAAAACGGACCGCTCGTCCCAATGAACACGAATACGTTAAGTTGAGATGCTCTCCTAGAATCTGAAAGAAACTTTGAACTGAAAGGGACAGGAAGGCTATACTTCCCGCCAAAACTTTAAGCCTGCAAATTCGACTAGTCCTCAGCTTTTCACGAACGGTTCAAAGAAAATTATTTATGACAAAAAGCTCAAATGTGTGACTTTTGCTAAAATGCGTAAAAATTGACTTCGTGCAAGAACAGGCATGTATTTATTTAAAGTATCCTTCCAAAGAAATATTTAGTTTAAAAGGAAAAAACCAGCATTTGAGCGTGCTGCCCATTGGAGCTGACACTAATACCCACGCAAGCTCTACGTTCATTGAAAAATCTTCTCTAAACCACACGAAAACTAAACTGCCTATTGTTTTCGAGACTGTAAAACATTGTAGCTATTATTTGCAATAAGCAAAAGCAACTCTTGCACAAAGCTTCCCCGGGTAGCACCTTCATTTTTCTCGAAGCAAATAAAAACACGAGTTTAACTTATAAAATACACCAAGTTATCAAAAACACTTTTAGATGTACGCATTACCTCATCTTCACAAGGAAGTTCATACTCGAGAGATTTTTCGGAAATTTTTTCTTCCTGAAAAATCAGACGGTAAAGTTTAAGCAATATGTACGTGCGTGACTAGCAAAAAATTTACGCGGATATAAAATTTAAAAAAATACAACGTACATAACAAATTTAAAATAAAAATACGTAAACTGGCTTCATTTTGAATCTAACGCAGGCACAGACTTACCGGGTGAAGTGGGGAGATGTGCACTCCTAACAGCATTGTAAAGATAGGGTGTAGAAAGAGTGCTGATTTTAAAAAAATTGATATAGCTAACAAATAATCACGCAAATGAAAATGCAATTTGTGTTTATTGTGTGCATATTAAAAACAATATCTCAATCATGGTTCGTATAAGAGTATAAGAGTTACAGGTTTGAACAATAAAGTCTGACAGGGCATGACAGCAAAACGTAGCATGGCGCATGCGTGCTGATGAATTTGATGGTCAATAGGCACACGCATGGGCAATGTTAGGTTTTGCTACGATACGTGACGTACGTGGCTATGTGGACAAAAGGCTTAAAAGGGGATGGCAGCATCCCGCTAAGTATCCACCAAAATCTGATCCTAACTAGAGTACCATCTCCACCCTCACAGCCCTTTATATCCACCAAAATCTCATCCTAACTAGAGTACCATCTCCACCCTCACAACCCTTTATATCCACCAAAATCTCATCCTAACTAGAGTACCATCTCCACCCTCACAAACCTTTATATCCACCAAAATCTCATCCCAACTTGAGTAGCGTCTCCACCCTCACAACCCCTTACATCCACCAAAATCTCATCCCAACTTGAGTAGCGTCTCCACCCTCACAACCCCTTATATCCACCAAAATCTCATCCTAACTAGAGTACCATCCCCACCCTCACAACCCCTTATATCCACCAAAATATTATCTTAACTAGAGTACCATCTCCACCCTCACAACCCCTTAAAAATTCATGACATTTTTCTAACTTCGTACTTAAATAAAAAAAAAACAACTAGAAACAATCAAAATAAAATTTCAACTTTTTTTTCAGACAGGCAAAACAATTGAACTCCCGAGCAAATTACATTACCAGATAACTAGGAAAAAAATTGAGCCAGACATTTGTAATTGCTGCATTTTTCTTATAATCAACATTTTCACTACCTAAATGAAAATTCCTGAGCAAATTACACTACCAGATATCTAGGAAAAGTTAAGCCAGACATCTGTAATTGCTGCATTAGTCTTATAATCAACATTTTCACAACTTAAATGAAAAGTTCTGGGAAAATTCTTAAAAAATACCAACTCATTCATCCATAAAATGGCTTTTCTCTGATATATAGCCCTTCATGGTAAAAGTTTAAAACCATGTGCCACATGGCATATTTACTGTTTTAATGAAAGTGAAAATGGCTTTTCTCTGATATATAGCCCTTCATGGTAAAAGTTTAAAACCATGTGCCACATGGCATATTTACTGTTTTAATGAAAGTGAAAAATGGCTTTTCTCTGATATATAGCCCTTCATGGTAAAAGTTTAAAACCATGTGCCACATAGCCTATTTACTGTTTTAATGAAAGTGAAAAACAATAACAGCTTGTTTTTTACACAAAGGTATCATAAGACACAATAAATATCCTGTACTTTGTGAATTAGGTCTTAAATTTTGCCCACAATTGAAGCCAGGAAAAATTGGATAACAGGGTAATGTTACAATACATTTATAACAAAATGAACAATAGAATTACAATGTGATGTTACACATGTCATGTGACAGGAAAATCGTACATACGTAAGAGCCTCACCACATTTTCTTCTTCATCATCATCAATTTCAGCTTCACTATCATCACCATCCAACACAATGAAACCAGAGAAATCTTCAGGAACTTCTGGTCCATCTTGAAATGTAACAGCGAAAACAAGTGAAATATAAAAAATAGTATCATGTCAAAATGACACAGAAATTGACACAGATATGACACAGAAATTGACACAGCAATTGACACAGAGATTGACACAGAAATTGACAGAGAAATTGACACAGCGATTGACACAGCGATTGACACAGAGATTGACACAGAGATTGACACAGAAATTGACACAGAGATTGACACAGCGATTGACACAGAGATTGACATAGCAATTGACACAGAAATTGACAGAGCAATTGACACAGCGATTGACACAGAGATTGACACAGAAATTGACACAGCGATTGACACAGAGATTGACACAGAAATTGACACAGAGATTGAAACAGAAATTGACACAGCAATTGTCACAGAGATTGACACAGATATGACATGGAATTCGACCTTTGTCATTAAAATGGCCAACACTGTTTTAGCAACAGTTTATGCAAACTTGAAGCATAAAACCTTGGATGAACAATACAAACTTTTCAACAAACCAGTTTGATCATCATATCACATCACAAAAGAAACTAAGACTAACCAAACCACATATAAAAACTAGAGCAACACCCTACAAGAACATCCTGAATCCACCCATGTTCTACCAAACCACATATAAAAACTAGAGCAACACCCTACCAGAACATCCTGAATCCACCCATGTTCTACCAAACAACATATAAAAACTAGAGCAACACCCTACAAGAACACCCTGAATCCACCCATGTTCTACCAAACAACATATAAAAACTAGAGCAACACCCAACAAGATCATCCTGAATCCATCCATGTTCTTCACTGGTAACTACGTAATATAATTTTCACCAAACAATGCAAAAAAGTGTTCTACAATGATGCATTTGAATACGCCCTTGTACATGGCAAGATTGGCGAAACACAAATAAAAATTCAAGAGTTGACGAACATGTGAAACAACACCTCATTAAATTCTATACATAAATTGATATTCATAGGGCAAGCTGAGCATGCATTCATGATAAGAAAAAACAGTCCACTCTGACAATTTTCCAACAAAAGATGCGAAAAATGTGGCCTGCCAAAAAACGAGATATAATGAAAGAAATGGCCCATCAAAATGCATTTTAGGCTAGACATTTTCCATTGTATTGGCATTTCCTTTGAGCTTGATAGCATTTAGGTAGGTAGAATAAAACTCATTGTGAGCAAGTAAATTTAGTTATGTAAGATAAACTTTTAAGCTCTAAAGTACAAAGATCATCATAAACCAAAACCAGAACAATTATACAAGAATGAGCCACATTACTTACACAGGCTACAGGCTTACACTAGCCCTCACCTGAATTCTAACCCTAATGCTAACATCAACCCAACCCTAACCCGGCCATGCTATAATTTGTTTATTCCATGTAAGGCATGTGCATGAAGTCAAATAACTTTGGTAGTATTTTTGCAGGGTAATTTCGCATTTTCCTGCAAAACCCCTAGTGCCAGACAAGAGCCCTGCCCGTTAATGAGTCTCATATAAATATAACTTCCTCAAAGTAGGTAGGAAAGCAGAACTGTTAAGATAGCCACTATCATATAAGCTAAGCGTGAGTACAAAACAAATAGGAAAACAACTTATGAAAAATTACAATAAGAATACCATCTAAATTTCCGTTTGGCGTCTGAGTAGCTTCTTCGCTTGCTTTCGTTCCAGCTGTTTCATCTTTCCTTTCAACTGCTGCATCCTCAGATTTATCAGACTTGATCGATTCTTCTTGTAAAGACTTTGAAAAATAATAACAATCATGCAGAAATTGAAGTGCCATTCCCAACAAAACAACTAGTTTAAGGCTTTTAAGTAAATTATTATCGATTAGCTTGGCATGTGGCTTGTGACGTTGCAACATGATTCTGTGATTCTGAGCAGAAAGAATTCCTTAATACCTTTTCCAAACGTTCAACGAGAGCGCCTTTAAGTCCGGTCTTATCTAAGCCTCGTTTCTCAAGCTCAGCCCTTAGATCAACAACTCGTAACTGGGTCAATTTTTTCCCACCGATCGAAGACATCTCCTTTCGATTTCGACTACTGAAGCGACAGGGCAGCTTGATGCACTTGAAACAAGACTGTATGGCTTATGCGCACGCGTTGATTAAATGGTTATAATTTGGATCGGTCGAAAGTAGATTTTGCACTCGGACTTACTGGGTATATTTCATTTTTAGTAAAACAAGTGGGGGACATCGTACATGTTCGGCATTGGGTATGCCCTTCCCGCATGTTTGACGTTGCTGTATGTACAGACTTGTCCACATTCTTATATCAGTTGTGAAATTCGAATACTTGAAGTAAATTAATCTATTGAAAAGATTATTTTAGATATTTGACAATTAAAAGTACAATGTCATGCTCTATTATCTGATTATCGGACGTCGAATTAAATACATCTTTACAACCGGTGGGACAGCCAGCGCGATAATTGGGGCATTATGTCATGGGTGAATTGTCTTCTATGCTTCATGTCACCAATACGCTTGCAGTGAAGATAAATTTGAAATTTTCAATTTTTACTCAGAATGGTACTACATTTGACTCAATCGATTTGATTCAAATATCTGTTACTTTTAACACATATTGAATCAAAATCCATTGAAAATTGTATTAGTTGTAAAGTGTTGAAACATCGAAACTTGAAATGGAAACATCGCTCAAATATTTAGTACCTTGTTGTAATGTCTCCAATTTGTTAGCTATCAATGAAAACTTCTTTCTTTTAATGCTAGACTTTTATGTTCAGTAGGGCAAAAGGAAAATATGCCCTTTAATTGTTTTATTCATTTAAATGCGATTTTATCAGAGAATACCAACATGTGTAACCAGGGCTCGAAATAAGGGTCCAATGCTGTTCGGCCAAAATGACCGGTAAAACTTCATTTAAACTTGGTCAAAGTCGATGTTCAACGGTCACTAATACGTACACAAAACTTTCTCCAAGAACATGAGACTGGATATTTTTGTGTTTTACATCTAAAGCCTAGTTCTCATTAAGTCGTTTGAGTCATCCGAGTCGTTCCGAGTCGTTTCGTTGTTTTTCAAAACGACTGGGGCGACTCAAGCCATATAATTCTCGTATATTCGTACAAGCGCTGCCGAAAGACTGCTTAATTAATTTTTGCGCGAAGCATTTAAAAATGGCGGCTGTTGCTTATCAAAGACAAAGTCTTTTGGCTAGTTATTTGCTTCTTCAAGTCGTTTTGTGCCATAAAAAGGTCGCTTGCATTTCTCAAAGGTCGTTTCGGTCGTCCGAGTCATTTGAGGTCATCCCGGTCGCCTTTGAAATGTTCTCATACAGTCGCACGGGTCGTCTGTGAAATTTTGGCACGACTGAAACGACTCGGACGACTATATGAGAACCAGGCTTAAGCGCACGGTATTATGCATTGCTTTCCTTACTAATACGCTATGGGAAAGATGTATAAATGTGGCCTGGTAAAGTTGGCCGGTCAGCAAGCATTTTTGACCCTCGTTTCGACCGTTCATTGTCCGTTCACCGACCAGACTTTACTTTAAGCCGTGGGTAAAACGTGTAAGGCATACATAATAGAAATCAATGGATGCGAGTCCTTCACATGTCCTTCAGTATGTCCTCTTATTGAAACAACACGTACAGGAAATAAGTTTATAACTTTTTTATGTCACTGTAAGTATGGAATGCGCATCAGTTCAAACGATGCCGATTGTTTGAGGCCAGTGACATAGATTACATAAAAAAATACCACCATGGTTTACGTAATGCATCAATAATTATGCTGTCCATAAAATCAACAAGTGTTGTACGTTAATCCCTCGGCGTCGTGCAAACGATGTTTAATATGGTCATCATTTCTCATAAAAAAGTTTTCTCTTTACATTACAAGAAAATTGATGAGTGTCAAACAACAGATAAGTTTCTCCGCTATTCCAGAAGTATTGTTCTCACATCGTTTTGAGCCCTGGCTCTCGGGTTGTTCTAAGCCAGGGGTGGGCAACATACGGCCCGCGGGCCGGGTCCGGCCCTCGAAGGGATTTTGACTGGCCCGCCGACTGTATCCGACCATTGAATATTGAATATTATTCATATAATAATCCGGCCCACCAATAACTTCATTTTCATAAATCTGGCCCGCCGACTGGAGAAGTTGCCCACCCCTGTTCTAAGCAATTGACTGAAGCCATTTTGGATAATCAAGCAGAAATTTGTGCAAAAAAAGTTCAGAGTGGATCATTTTCAATTATTAGAGCTAGAAAAAGATGTTTTAGCCTAAATTTACTAGAAAATAAAAAAATGTCTAAAAAAAGATGACCAACTTAAACATCGCATGCAAACTAAAATCATTTATTGTTTCCTAGAAACATTTTGACCTCCCCCCTCCCGCACTTCACCGAGAAAAATAAAATTCTTGCATGTTTAACACGAAACCTCAAACAAGAAGTTTATATTAGCCATTATTTGCTTCCATTTCAACATCTTCACCTCTACGAGCTGGCAAATTCGATCTTGCCAAAGATCTTCGTACGAATCTCTCACAAGTCCATTCAGGGACGACGTCCAAAGAAGTTATATCAACGGTCGTTATTGGTTCATCTTCATCAGATCTACCGTGAACGTGAAGTTGAGGGCGAATTGCCTCAGCAAGCTGGGGCAATAAGGTCATGTACGACATCTGCCTGGCCAATTGCGTCACTCTTTCTATTTCCCGACCGTTCAAACGTACCTGTCTAGTACGATTGTTGTTCAAGGACATCGCCGTATGCAAGCTCTCTGTGAGTTGCGCAACAGTCGCGTCTGGGATGCTTGCAAGTTCCAGTTGTATATGATCTTCCACATGGCCCATTAGATTTTCGTTCTCAACTTCTTCTTGAGCCAAATTAACAATAACCTGAACAACAAATTGTTCAAAAATAGCGTCGCCTTAAACCGTGTTTGGGGAGGGGGGCAATTTGCTTGGAATTGTTCAGTGCATGCAGAAAACGATTTAGATACACTCTAAGAGAACTGTTATGATACTATAATCAAGCTAATACAGACAAAGGAAGAAGCAACGGTTTATATATAATAATAAAATCAGTATTATAACATAAAAATAAACGGTGCGTTTGTAAAGTGACCTAAAACTTATGATAATACAAAATCTTACACAATATGAAAAATATATATTACACAATATGAAATAAAAAATGAAAATACATACATACCTGTACACCTGTATATACCTATTTATATGTGTACCTACGTATATTTGAGCACTCTGGTGACTCTACAATACAATCCATACAATGTGTAAACGTACATCTTGTGTCCCAAATGCAGGAGTTACCATTTTACTATGGTGATAGCCGAGAGGGCACATTGTATATACACTTTGTATATATATACTTAGGTACACATAACTATACTTGTACCTATACCTGCATACCTATATATACCTACACATACCTTTACCTATATAAATATATATATTTACCTGTGCGAGGAGTCTTGCCCTTCGAAGACGTATGTATTGTCCACCAGTTATGTGGCTCAATGCCATAAAGAAGTCTCTATATGGAGCCAAAGAAGGTTCGCATCCTACACAATACAAGATTATCCCTTTTCTCGCCATTTCGTGACATATTTGAACAGGATCACGACCATCTGGGTCACCATGAGGAAAATGATCTCCGTCTGGATGCAAGCCATGGGGAGGTGCATCTCCTGTGGAAGGAAAGGATAAGTGAATAAATGGGGAAACTATATGTATACTGTTTATCTGTACGTAAAAATTAAATTTTAAAAATTGGTCAATACAACATCAAAAAGCCTGGAAGTCTTGTCTAAACTTTCGACCTCATTAGCAGTGCTCTTCTTCTTTGCTAATGCAACTATTACAAACTGACCTGGACGATCAAATTTAACTAATTTTTATCTAGTCTGCAAAAGGCAAACAATAGATAGGGGTTAAAAATCTGGACATTCGAAAACCAAACAAATGACTTGATAAAGACTTCACTATCCATCTTCTGTTCTGTTCTGTTATGGTTAGGTTATGATTAGGAAAGAGCTTCTGGTCAGGCATGCAGGTAACAAAGTATGTCACAGGGTATTCTATAATTTCCTTATGTACGTACACAGCATCGATAAAAATAATGGATGACAGTACAATGGACACCAAGTGAAAAATGATCTAAATAACCAAGACAACCCATAACTCTTCATTACAACCTACCTATCCAGATACATATCTTTGTTGCTCTATCCCTGTAGCTAAGATTAGCAGCATCGTACAGGCCACTGGTAACTGCTTCAGGAAAGTCGCCCCCGCCATTAGCTGACATTTGATTTACCCATTCTAAAAAATTCAGCAAACAGATGCTTGCTTCACATCATTTTCCCTTAATATGATTACTTTCAAATACTTTTAGAAAGGTGTGCTTAACCTTAGTATGGTAACATCTTGAAAACTGTCAAAAGCTAAAAACACATCAAGCTAAAGCTTGGTAGAGAACTAAAAACAAATTACACGAAAATCTCTTGAAGTCAGATCAGCTTTCATTGGCACGTATAATAACTAATATGATAGCAACATCTTTAAAACAAAAACTGCCAAAATCCAAGGTTATGCATTCCATATTCTGAAACCGGCTTTAGGGCAAAAATGAAAGACAATCATGCTTTTGAATGTTTTGTACTCTAGAAATGCAAAATTGCTACATTAACATATTTACTAAAGGTATGAATGGTGAAATTTTGCATCAATGAATGCAGCTTATTTAAGAGCTACGGAAAAATTTTTTGAATTTTCGAACAGACCACAAACCTTTCATTTGTGCAACGTCGTGAGTGAAATCGTGAAATCTTGAAACGAAAGATCGATCCTCTGGAGGATGGTCACGATATTCAACCAAAGCAAGATGAACACTAAAGGAAGTCTTCGAAATCTTCTCCGCTATAAAGTTAATGTTTCTTTGAGTTTCACGGATGTACGAGCCCATGGAACCAGTGCAGTCTACAACAAACGCCAAATCCACTTGTTGGTTATCATGACGAGCAGACCATAGTCGAAAGCGATCCATAACTTAATTTTCCGATGTTTTAAGACAGTTGGACCAACTAATTTCAGTTGTGTTTAACAGTAAACCACATTTACTACAGTGACACACTATACATGCATGAATGCTTCTATAAATTCTAAATCATATTCAAAATTCTAATTCGATGCTTCCACTTTTTTAAACAAGATTTCTTGATTTCATTCTCATTATTGCAATATTTTGTAAAAGATACACAAAGAAAACTTTGCAGAAACTGCAAAATTTTTTTCCCGTATATGACTGTGATCCACAAGTACAGACCAATGGTGCAGAAACGTTGTGGACTTGTGGTCAGATTCCAGAGGAAGCGGTTCAGAAATGAACCTTTCCGGAACATCCACTCACATAAATATGCAAGCATAAAATACGTTACATATTTCGATGTGAACTAAAAAATCTAACATTTCAGTTAGTCAGTTGGTACGAATATCAAAAATTTCCTTTGTTCCAGTGCACCTAACATAAATAGTTGTAGTTTACATTTGTACATTGCAATGCAACTTATAAGACTTTTTCGTCACTCACACAACAATTAAAGAGAAAAATTTATTATCATAATTTATTTCTTTGAAAATCTATTATTTCCACAGGAAGGGAACACTAAATGACTAAAAGATTAACATAGCAGGACTAAAAAAGCGGGATGACTACGCTAGTGTCTGTATCTAGGAGTTTTCGACTGCTTAAAAACCCAAACAGATACAACCTTGCAAATGCTTAATTCATCTCCGGCACAAAAGCTCTTTCGCACAAACGTTTAATTAGCTATAAACAAGAAAGTACAGGAAAAATTAGATTTCAGAAAACGAAGAAGAGAATTAACTATAATAGAAGAACTTAAGAACTGTTGAAGCTTCAGCCAGAAAATTTTGTGCAGCCGGTCGATATTGCCCAAATTTTGTTCAGCCTGGAGGCTGGAGATATTTGCACCCAAACTAAAAATGGGATTGATGGCAGCCCAAAGTCGAGGATAAGGTTGATATAAGATCCTACTAAGCGGAAGAAGGTCGGGTGTATAAGATATTGAAGAAAAAGCGAAGTAATCCATCCTCCATCAAAAGAATTTTTGCCAATACCGCGGGGTGGGGGTGGGGGCGGGGTGGTGGTGTATGCGTTATATAGAGCCAAAAATGTTACCACAATCATCCACGAACGTTATAAGACAACAGTCTCCATCACAAACATGGATTCTTATTCAACAATATTATTCATTCAACCCAAGAAAGAAATCAATAAACGTTGCGCATTACTAAACAGTCACAGAGTCAAAAGAGTGCCATTTTTAAAACGTCGGCAACTGCAACGTTATCGTAAAAGAAAACCGACGTCGCTTAAGATTTAAGATCAAAGGAAGGAAAATGTAGCAATAAAAGTTAACTCTAACAAAAAACTCAAATATCTAAAAGTATATTTCTAGTTATAGTCTGTTTTGCTAGACTTTGTAAAGATATAGTTTCTATTCGTATGAAGATGCATTAAAGATACAGTACGATACATTTTGCTTTGGTGAAAAATATGACCATCGTTTGTGAAGCTAAGGACAACGTCTTACACTTCTGTTAATGGACAATGTTCATATCCATCAAAGACAATTCAAAAGTGAATACTTTACTTTCCCTGTCATCGTAAGAAAAATGTTAAATATCGCATGGAAACTAAAACTATTTATTGTTTCTATGAAACACTCCCCTCCTGCCTACTTCAATAAAAAAATTAAAATCTTGTACGTTCGATAGGAGACGTCAAACGGTAATGTCAATTTGCACATCATTTACTTCCATTTCAACATCTTCATTTTCACGAGCTTCCAAATCCAACCTTGCCATTGACCTTCGCGCTAATCTCTCACAAGTTCTTTCGGGGACGACGACCAAAGATGTTATATCAACGGTCGTTATTACTTCAAGTTCATTACGACGAGGTGGCATCGCTTCAGAAAGCTGGAGGTGCATTGCCTGAGCAAGTTGCGGCAATGTGCGCATGTACGACATCTGCCTAGCCAATGGCGTCACTTCGTCTACATCTCGACCGTTTAAACGTACCCGTCTAGTGAGATTGTTGTTCGATGACATCGCCGTGTGTAAGCTCGCTGCGAGTTGCGCAATAGTCGCGCCTGAAGGGCGTGCAAATTCCAAGTGTAAGTGATCGATAACATGTCCCATGAGATTTTCGTTCTCAACTTCTTCTTGAGTAGCATTAACAATAATCTATAGGCAAGAAATCATTAAAAAATAACGTCACCCTAAACTGTGATGATAAGGACCTGACGTAGAAATAGTGGCGCAAAATTGTTTGTGAAGGTTTAGTGCAAGCAGAGAACAGTCCAAAATAACCAAAAGAGAACCGACTCAATGTGAAGTAACTATTGTTACTCTTAGATTACATCCTGTAGCTACATTTTCGATTAGTTTTCCAAAACACAACAATGAAAATATCACGTATAATTGTATATTGAAACCTTTCAATTCAAACAGCAAAAATTAAACGTTCGTCAGGTGGATGGTACATAAACCAAGTAATATTGAAACCTTTCAATTCAAACAGCAAAATTAAACGTTCGTCAGGTGGATGGTACATAAACCAAGTAATATTGAAACCTTTCAATTCAAACAGCAAAAATTAAACGTTCGTCAGGTGGATGGTACATAAACCAAGTAAAATTGAAACCTTTCAATTCAAACAGCAAAAATTAAACGTTCGTCAGGTGGATGGTACATAAACCAAGTAATATTAAAACCTTTCAATTCAAACAGCAAAAATTAAACGTTGGTCAGGTGGATGGTACGTAAATCAAGTAAAGGTAAAATTAAACGTTCGTCAGGTGGATGGTACATAAACCAAGTAATATTGAAACCTTTCAATTCAAACAGCAAAAATTAAACGTTCGTCAGGTGGATGGTACATAAACCAAGTAAAATTGAAACCTTTCAATTCAAACAGCAAAATTAAACGTTCGTCAGGTGGATGGTACATAAACCAAGTAATATTACAACCTTTCAATTCAAATAGCAAAAAATAAACGTTCGTCAGGTGGATGGTACATAAACCAAGTAATATTGAAACCTTTCAATTCAAACAGCAAAAATTAAACGTTGGTCAGGTGGATGGTACGTAAATCAAGTAAAGGTAAAAATTAAACGTTCGTCAGGTGGATGGTACATAAACCAAGTAAAGGTAATCAGCATCGTAAAAGTCATGGTGAATACATACATTACATAATTTCATGCATAAACCTGTGGGAGAAGTCTCGCCCTTCGAAGGGGTATGTATTGTCCACCGGTTATGTGACTCAATGCCATAAAGAATTCTCTGTATGGGACCAATGAAGGTTCGCATCCTACACAATACAAGATTATCCCTCTTCTCGCCATTTCATGACATATTTGAACAGGATCATGACCATCTGGGTCACCTTGAGGAAAATTATCCCCCTCTGGAAGCAAGCCATGAGGAGGTGCATCTCCTGTGGCAAGAAAAGTAAGTATAAATGGGAAATATTTTACATTATAAAATAAACACAATAAAATGCGTGCGCTGATTGGTCAAGATCTGTGTTTGCATAAGCCCGTGCAAAACACATCTGAGCTCAACCAATCAAATCAATCAAAACAATCAATCAGTCAAAGAGAATTTGCAAATCGATCATGAATACATTCAAATTTTAAAGGTTTGTCTGTTTCCCATTATTGTTATTTTATAAAAGAGAACATGCTGTGAGAACCCTCAAGCATGCGCAATCCTCGACTTTCAGTCTCAGGCTTGCACTGATCTGCTCTCAAGTTCTCCCAAAGGTCTCCTCGGTTTGCATAAGCCTGTGCAAACACAGTAAACATCTTTTATTTCTTAATTACAACCATCACCAACAGTCTATCTTGGGACTATACCTGGACAGTATTAACGTCAACAACTTCTAATTGAGTTTGTCAAAAACAAATAAAACAAATGGGTTAAAAACTAGACTTCTCAACCCAAATGAAGGTATACACATGATATCAAAGATTGACAAGTTTAATATTCACAGTCAATGAAAAGTGTTGGTACGGCAGGCAGGGGCGAGACTAGAACGTTAAGTGTGAGTGTGTGGGGGGAGGTGTGGGGGTGTGTGAATATTTATATATTCATTCAGCTCTGCCCAGCTGCATGATTTATTTTGAAATTATAATCACTAACAAATCAAATCAAGCAGAGTTAAATATATGAATATTCATGTTCTAGACTAGGTTCAAGGCAACCCTGGTTCTAGTTTCACTCCTGACGGCAGGATAGGCGTGAAACAAAAAAATATTCTGAATACATTCCTCACATATTGACAAGTTCACACTTAACCTTCACAAAATTTTCACACAGCCTTATCTTAAACCACTGAGACTTACTTTACTAGCAAATACACCGTTTTTCAATTAAACTTGACTTATAGCTAGCAAATTTATATCTTTACCACTCTCCGGCATTTTTTCACAGCGGCCTCTCATCACTGTGCAAATCTTCCTTATTGCATAAATATTTTGGTAAACACACTCAAATTTTTCACACCATGGTGCATTTTTAGGAATTGAGAGGTCAATTTAAGTCATCCAATGGGGATTCATTACCATTTTATATGTTTCATGTTGATTGAACGCTAGGAAAGAGTAGGCAATATATGTACACACCCACTGTGAACAATTGTACAGCACTTGGAATTTGCATAAGGTAGTTTAGCCTGCAATAGCTATTTGTCCCTCCCCCCCGGGGTTGATTTTGTTACACACTTGTATGTATATAGCAGCTTATGGAAAAAATCTGATCATGTTTTTGTAGCCATTATAACTCAGTTATAAGCTGGGGTTGCTTTGAAGTTACAAATTAAATTTTGTAGTAAATTTGATGAGAAAATCAGTGTACAAAGTACTTAAAAACCTGTTTTGCTTTAAGTACTTTAATAAATCCTATGAATTCCCTGTCAAATTCATTAAATTGTTTTGAATGCTAGTTGTATTTGTGCATAATCGTTTTAGTTAATTCATAATTAATTTGTGTGGGTTTTGTTTTTTTTGGGAGGACACTCTAATTAGTCAAATTAGTTTAGAGCAAATCCTATTGGGAGTATTCAAGTTTCAAATAAACTTTAGAAATTTCCAACCACTACGTTGTTAAAAAGATTTAGTCCTAGATCTGGCACTATCTTGAAACTTCTTTAGCATTGTCACCTTAACAAGCCAGATTATGGGATTGACCATTAAATATTTTGCAACATTCATATTTCTTTTCATGCATTTGGATTTTATGATCCAGAAACTAACCTATCCAGAAACAAATCTTGGTTGCCACGTTCCTGAAGCTAAGATTGAGAGCCGCATAAAGGCCAGCTGTAACAGCATCAGGTAAATCACCTCCACCAGCAGCAGCCATACCCTCTACCCATGCTGAAAAAATAATGTCAGTAAACATATGTTTGCCTAAACACATTTCCACTCCATTCATTGGTTTTCTTTCAGTTTCTCATACTGAAAAGAACATTTACAATGTAAAAAATAACATCCATCCCTTTAACAACTATACACTCCATACCATCCTACTATAAATACAAACAAGATTAATTTCAGTTACTTTTTCAAAAGGAATAACAATGAAACTGTCAAAAGAAACAACATCAAGAAGATAAAACTATTCAAAAAACTGAAAACAAATTGGATGAAAAAATGCAGCTTTAAGCAGGTTTGATGATTGTTGGAGTCAACAATACTTCACCTGACATAAAAAATATTCATCAAAAATTGTATAGTGTAACATTCGGTAAACATACGCTGGACAGCGCAACAGCATGCATATTTCCCCATCAGGCAAAGTAAGCTCACTTCTCGAGCAGAGATCGGCTTCCTTTTGAAACAATTACTCAGATGACAAAAAGTTTATAATAAAAAGTTTATGTATTCTTGAAAATGCAATGACATAAGTTCAATTTTCTTGAAAATCAAACGAATCTTTATTGAAGCTTTATGACAAGTCTAAATTAAAGTCATATTTTGTATTGTTTTTGTATTTCAAAGTTCAGAGTTGTAAAAATTAAGTTTCAAACTGCATAACCTTGCTACATTCGTTTGCAAAGACAAACCTGTTCCTGAATTTTATTAAAATTTAAATTACCGGCCAAATATTTGTCTTAAATGGCACATCGTATCATGAAACTGGAAATGAAAAATCTTTTATGAGGATGTATGGCAGTAAGTTCTGCACACTTATTGCAGCCTCGTTAAATTGTAAACGAATTATGAAAAATTTTACAATCATAGAACGAGTCACAAACCTGTCACTTGTTGTTCATTGTAGGAAGTAAAACCGTGAACTCTAGAAACGAAAGTTTCATCCTCTGGAGGATGGTCACGATATTCAACCAAAGCAAGACGAACATTAAATGCAAACCTCTTAATGCTGTTGGCTATATAAATAATTCTATTTTTTATGCGATGGATATACGAATGCATGGAACCAGTGCAGTCAACAACAAATACGAGATCCACTTGTTGGCTATCATGATTTGGTAAATGAAAGGACAGCGAGCGCCCAGACATAACTAAAATTTTCACATATGCTGTACAAATCGATCTTTTAGTACAATGCTGTAGAGTCAACTAGATCTTGGAGTGGAAAATCGTAAACCACGACGAGCTATACGCTCGCTCAAGCGTCAACGCGATACGTATTAAATTTTAAGAATTAAAAGACGTCTTACACAGAAGCTGCCGACACGAGCAACTTCCTGTAGACCCCACCCATCATATTATACAAGAAAAAATATGTAAACATTCATTCAAGCGTTCATATTATTATCACGAAAACAAGTGATTAAAAACGCCATCCCAAAGCACTACGCTATAAAGGGAAAAGCAGTTATGGTCTGCCAGGCCACGAGGAAAGCCAGCCTTGTAAAAGTGAGTGTAAGATTGGGTGTTAAAGCGTGAGGTACACCCCACCCCACCCTACAAACCCCGGATATGTCTTCTTCGCAAATGGGAGAAAATGCCCTAGGAATATTTCCCTCGGCTAACAAGAGGGAGCTTCCTTTCGCCCTTTTTTATTTGTAACATTTTTTAGGTGGTACAGACCACGAAGAGCACAAAGCTCTTACCGTTTCGTGAGAAAGAAAACCATACATTTCTGATGTAATCTGTACAGCTGCAACCTTATTTAGCAACTCACATTTCGGTTTAGTAGATTATAGTTTTCTTAGAGAGTGTTTTAATTTAATCATGAATGGTTTTTCACATGTTGAATACTTTGCATAAAGTTTTTGCGTAGCGAACCATTCACTAAATTATGTATAAGTTTGGCTTCATTTGTGTGCTGCGTTCTTTAAGTGTGAGCCATATTAGGCAACAGAATAAGAAAAGAATGACGGGAAAGGCTTGTCAAACGATGATTTTTATAGAGTAATAGGGTGTACTGTGGGGACTGTAAAAATGCTGGTCAAGTGATGGTGTCCTTAATAAAAACCCGTGTCATGGACGATAACGAAACGTTTGGGGTTATAGCTTGGAAAAGCAGGAGCCAACAAGAAGCAGATCACCGAAGATTGAGTTTCTTTGCAATTATCATACTATAGAATAGAAGTTTAATAAGACACTCCGCGAACTCATTAGGAATTCAATCAATTTAACAAGGAGGCGTCAGCTAAAATATGCAAAATCTAAAAGCAACGCATACGCTTCAATCAGCTCAAATTCACCTCTTTGTAGAGCATAAAGACCAGATCGTTGTCAAACAGATCTATTAAAGACCATAAAAAGACAAAACAAAGAGATGCAAAGTCATGGAGATTTTCGAAAGTTTACTTCTCCATTTAAAAGCTATGAATAGTCAGTACCGTTATTGCCGTAGAATGACGCAAGAGTTAATCTCCATATATAAGAAATAAAAGATGATCACTGTGTTTTTACGGGTTTAAGCAAACCGATGAGACCTTTGGAAGAACTCGAGAGTAGATCAGTGAAAGCCCGAGGCCGAAGGTCGAGTTAAAACATCTTTTATTTCTCTTATAAAATAAAATAACGCAAAAAAGACAAACATTTTAATTGTTCCTCCAAATGTATTAATGATCGATTTGCAAATTCTCTTTGATTGATTGAATTGATTTGATTGGTTGAGCTCAGATCGTTTTGCACAGGCTAATGCAAACACGGCTCTGGACCAATCACTGCACGCGTTTCATTGTTTTTATTTTATAATGATAAAATGTTGCATGTTCGTCATTCAATAACGTAATTATGAATAGAGTTTCTGCTCAAGGAATAAACGGTCTTTCCATTAATTATAGTTTTTGTTTATACAGTTGTTACAAGTGCTTTAATTTGTTCCAGAAGTTTACACTTATAGTTCATCAAATCACCTGAAAAGTATAAAGATTCTTAAATTTTGCTCCATCGCACACAACTGCCATGCAAATGACAATTATCAATTCGACACATTGATTTCTAAGCCGTTATCTATATCAACTAGTCACCAAGACAAAAAGAGTTTTCATCGTTGCCAAAAATCTCACACAGAAATTCCATCAGTGATACTTTTTCACAAATCAGTAGCAAAAATTAAACTACTTTATAGTGAGTACGTATCAGTTTATTGAATTTATAGAAAGAAAAAAAATGAACATTGAATTGTTCATATCTATCTATAGAGGTGAATAGAAAATAGATAATGTATAAATCACTCTTCAGAAGGACTTTTGTCAACATTAAAAGGTTCTTCCACTGTAATCACTCCACTGTCTTCAATAACACAGTCCTTAACAGGTTTACTTTGGTCAACTTGAACATTTTCAATTTTCCTGACGACATCCTAAAAATTAGAATATATGCAATGTTCATATAGCTCTCCGTTTTATCAACATTTCAATATTCCTAACACGTGATACAACATTAGAAACTTGATTGGTCCAAGAAAAAAGGTGACTTGATTGGACACTTAAACTATCATCATGAATGGAACTTCCAAGCAGGGGTCATCCTAAGAAAAATGTAGTATTACTCATGCTTCGAATCCGCAAGGGGGGGGGGGGTCCAGGTTGGTGTTTAAAGAGGAAATTTAGGCTCGAAAATGATTGAAATTCGGGTGTTTGAAATGACATTGTCATAGTTTTGAGAAAACTATTTGAAAAAAAATTAGGTAACTTAGAAGATTTAAAGATTTAAACACAGATAAAACAACAAAATCAATATCAAAATATTGAATTTTATTTGAAGGGCAAACACCTGAAACCTTACCTAATTAACTTCTACGCAAACATTACTGCCCTGAAATTTTTCAATTTTACAGAGAAACTAGATAATCAATATTGAACGTTTCGTGATCTTTACGTTTGAGTAAACTAACATACGCATTTTTCTCTCCAAAACTTAGGTTTTAGAACCACCCATTTTTCAACTGGACCTAGCCCATTTTGGAAAGAGAAAGGCCTAAAAATGACATCTGTTTTTGTACAACTAACCATTCCTTCCAATACTTTACCAAACACAACATGACGACCATCAAGCCAAGACGTCTTGACAGTTGTAATGAAGAATTGTGAACCGTTTGTATCTTTACCAGCATTCGCCATACTTAACCATCCTGCACCATAATGCTGAATCTTAAAGTTTTCGTCGGCAAACTTTTCTCCGTAAATACTCTTACCTAATAAAATTCAAAAATCCGTAACAAAAATGTCACGATGGAGGTGCCTTTATCAAGATCAGGGAAATCACTTCTTCGAAGTTAAAACACGTCGTTAAATCGATTTTAAGAACATTTGCAATAAACTTTTTAGGAGAAAAATGTTATCTTCATGGGCAGTTTGGGCCTGGTAGATGACTCAGTGCCGGAAGTGACGTACATACATAGGAGATCACGTGGATAGAAGATACGTATAGCTTTCATGATACACGTTTATAGTAAAGAAAAAACGTTTATATATTAGAACTGTTTGGACACTATTTCCCACTAAAACTCTAAACTATATAGTGTTTATACATTACGAAACAAGCGGAGTCACCTATGTACGCACGTCACTTCCGGTGCAGAGTTCGCTATGTCTATTCCCAAAAAGCCCATGAAGATAAAGTTTTCGTTCTATGAAATAAATTTCAAATATTGTTAAAATCAATTCAACTTTCTAAAGACGTTATTTTCCTCACCTTGATGTAGACACTTTAGGGTTCGAAAGCAAAGTACGTATTTGTCGAGTTATTATTTAAGGCGACACATATTAGAGGTAGTCTAAAAGAAATGTCCCGAAAATTGTGAGGCACGTAGTAAAATAATCTCCAAAGGACCAACCACATCATGATTTTAAATATAGTCAAGTGCAAAGCGTTAAGATTACTCAGCGGTGTTGCTTTTAGAAATGGCGTGGTAGTTGAAACGTATAATTGCGAGAAATGAACGGTTGTTGCGACAACAATAAGTTGGCATCTGGTTTTTACGGTTTGTTGCGACAACAGGCCTGATATTGATAACGCGACGGTCGAGCGCGGACGATAAGTTCTTCCAAGTGCAACTCGGCATGAAGTAAACCAATTGTGAAAGAAAAAATATGTATACAGCAATTTTCGTGAGAAAAAAATACAAGCTAGCTAAAGCAACAAAATTGTACTAAAACGGGGCTTTCAAACATTTGCTTAACTTCTTCTCTAACATGAAAAAATTCATGTTTGTAAATGTAGATCGTCCAGGTTGATATAGTCCTCAGAAGGACTCTGACGATGACTCATTTTGACTCTGAAGATGACTACCGCTAAGATTGTCGAAACGTCAGTCAACAAAACATCAGGACTATATTAATGATCTTTTACAAACATGTAACGATACTCTAGGGTTCAAACCGTAAACTTTATGAAAAAATTCAGTTCAGAAGTAGAATTTTAGTGTAAATAGTACATACTTACCACCAGTTCCATCACCTCTAGTAAAATCACCACCTACGTAAATTATTGAATGTCAAATATAAACATAGCATTTGGTAAAATACAGTAATATATTGCAAAGTAGAGTGTAAGCACGTAAAATATTAGTTGCTTTTGCTTCAGCCATATGCTGCAAATACATATTTACTGCTGTTTTCATGAGTGCGCCGTGCGCGGACTTTTCTGATGAGTTTGTATAGTATAAAAGTAACATTCAGTCTAGGTCAACACAACGTTTAGTCAAGGCCAACGGTACGATTAAACAAGATCAATGCATCGTTTGGCTGATTCAGCGATGTTATTGGTTGAAAACCGCCAAACCGTTGTGTTGACCTTGACTAAACTTTGTGTTGTCCTTGATTAAACGTTACTTTAATACTATACAAACTCATCAGAATTCAGCGCGCAGGGCGCTCATATGAAAATAGCAGTAAAAAAAGTGTAAGGAGGAAATGTGTAAAAACTGAATCAATACCACATTCCCATGATGCTTTGCTAACAAGCAAGTTGCCAATTTGATGAAATCTATAATTTCTTGAAGAATAAAAAATATTGAACAAAACAAGCTTTGAATGTACAATGGCAAAAATAGGTACGCTAAGCGTACATGTAATGCGTACATGCTTTGCTAACATGCAAGTTGCCAACTGATCAGATCTATAATTTATTGAATAATAAAAAAGTTTGAATTAAACAACCTTTGAAAGTACAATGGAAAAAATAAATCTAATTTAAAGAAAGCTAAAATGAGAACACAATAACTCTTACGTCATTGATCGCAGGTATTTTTTTTATGTAGTAAAGCAACATGTTAAGAGCAATTGTAACCTAATCGCTGATTGGCTTCTAATTTTAAAAGAGCGTCTCTGAATGGCTAGAAGTTACTCACAGTGCGGTGGAGTAGAGTACGGTACGCTTGCGACAATATATCTGCTTTGCTGGTATGAAAACTGCCTTTCATAACTTATTCTACTTTTTAGTTAGTTTCAACTCATGATTATCTAAGCTGGAATCACAAAAACTAATGTAAAGTTTCTTTGAATGCATCTGAAAAAGTGAGCAACTGAACATTAAACAAAAACATTCAACTCATGATTATCTACGTAAGCTGGAATCACAAAAACTAAGGTAAAGTTTCTTTGAATGCATCTGAAAAAGTGAGCAACTGAACATCAAATAAAACATTCAACTCATGATTATCTACGTAAGCTGGAATCACAAAAACTAAGGTAAAGTTTCTTTGAATGCATCTGAAAAAGTGAGCAACTGAACATCAAATAAAACATTCAACTCATGATTATCTACGTAAGCTGGAATCACAAAAACTAAGGTAAAGTTTCTTTGAATGCATCTGAAAAAGTGAGCAACTGAACATTTAAATAACAATTACCTTGAATCATAAAATCTTTAATCACACGATGAAATTTACTTCCTTTATACCCAAATCCTTTCTGAAAATAGAAAATTCATTAAATCCTATATAAGAAGCAAAGTATGTTTCATTATTTAAAACATTTTAACATTAGTAATTTTACGTTAATTTGGCATTTCGTGACATTAGCTGTCCAAACAATTTATATACATGCACAAAATATAAAAGTACAACAAGCTGGTATTACCATTCACATCAAAGGTAGCAAAACCAAAAGTAGGGTGGCACCTAAGCTTGTGCAGGCATCCTACACCTGCAGGTTGTTTATAATTATTTAACATAAAGTTTCATCACGAGTTGTCATATAATGCATGGTTCAATCAAAAGCAAACACTTAATGCTTTATGAAGGGGAAGTCAAAATATGGCTGACAATTACTTTGGTGCATGAAATATATATTTCGTACAATATTCTTCAAAAAAGTTCACACAAAATGTTGTTATTGTTGTTGTTGTTGTTGTTGTTGTTGTTGTTGTTGTTGTTTTGTTGTTGTTGTTGTTTTGTTGTTGTTTTGTTATTGTTGTGTTGTTGTTGTTGTTATTGTTATTATTGATTTATTGTTATTGATTATTTATTTTTATTTATTATTATTATTTATTGTTGTTATTTATTATTATTGTTATTTTTATTTATTTTATTTATATTGTTGTTGTTATTTGTTGATTTGTTTTCATTGTTGTTGTATTTATTGTTGTTGTTTTTGTTTGTTGTTGTTGTTGTTGTTGTTGTTGTTGTTGTTGCTGTTGTTGTTGTTGTTGTTGTTGTTGTTGTTGTTGTTAGAAAATGTTAGATGATGACCTCATCTTGCCCTACTGATTATCATGCACAGAGTGTAATATAACATCTAGCAAACCTCATGTGTTGCTAAAGCCTTGAAATTCTCTACAGTCTTTGGTACAGTACCACCGAATAAACCAATAACAATTCTTCCAGTTTTTTCACCACCAATTGTTATATCAAAGAACACCTAAAGTTTACGTACAAACAAATTGAAGTACAAAAATCGATTTTACTTCATCTCAATTCCATATGATTATATGGACATTTCTGATCAACATTACTTGGTGAATTTTCATTCTTTAATGAAACAAGTGTCAATTTATTCAAATTTCCAGCAAACAATATATTTCCCAACTTCAAGTCTTTGTCCAAAAGTCTGGACAGGCATAATTTGGTTTAAGTGCTTCCTACTCTACATGTTCATGGAGGCTTCAGACAGTTAAGCATCTTTCCATCCTTTTATGCTGGTATGTTAATTGACTCTAAGGAAATCATCACTTATTTGTCATCACTTAATAACCCCTCCCCTTATTTATATTCACCACTACATATAATACCAGCTGGTGCCATATCAGCCTGTTACACATGCACAATAAGTACTACCATCTTATCCATTATTGTGAAGCTCCATAGAAACAAACAACTATTTTAGAAAGTCAGATAAGATAAGCATTGGCAGCAAAGGTCAAAAGAAACAGCAAATGTATACAAAAAAATCCAAACACAAAGCAAACAGCGCATGAAGGATGCGGGGAGGGAAATGGGGACGTTTAACAAATATAAAATATTTATACAGTATAGGCTATTCTGTACAAAATTGAAAGGGTATTTTTTACCTTGTCCGTTACTTTAGGGCCTTTGGCTGCTAAAACAGGTTGACTACGAGACGCAAAATACACTAGACAAAGAATAACAGCAGAGAACACAAATACAAATTTCATCTTTGACTTCATACAATTTCGATCCACCTAGTAAATGGAATCGCTATTATTTGTAAACAGAATAATTTCTGCAAGTTTGCTGTCTTACCCCGGTAATATTTTTCTCATGAATTAAAAAATGGTCGATCGTGTATCTAAATTTCAGCCATTTTCAACTGAGCGGATAGCACGCTCTTGATGATCGAAAAGATGAGATCAAATTTACGAAACAAAATATTTTTGGTATAGTAATACTCGAAAAATACTGGCTTTGTCAATTCATTGCCAAAGTTTTGCCAATCAGACAATGCACGTGCTTAACTGGTAGATTCTTGCTTTTGGTTGGTCCACGAATACATGCACGTGTTTAAATTTGATTCATTAATTGATGATTAATATTATAACTTTTTAAGTAAAAGTACAATTTTAATTGATCACAGAATCAGTCGGTTTGCGGAGATGAAGCGCGTTCAAGTATTTATTGTGTTCTCGGCTTTTTTGGCATGCGTGTTGTCAGCGGACAGTGTTTCAACTAAAGTAACGAAACAATGTTATTTTGATATCACCATCGGTGGGAAGTTTCAAGGACGCGTTGTTGTAGGTTTGTTTGGCGAAGTTGTACCAAAAACTACAGAAAATTTTCACCAACTTTGCACGCACGAGGTAACTGTTCAAAATTTATTCCAATATGAAATCATCTTAAAACCTTCTGATGCATTTGGTTTGTTTTGTTGCATGGCTGATGATTCTATATATAAAATATTTAAGTTCGTCCTCGACTCCCAGACGCCGTTACTTAACCGGGCTAACATCCTTTCACCTATGTGATCATTTGGCGAAGCTTTGAATGGAATAATTTTCATCGAGTTTCTATCACTTTTTCTCTTGATTTTTGTCAAAAATTGATGACTTAATCAAACTCACGGGATTTTAAAAGACTTGAAGACAATGCCCACAATACATATTGCTTGAATGCTGGTGCCAGTTTTGTTTTGTGACAGTATTTATGAATTTAATTATTTATTTTTGCATATAAAAAAACTGCAGAAAGGACTTGTTGTGTCAAAGCTCGAGTTTAGGCAGATGGCCTTTGGTTCTCTTAACATTGCAGTTTCCTTCTTCCCTAAGTTTGCTCCCTGTACTAAAATATAATAGCTCATTTGCTACTGCAGTTTATTCAATTTTATTATTTAAATTAGAAAGGATTTGGCTACAAAAACAGCAAATTTCACCGAGTCATTAAAGATTTCATGATTCAAGGTGTGTTACACAAGGACTGTAATTTTTCTCTATGACTTTTGAAAATTTAAATGATGCCAAATTTATCATCTTATTTACAGGTGGAGATTTCACTCGTGGTGATGGCACTGGAGGTGTGTTGATGTCTGATCTATCTTATCACATAAAAACTTCATAAGTTTGACAAATTTATTAGAAAATATGCAATTTAAAATTGTAATTGGCAGATTTAGCATTTGGAAGCTACATATTTGGGATGCAGACAACAATTATTCTACTCAAAGACAAAGTCTTGTTTCTGCAAGTAAATAAAAAGTGCCATGTTTCACCTTACAACTTTTAGTTGCAGTGAATACTGGGCATACGATAAAACTGAGCAAAAAATGTAATAAAAAAGAAAAAAATATTCACATGCTTTGCATGAAAGTACTTCATGTTTTAAAGATATTTGGACAACCTAAACCAATATGCAAAGGCAAAAAAGAAAAGTTGTAGAAAAGCAACATCAGACACCTTTGAGTGTAGAGTTGAAGTGCTTACCACATATAGCTATTGTGACTTCCTGACCCAATTGTGCGAAAATTTATTTCATCCTTTTGCAGGTAAAAGTGTTTACGGAGAAAGGTTTGCTGATGAAAACTTCAAACTGACCCATTATGGTGCTGGATGGTTAAGTATGGCGAATGCCGGTAAAGATACGAATGGTTCACAATTCTTCATCACAACTGTAAAAACTCCATGGCTTGATGGTCGCCATGTTGTGTTTGGAAAAGTTGTTGATGGCATGGTATGTTTTGTTATTAGTAACATAGCCAGCCAGCTTGCAAATTTTTGATTTGCTCTGTAAGTTCTAAGCATTATCTTTATTCATGGACCGTTATCCTTTGGACAGCAAAAATTTTCAAACTTGTAAGAAAGGTGTTTATATTTTCTTACGACAAAGAAATTTTGTAATCTTCGAAACAATGTTTTATTTCAGTGATTGCGCATTTCAATCGTATATTTTTCTCTTATAAGAGATTTTATGAACGTTCAAAAATTCTATCCAGTTTATAACGCTATCCGGGCTTCGTGCAACCTGTCCCATATCTTTAAAAATCTATTGTTTTTCATTACTTACACGTAAAACATTTTCACGACAAGACTAAATTTGCACCTTTGTGTGTTATTAGAAATGAACCAATTACCAAAATTACCGATTACTGAAGCCGATTATTCGACATAATCAGCCGATTAATCGGTTTTACCGATTACTTTTTATTTTACTAGTTACTAGTCTCTTTGGCCCAGGGCAGTTTAGTAATTCGTTTTGAAAAATTTATAGCAATGATTGACGATGTAGTTAACGCTTTGTAATTTGTGATTTGCTGTTCAAAATTGTTGACAATCAAATCATTTATTATTGTCATAGGTGATAGGTCTTGTATTGTTAACGAATTAATTTTACTACCTTACTCCAACGAGCTTTTATTGGAATAATATAGCAGAGTGATGTTACCAATCATTAGTTAGTAATTAGTAATTAGTAATTAGCAAGGTTATTTCCTGCACTGAAACAGAAGTTTATGTACATCACAGGTAAAAACAAAGTGATAATTAACTTATTGAAAGTACGACCCTACTAAAGTCAAGTTTATGCGAATATTCAGTTGCCTTTTTTGCTCTTTCCTTATTTCAATTTCTGATTTTATCTTTAAAAGGATGTCGTCCGAAAGATTGAAAACACTAAAACTGGTCCAGATGACCGCCCCCTCAAAGACGTTGTCATTTCTGACTCTGGCGATGTAAAGGTGGACAAGCCTTTCGTCGTAGATAAGACAGCTGCAAAAGAATAAATTGATAGTTTTGTCAATTGACGTTATTTCAGTTATGATTTATCATATGCTTTAGATTATGTAATACTGAAATATGTTTTCAACCACACCTAATCCTTTTTACTGTCTTTCTTACTGATCAATTGAATATATTCTGTAGTCCTTTGCCTGTTAGCTTTCGCCTACACACGGAGTCGTAGCATACTGTGGAGATACACCCCAGTTTAAGCGAAGTCGTCGGTTCATATCGCTTTTGAAGAAACTTTTAAAGATTTCTCATTTTCCCAAAGTAAGTTTTGTATGTGTATATGGATATTGCACCAACTGAAAATATTATTTCACCAAATGCTTTCGAAGTGACTCGTGTTCGTCAGTAAAATCTTACCACCCCCTCCCCTCAGTTTGAAATGTCACGCTAGGACCCAGCCCACACAAGCCCACCATGATCGTGACACTCAATCACAGAAAAGCCGACAGCCTAAAGCAAACTCACGTGTAAGCTCACGTATGTACTCGAAAACCTAGACTCAGAGCAAAACAATGTCATTACAGACACCAGTACAAACCACACAAACATTGCAACCGTGACAGTCACGTGTTTTTGTATCACAACATGTTTATCAATTCAAGTGAACTCTAACCGTCATAACCTTCAAAACGAAAATTGTGTACATGTAAAGGGTGGACGACAAGACAGCAATTAGTTATTTAGACATTATCTTTTAATAGGTTTTATGAAAAATGTTTTAATTTTACATGAAGTCGATGGATGTTTACAAAACACGTCAAAATATATGCCGCGGGATTTGGTTTAGTTGTGGATTAAGCGTTAGGCAAAATCAATTGTTTTTACCACTTTCCATTTTACAACTGGCCTCTGAACCCTTTCGAGTAAAACACAATGTAATTCGGCGCATTGATCTTACTTATAATTTATTCATTTCTATGAATAGTAAATACAATCTTTTAAACATGCATAATTTACACAGCAGGTTGATTGTAGTCAGCTTTATTTATTTGCTATGGCGACCTATAAACTATGGCTACCCTTTTTTGTTTTCAACATGAAAGATATCAGCTCTTTTATCTTGATCAAAAGAATTTAATGTTCGCCATCCGTAAGAAGAAATAATGTGGGATTTCTTTTTGTTGAAAAGGCGAAAACACGTCACTGTCCTATTTGGCATGCATCTACTACTTATTCATGCTCTTTACAGTAGTACAGATGTTCTGATGCAAAAGCTGCATACTTCTGTTGAATCTTCAGTTGTATCAACTGCGACTGGTAAGCGTTGATTGAGGCTTTTCAATCACATGTTTGTAAGTCCAACACTAGTGCTTCATTTCCATACATATATGAAGTGTAAGTTTTGTTTTCTAAGTTAGTATTATTTTAATAACTTTAGCGAAAATCATCGATGATAAATGTAAACATTTTTTGTAAGCTGTGACATGACGACAAGTCCAGTTGCCATGTTTTACATTTGAAACTCCGAACTCGTAGGAAACATTGAATGATCGATACGTTTCATGTTGTAGTGTCAAATTGTCACTAAAAGTCTTGTTGAATCATAGTGAAATGGTAATTTGTTAATTACAATGTTATTCCCCACTTGAGAGTGTTTTTGAAGGATTAGCTTTGGTGATTCGAAAAGTTTTTCTTATGAAAGATACGTTCTTTTAATTGTCATAATGAAAAGGCTCTTCAGAAACAACGTTAGCCGTCAGGCTTTGTAATATTTAAATATTTATTAGCACTCATCTTCGTAAGTACGAAAAGCAACAAACTGTGGATTATTTCTTGACTCCAAATCGACATAGATATATACTTTTGCATTACTTTATATGTTTAATAGAAGTAGACTTTAGAGTTTATAATTACACAAAGAAACAAATTCTATGTTCGTTTTTCAAAGCAGTTCGTTATAATATGGTTAGGCATTACTTTCTTTGACATCCAAATAAAACGAAGTCTTTGGAATAGAGAAAAATATAGTGTATAGGTCTATACAATCCTAATATGATCAGTATAGATACATAAAGGCTATTAATATCTTGTATCTACGATGTATTGAAATATATTTTACAGCTGTCCATTTTTATGCACATAATAATTTACTTCATTGTCTCCTAAATTTTAATCGTCATCTCCTTTTGAGAATTTTTTGAGAATTAAATTTTATCCTGTTGCTTATGTTGTTTCAGTTCCAGTTTCAATTCCATCGCATGGAAATTACTTTCCGAAGGACTTCTCTTTCAAAAGTTTTGAGTAATAATTTAAACGGGATATTTTATCGAGAGCGACATCCAAAGCTAATAACATAACATTATCAAGTTTTTACTCAACAAACGTTGTGCCGATTGCAAATAGCACAGAAATAATGGAATTCAAATCCTTCAAGTCTCACGATTTTCATAATAACACTTTGCCGCCAGTCACTGTGAAAAAAAGTCCTGCTTTCATTGTGGTTAATTCATCTTCAATAATTCTGCCAAGCTTGACAAGTCTTTCGAGCTATAGTCAACGCCACATATTGCAGTCTATTGGTAACACGATAGAGATTAGTTCGTCTAGTATCGTAACGTATGTTGGTAGTGAGAATTTATCAACAGCAGCATTGATGAGCATTTCATCTACGGATCATTCACGTCAAACCTATGATGCTTTTCTAACTGAAAATATTCAAGCGAAAATGGGCCAAATTAGTTCTTCAATTGAAGATTATGATAAGTCACAACAAGCTTTCAGTTTAAGAGTGTCAGAAGCGAACAAAGCTGGCTATGTTTCCCAGAACATGTTTGTGACTTCACTTGTTGTCATGGAGACAAGCAGTTCAACTCCCAGCGTTAAAACAACGCCAACTTTGCAACGATCGTCCAAGAAAAGTTCATTGATAAATAATCCAATTAAAACATACAGTTTAACTGAATCTGGACTAAGTAAGAAAAGTATTAAACCAGGCAATTTTTCATTATTTGATCAGTCTGATACAAGAAATTCTGCTACTGTGAGAGAATCAAAATATGAGAATCAAAGCTCAGCGTCCGAAGAAATTGTACCTTCCAACGTTGGAAAAAGTGCTGACACAGACAACAAGATAAATATGCACATGTCGTCCATTAATAGTTCGTCGTTACGTCATCAAAACCAAACCTTTCATTTACATCAATCTGAAGTTAGCAAAACGAGTGCAAACCAGATCATTACCTCGCTTTTTCATCAATTTGACACCTCTCATCAGATACCATCAAGCTTCGCCATCTCGAAAGATTTTTCGATGTGGTCGCCTTTGATAAACATTAGTATTTCGACAATTGGCAGCACAAACACGATCTTGTATAAAAGTCGTGTTTTAACTATCGTTCCTATATATTCATCATGTTATGTTTCTTATAATATAACCATATCTCACAGAACTTTGTTACAATCAATAAATTCCAACTGTTCAGTCGTGATCCGTCTTCAACTCATAGAGACAATTCTTTGGCGTCTTTTAGTAAAACATCATTGCTAACTACATCAATAAAAAGCATCTTTGATCAATTAACTCAAGCACCATCGGCAACAGAACCGTTGACTACACTACCTGAAAACCGATTGTCAATGTTTCCAAATTCAATTTTTTCCACTGTACATGCGTCGGTCATGAATAGTTCTGGCACAAGAGCAAATGAAACAAAACGCTTAACAACAAGTCCACTGACAGGAATAAACATTGATGTGCACACATCCTACAACAACGAAGTTTCCAAATCTTTTAGTGAAAGAGGAAGATTTTCATCGAACGTCGTTAAAGCACCAAGCTTGATAACAAGTTCTAAAGACTCATTTATGATTTCTGCTACCAGTACATTAGTACCAATATATAGAAGTATTGCCGAGAAAGTAAATGCGAGTACTATGGTAAAAATCCAAAGAACTGAACTTAATCTCCAGTCAATCAGTAAAACATTAAAGTCACGGATCACTAAAGCTACCAACGTGTCAACAAACACGAGTGAGTCAAACCAATATTTAAAAAGAACAAGTACAAATTCAGTCTTTGCAAAGTCTGAAAAAAGAAATGAAGCAAGCATCACTTCTCAATTTGTTGTTGTTAAAAAAACTTTGAAGGAAAACCTTTATGCGAATCAGTCAAATAAAAAGTCGATTTCAACTAGTGTTTTTAAACGACAAAATTTATTATCAACTTCACAACAAACCACTTCGGCAAAATCTCGTTCTCTTTCACAAATGTATTATCCGATAAATACTTCTACATTACCGGCGATCCATGATCGACGATCTGAAAATATTAGTGAAAGCTATTTTATCATATCCTCCGCTATCATTTCGCCAACTCACAAAGTAACTCCATTTTATGATGGCAAGTCTAATCGACGGCATGGATTTGGAAAGGGAAGTACACTCATTCCTGTTGATGGAACATATACACCTCTCACCTTAAAATCATCGTCTTTATTCTCAAGCTCGAACAAATCAATTCAATCGTCAAGTTTAGCTTCAAATTCTGAAAATTACATTGTTTCCATGAAAGCAAAATCAACTAACTCCACAAACCTATTACCAGCTGTTAAGACTACTTCATCAAAAGGATTTAAATTGTCAACTTACAGTACTTATAAAATTACTAGTGGAAAATGGAGCTCAATATATGTTTCAGATGCGCCAAAATCATCAACAATTTTAATACAACCTTTTTCCACAGGTTTCGAAACTTCTTCTAACTCGATTGGTATCGCTCCGTCAAATGCAAGTTTGCAAAGTTTACAAGTGAAAATAAACTCTGCATATCTTAGTTCTAGCCATTCTACAGCTAAACTTAACACACTCCCTAGTTTCTTGAGCGGTTTTACCAGATATTTTATAAACAAGAACTCTACGATGACTTTATTAAACAAGGTCAATACGTCCGTGGAAGCAATAAACAAGACAGCACTAACTAGTGGCTCAATTGTGATTTATGCTTCCGATACATCTGTACCGTTTTATTCAAAGAAAACTGTCGAAGTGAATTCAAGTGCAATGGAAATCCTTAGATCAAGGAATACAACTTCTTATTCAGTAGGTGGAAAATCAAAGTCAATAAACATTTCAGTCACCTTTTTATCATCAGATGCAAACAACTTAAATAAACATTCACGAACAGCAAATACAAATCTTGTCTTTGGGACCACTGAGAGAGTAAATATTGCAAGCACCACACATCTTATCGCCGTTGTTACGACAACCTCAAAAACAAATGTTCGTGATTTAAATGCTTACTCAATATCATCAACTTTCTCAGAAACAAATGTTCATGATTTAAATGCTTACTCAATATCATCAACTTTAACAGAATGGCAAAAATTATCATCAGTTTTACAGCAGGCCACTTTAACAACATCTTCCCTCCGCCATCAAACGAGGATGTGATAAATACTGATACACTAGCTGTAAACTTTGCTCAAACATCTGAAAGTGCAGCTAAAAGTTCTTTGATAATGTCCCCCACGATCCTTTTGACTACGAAGAAAGCAATGTCATCTTATAGAAGCAAAGTAAATCAACTGCATAACGATGGAATTGTTGGAACTCCCAGTTCTCAGGCAACTGTTAAAAACGGGATACTGGTGTCGTCAATTGTTTCTGAGAAGCAAATGTCACCATCAATTTTCAAAAAATCTTCGACAAAGGCTAACAAGTATATGCTGGCAAGTCGTACTGCTCAACGTAATGTAAGTTTACAAAGGGAAGACTACGCAACATTCGTTTACCTCAGCTATTCTTACTTTAAAGATAGCACAAGCTCCAAATTTTCAAGAACTCCTAATCCTTTCGTTAAAGAAGCAAGCAGGACAACGGACTTTACGGGGATTTTGCCACAAGTACATTAATACCATTTAATTCAAAGAGTGCTGTGAAAATAAATTCAAGTACAAAAATGACAATTGAAAGATCAGAGTACGTTACTTCAAATTCTTATTCAATTGGTGTAGTATTGGCATTACCTGTTAACACAAACCTTTCTATACCTCCAAGCAAAAGTTATTCACATCAGCATCTACCAAAAACTAAAACAAGTTCAACAACAAGTACAATTGACAAAAAAATCTTCACCATTGTTGCAAAAGCTTCAGAAAGAAGCATTCTCGTAGATTCTCAGACAAAAAATCAGTATCATCAACTGTATCTGAACAACAAGAATTAAAATCAATATCACGAAAGTTTACTTCAACAAAATATTTTGTCCCTTCACCTACTGGTTATATTAAACCAAGTTCTCATCCCACTCTCATTGATTTGAATGAAAGCGTTTTGTTCGCTACACCATCGTTAAAGAAATGGTTTTTTTCGTCAGATGCGTCTGGAAAATCAACTGTATTGGAGAAAACAAATTCTGATTTCATGTCTTCGCAAAGTTTATCTGAAAAAGACACTTCCGATATCCTTAGCAAGAGTAAATTGACGTCAAAAGTCAATGATCACAGCTTCATTAACGTTGCAGTCAACAACACTCGTATCAAACAAACATCGTCCCCAGGTCTAAACAACACTCATATCAAACAAACATCGTCATCAGGCCTAAACAACACTCAAATCAAACAAACATCGTCACCAGGCCTGTGCTTAGTTAGCTACTCAACGTTGTATGTGACTGAATTTTTTCTTTCAACTTTGGAAGAAGTTTCAGCTTCACAAGTAGAAAAAGATTTCAGCTTTCAGACACCTAGACCATTACAAAAAACATCGACTTCTCCAATCACAAAAGTAAATCATGCGTATACGGAAACCGTACAAGATACATTCTTTCTTCTGTTTACTAAATCCACCAATTTTTATAGAACATCAATGTCTTTGACTTCAGCAAGCATGATGGTAGCTTCTGCACGAAACAATATTCTTCCCAAGAGCGCAAAAAGACTCAATTCATCCACCGTACATCTTGATTTTGAAGCAAACACATTTACACCTCAAACTTTGTCTTCATCATTCATCGAAGCAAACAGAACAAGTGCAATCAAAAACGCAACTTTCAGTGTCGGTAGTACCACTTACCCAACTATCGGATTAGAAGAATCAATCAAAACAGATCAGTCATCCACAGAAAGATCTATAAATGGAAAAAGCACTATGACCATGCACAGATCAAATACCCTTTTTAAATCAATGAAAGCGACATCTCAAACGTCATCTTCTTCACCAATCAAGACAAAAACAACAGTTACAATGAAAAACATGATGTCAAGAAAACGAAGCACCACTGACTCAACTATCGTCTCAGAAACGCAAGTTAACGTCGATCCGTTGTCTTTACAAAATTCTCTCACCACAACGGACATTTTGACGTTTTCTGCACCAAATACACCTTTAGAAACAATGAAATTGAGATCTCAAACTTCATCGTCAACATTTATCGAGGCAAGTACAACGAATACAATGAGAAACATGACATCAAGTATACGAAGTACCACTGAACCACTTGCTGTCTCAGAGACGAAACTTAACGTCGATCCGTTGTCTTTACAAAGTTCTTCTTTCACAACGGAGATTTTGACCATTATTACACCAAATACTCTTTTAGAAACAATGAAAATTGAATCTCAACCTTCTTCATCACGATTTATCGAGGCAAGTACAACGAATACAATGAGAAACATAACATCAAGTACCCTCATTACCACTGACCGTGGTTTCAGCTCAGAGGCTACTGATCCGTCCACAATACAAAGCTCCATCATTGCAACAATCACTTCGAGAATTATTGCATCCAAAAGTCTGGAAACCATGAAATTTAATTCTCAAACTTCGTCTTTACCATTAATGCAGGCAAACACTACAAGTACTATGAAGAATATGATGTCGAGCATACGTCCCAAAGAGCCCATCATCAGCTTTGTTGCATCAATAAACACTGATGAGTCTTCCACTCAAAACTCTTTCACTATAGAATCAAATCATCATAGACAAACCATGAAACTCATATCTCAACCTTTGTTTTCGACATTTCTCATTAAAAATGAAGAAAAAACAGCAATTTTGCGTAATACTGCTGGACAAAGTAGAAGCTCAATTAGCGTGGCTAACGCTAACCATTCATCCACGTATCACACAGTTAGCCAAAATATTCCGTTTTTGTTTCACTCAATGTCCTCTATAACAACTTCTTTTCAAACTATATCAAAGGCTGTTTCTTCAATCAATGCTACGTTCGTTCAATACAAGTTTTGACAATGCCATCAGTATCCACTGCCAAGACAAATGCCAACGTAGCTCCTTCAACTTATGCTACGTCCTTTCCATACAACTTTTTGACGATTCCGTCAGTATCCACAGCCAAGATAAATGCCAACGTTAGTTCCGTTAAAATGTCATCATCGATTACGACAACACAACCACCAATGACAAGAGAAAATTCCATTCTTCTTATTATTTTCAAAATCTCACGAAGCATCGATGTAACCACCAACGCATTTAAATTAAACCTGGAAAGAAGATTATTTGACGTGTACACAAAAGGAAGACTGACTGAAAAACGAAGAAAAAAACGCAATACCTTTCTCGATTCACGAGTAACGGTAGGTTATTAATATCAGTCGGCAACATTACATTTGAGAATACTGTATATATATCTTTACCCATCACCTTGAGGTTGTTGCAATCTTTTACAATGTTGCAGATTCGAAGTATCACAAGAAAAGAAGCGGAAGTAGACGTGAGGTATGTCGTCATTGAAAACAATCGGACATTGTTGGCAGTGGATGCAGCAAGACTAATGAATTTTTTTACTAATGAAAAAATGCGAGAACTACTTGGTTATGAGGTGAGAAATTTAGTTTTCTCTAAACCATGAGCCATTTTTTAAGAGTCACTCTCAAATACAAATGAAACTAATTATTGCCCATGTAAAAATTTGTTTACTTTTGGTCTGAAAATAAGAATATCGCAAAATAAGATCGGAAATTTTTCTAAAATACCAGATATGTAACGAAGAATATTTTTTTGTATGCTAAATGTGATTGGTTCATTCATAGTCACATGACGTAAAATAAATGCAATATGTCCTTCAGGGAAACAAGAGAAAAATTGTTGCCCGCCAGGAAGACAAGTGAAATTTTTTCCCACACATTTTAATATCATAGCAAATAGGCAACCATTTAGGAGAAAAAACTAAAAAAAATCATTCCTCGAGCTTATTAAGCGACGAAATTCATTTATTCACGGGAAAAATTATTCAGAAAACACTTGGAAATCAACCAAACATGCAGGGTTCAGCCTTATGGCATTATGAAACAAAATTTCACCGGACGAATCTCTCCCGAATGACGTTAATTTTACAATGAAGAGCTGTCAAAATGTATGATACTTTTTCCTATGCAAAAAAAAACTTAATTTACTTCCACTTGTGAAATAGCGAGTTTTGTTTTCCTAGTGTCTCCTGCAATGTTTCCCCGGACTTCGCCTCGGGAAACAATGGGACTTTTGTAAACAAAACTCACTTTTTCCCTCTAGAGCATACATTAAGTGTACAATGTAATATACATAGCTTTATAACTTCTAGTTTTTTCAATTTTCATTAGGTTATAACACGTCCTATACCGGCACCAACAATTTCTCCCGACATTCAATTCGTTTCAATGTTGGTAAAGACGGATGCACAGAAAAATCTTACGCTTGAATCAGTGAAGATGGAGTTCGAGAAAAATTTAGCAAGATTTTACAAAGTGCTCGTCAATATTCCTGAAAGCAATGTGGTTGAAACCAAGGTAAATATGACGACAACATATACGGGTTACATGCCGAATTAACACAATTTTCGACATATTTTGCAACGAAAACAAACATGTACCGAATCTTTTTGGAGATTTATTTTTCATCAGCATTTTGAAAGTTGTCAGATGTACATTTTATGATTTTATGATGTTTTGTTTCTCATAAAAATAATTTCAATATTCTTACACTCGCATAAAATTTTGAAAATCATTTGGGAATCCCACGATTCACACGCACACATCATTTGGAAATCCTACGATTCACACGCACACATCATTTGGAAATCCACGATTCACACGCACATCATCTGGGAATCACACGATTCACACACACACATCATTTGGGAATCCCACGATTCACACGCACACATCATTTGTGAATCACACGATTCACACGCACACATCATTTGGGAATCCTACGATTCACACGCACACATCATTTGGGAATCACACGATTCACACGCACACATCATTTGGGAATCCCACGATTCACACGCACACATCATTTGGGAATCCCACGATTCACACGCACACATCATTTGGAAAAAGACATAACTTCAGGAGTTGATGTCTTGAAAACTTCCATCACTTTAGGACTCACACACTTTCCTTCCCTATTAACTTAAGGAATTCACTGACGTTCTAGAATTTTCCATTACTCAAGGAATCACAGATTTTTCCTTTCCTATTAACTTAAGGAATTCACTGACGTTCTAGAATTTTCCATTACTCAAGGAATCACAGATTTTTCCTTTCCTATTAACTTAAGGAATTCACTGACGTTTTAGAATTTTCCATTACTCAAGGAATCACAGATTTTTCCTTTCCTATTAACTTAAGGAATTCACTGATGTTCTAGAATTTTCATTACTCAAGGAATCACAGATTTTTCCTTTCCGTTAAAAAGTAGCTTGCAGTCCAGATACTACATGTAAATTTTAGATTACCAGCATCAACTTTAACTTAAAAATTGTTGGTTTTACAAGCAATGGACACAAAATAGTTGATTTTCAGAGAAAGGAGTAAAAATAAGCTAACTACGCCACTGCTCTTAGCTTGCATCTCAATTTTTCACAAGAAAGTGAATGTTTATCATATTCAAGCTGAAAAACGATTCTATTCTTCAATAGAATTGTTAGCGATGTTTCTCCGCACTGTTTCCTGTCTCGATTATTTTTTTGTTACTAATTTGCTTGATATTTGATGGTTTTTAGATAACTCATCTGTACCACGATGAATTTAATAGAACGTACATTGAGTTTTCGATCAGTGTAAACAACATTCCCGTACAGCGTGAACAGATCCTGAAAGCTTTTGGCCTTACTCCCGATCAATTATCTTCGGCTTTGTCCCAAAGGGTATGTCTTTTACATCATAAATCATACGCATTGATGCATGAATTTTTTAAATAAATTACACGGTTTCACTGATTGGCTATCAGCAAAGATTCTATGCTAGTACACAAAAACATTAATATTAAACATTAATATTAAAACATTAATAAGATGACTACCACTAAGGTTGTCAAAACGTCAGTCAACAACAACAAAAACAGTCCTTCTCAGGACTATACCAACCTGGACGATGTGCATTTACAAACATGAAACATTAATATTGTTAATTAATAAGCCCTTAATGACCGAGCGCGAGGTCTTTACGGATAAATAACGGGCCGAGGTGTTTTACTCCTCATTATATGCAAACTGAAATCTAGTTGCTGGGCCCTAGTTACACTGGAAAATAAATGTTGAACTAATGATTACCCTGCACTTTACAAAAAAATGTTCGCATTTCATACTAAATTTCAAGAATTTTTATTACTGCTCATTTTACATGTTTGTAAATGATGATCGTCCAGGTTAATAAAGTCCTAAGAAGGACTGTTTTTGTTGTTGTTGACTGACGTTTCGACAACCTTAGCGGTAGTCATCTTCAGAGTCAAATGAGGAGTAAACGTCAGGTTAGCCGTATTTGTTATCTGGTTCTTACGTCATTGTATCATCATTTACAAACATGTAACGATACTCCCGGGCTCAAATCATTTACTTTACTGCTCATTTTCTTAAAAAATTCAGCATGGCAGGAACTTGTTTCGCCATACCCTCTTAAATGATATGTGTACTCACTGATTTTATTTTATCGCTGCGCAAATTTGTTAGCACTGTACATTATAAAATAAAACAATAAAACGCGTGCGATGATTGGTCTAGAGCCGTGTTTGTATTATCAAGTGCAAAACACATCTGAGCTCAACCAATCAAATCAATCAAAACAATCAATCAGTCAAAGAGAATTTGCAAATCGGTCACGAATACATTTTAGAGGAAAAATTAAATGTCTTTTTCCCATTATTGTTGTTTTATAAAAGAAATAAAAGATGTTTTTCGTATTCGCAATGGCTTATGCAAACCTCGTAGACGTTTGTGAGAACTCTCGAGCATGTACAACAAGGTCTCCTCTGTTTATATAAGCCAGTGCAAACACAGTAAAGATGTTTTATTTCTTAATTAAAATTACATATGTTGCATTTTATTAATTTTCACAGGTTTTGGTCCTACCATATATTCCAGAAAATTTACAGCCTACTGAGAAAGATAAAATTGTTCAAAACATGCAGATCAACAATGTCTCAAATTTAACAACAGTGAAGCAAGATATATCAAATAAACTTGCAAGGGTGTATGTCCAAGCGCGTTTAGCTTCGACAAGAAGAAAACGGAGAAAAAGAGCTTTAGGGAGCATCGATGCTGTGGTGAGTCACCACACTTGTCTTTGTTGAAGGAAAAAAGATATTAATGAATGCACATAGAAATACAAGGAGCCTGTGATTCATTGTATTCTGCATATATTACATAAATTAAACAGCCTGTGTGTTTAGGTGATGATATTATTATCATAAGAAATGTTTTTCGTTGTGGTCCATAAATTGGTAGTTCAACCACGATGTAATGCTCGATAGAATAAGTTTAAAATAAAATGGGCTTGAATGAGTGAGGTTTAAATGAGGTTTAAATGAGGTTTAAATGAAGTTTAAATAAATGGGTTTAAATGAGTTTAAAATGAAACGTTATTCAAAGCTTGAAGTTCACTTCAACTTTGAATAACGTTTATTTCCCTTCATTTGTATTGTTCAGAAAAAAAAGTTTTATTAATTATTACTAATATGGGATGAGTGAAAACAATTAAATAATGTTAATTACACTTGACCAATATTCAAAAATAACCCTTGCAGGCTAAGATTTGCGAAAAAGACAAGCTAATATCTATGATTTCTGCTTTATAAGAAGTTCAGAAGATCTTGTATATCTTATTGACTTGTTAGGCGAACTCTTCCATCCGTATACAATGTTAATTTAACCAATGTTACGTTAATCTTTATGAGATGAATCCATATTAATTTTGGTACACTGTACAACCTAAGCTTGTTGTGTATTCTGAGCTTGTATGATAATTAATGTATGCTTCTCATATTTAATCCGACACCGTAGCAACAATGGTTTAGAATATCCAATTGTGTTGTTTTAAAATCATCGTAATAGAAAGAATAAATGATTCTATTCTTTGAATGCATTCCTACCCATTAAAGATAAAGGTTTGGCAAATTTTCTTCATTTTAAATTTTAATTTGGTGGTGACCATTCATATTTAAATGTTAGACTTGATTATTGTCCACATCTCATGTTTACTACGTAAAGCTTTCCATGGAGAATGATTATGTTCCATTGATCTAGGTTTGATTTTAAAATGAAACACGTTAAACCGTACAAACCTCGATCATTGCCTTCGTTTGAAACGGGCCTCTAGCATTAGCTTGATTTCATTGATATGCCATTCTTTCGTGTAGAAACTTTGACCATGATGTAAAGCGACATAACAAGAAAGTTTAAAGAGAAATTACGTGTTGTATGAGAAGTAATATAAGACTTCACAACAGACAAATATAATAGACAATACAACGTTCTGTATTTCTTTCTTTCTTGTCTGCACAGTCGTAATCAGCCAGATTATTTCGTTTAGTTGTATGCCAATATTTTTAGTGTCTCTCACTGACACATTGTGAACACAAACCATTCTTAAAGGAATGATTATTATTTACACTACAGGAATATAATATGAAGTTTCAGACGTGCTTACCAACTGCCAGTTTGCCTTTACCAAAACGCCTCCGAATCTAAAAGCATATAGATATGTGTCTTAACTTCCGCTAAAACAAGCGCTTTGTGCTCGTATAAAATTATCAATTATGAATTTTTTTGAAAAATTAAAATAATCGTTTATTCCTTAGATAATTGAACTCAAAAGACTTCAGGATTCAACTGTTGACGTCATTTATTACATCACTGATGCAGGAACCATTTTGAATGCGACTTACGCAACTGTAGTTTTGAAGAATCTCAATATTGCTGCGATGTCATCCATAACTGCTCCTTACACTGTGAACTCGATCCCAGCCCCTCTAAACTCTACGCTCATCGCTACTGCTTCTATCGATGATGACTATCCATCTTGGTTTCTTCCTGTCGTCATTTCTAGTTGTTTCGTGTTCATTTTAATTGTTCTTTTCCTCATATTGTGTTGGAGATGGAAGAAAGGAGCGCCTTCAAAGAAAGTAATACCAATAATTGAAAATACCGTTCATGGACATGAGACAATACCCAAAGTAAGTCAAGCTTTAAACTCTTAGTGAATGATATTTTATGCTATGATATGTCTTGGTAATATACAAGAAAAAGTTTCTCAATTTTGATTGGTTTAGAGCAATGTGATTTTCACTAAATAACATCGTGAAAAAGAAAGACCAGCGGAAACTTTTTTAAAAAAATGCTCCTTACTGTTTGGTCGAGCAAAGAAGTTGTCGTAGATCCAATCATAATAAAACATTTCAAAGGCTGGAAAGTTAAATAATTAAGTTAATTAAATTAAATAATTAAACAAGTCTAGTCTTTGTTGTTGTGATTTACGTTACAACTAAGCTCGGTTGTTGTTCTACAGATGATTTATGCAAGTGATCCAAAGCCACAAACTTCCAGTTTACGTCATCCGCCATCTTTACGTATCAACACGTCACTTACAACAGAAAAAAATGGCGACGAAAACCGTCTACAACTTCGACCAATCATCGAAAAGCCCCTTCTTAGAGAGGATTCTTTACGAAGGAAAGTTGGAAGTCGGGAAAGCATAAGCACAAGGTTTGACTTTACTTTATTTGAAAAATTGTAATTGATACTGAACTGTGTTTTGGGTCTCCTCGCTTCTGCAAAACATTGTATTATGGTCAATAGCAAAACCCCTTTATACATTAAGGATTATGTTTGTTGTCATATGTCTTGTTATAGGTTGTATTATACTACTTATTGTTATGTATGTTAATGATATAGCTATATTGATATGTATTTTAATACTTTAAAACAACGTAATGGATTCTGTATTGAGGAATACAAAACTTAGTCAATAGAGCACTTTCAATTACGTGCAATAGTACTTGCGGTAAAAAGCTAAGAAATCTTTTGAAAAATTTTTTAAAACGCTTGGCCTTGCGTCAGTAATGTTCAAAAAATCCACTACTTCGTAGATCGCAATTGAGAAGAAATCTTTACAGTGGTTCTTGTGGGGTTTTTGTGGTTTGAAATTAAGATTGTAATTTCTAAAAAACAATAACGTGGCTGTCACAACGTTCTCTTAAAGTTAAGACAATTAAAGTCCATCTTTGTATAATAATTTTCAACTATATCATGTTGGGTACTATTATTTACATCATGTTGCACATTTCATGATTATTTCAACTATATTTAATGAAACAGATTGAGCAATCAATGAATCCAATGATTAATTAAAACAACAACCATACACACCATAGGAGCTATCATTTCTGGGAAGGGGGCGGTAAATATTTTACCCAACTCACAATGAAAGTTCCAACATATTTTTAGCCGACTAACGTTTAAAAATTTCCCAACCTTTTAATCTTCAAAATTTTTAGCGAAGAGCAGCTGCCCCCTGCCCCCCTGTCGTGCACGCCTAATGATACGACTACGTACACTACTGTCTTGTATTTGAAATAGAAGTAATCCAGTGTTTAAAGAAGAAGTGAGTGAAGTAGAAAGTACAGATGAAGTGAGCAGTACAGACCGGACGCACTCTTTTACTCAAGATAAAAAGCTTGAGACTCCACGAAAAACAATGAACCCTCCGTCCATCTTGGAGACTGTCGCCTCTGACAGGGATGGAGATAGTGAAAGTGACGAAGAAGTCAAAACTTCTGGAAAAAGCAGTAATTCAAATAGAAAGGACAATAAGGTAGATGTACAAATACTCGATACTTTGAAATGAGTGTTTTATTTGTGACATTTCTTAGTAGATGCAATGACACTTATAAATTAATTGTATTATGTGCTTTGGTGAGGTTTATCTACAAGTTATTACATCACCCAGATCTTCTAATTGATTGGATGAACTTACAATTTTCTATCGTCATTTATAGATCTTCTGTTTTATTGCATGAAGTTGCTATTTCCAATTTTTACATATTTGACATGTTTTTATTTTTCATTTTGCTAGTACTCTGCAGGAGTCTTCGCGCCTATTGCGATCATGAGTGACACCGGTTCCACGGAAAAGCAGCCCCCGGTTAGATTTAGAACAAGCGTTCAACCCACGTCCATTTTGCCTACACTGGACCTAAGACAAACATCTCTTGTCGGAAGGATCATTGAAGAGGTACTATCATGTCAAAGTTAAGATAAAACTGTCTTAAAAAAACTCGTTTAAGATTGAGTCAACATAGTTAAAATTTCCCCTTTTCAAATTTACGTCAGTTAAATCCATAACATATGTGAGTTTGTCCATCACTGTTCATAATTTAAAGAATCGATTTACTCTGAAGTGCTTCCATGCAGTATTTTGCGTTTTCATCCAAATTTTAAATCTATCATTTCACTGTTTATTCGTGGCAATAGCATAAATTACAGGCCACACCTGCGCGATTTTTGCAATGTTGCAATAAATTGGCAATGACTTCAATTCAACGCAAAGAGTCTCATATCGGACACAATACGGCTAATACTGTTGTTTACAATAGTTTCCTTGCTTTGTTGTAGATTTGTGTGATTTGTAAACATTAATGGCGTCGGCAAACATGCCTATAACCTGATGTGATAGTACAAATTATACCCGAATAAATTTTTGCCAATATGACGATGATTATCAGCGTTGTTAATGATTTTAATTGAAAACTGATAAACTTTTGTTATTACGTGTGTTTACGCTCTTTAGGAGGACTCCATTCAGCAAGAGATAAAAACCAAGGTAGGCAATAACGAATTTGATTTATGTGACAGCTTTTATGTAATATTCGATTAATTAGAATATTACTTTTTGCTTGTGGATAGATTATTTTCAATGAATAAATGCTATAGAGTTTAGTTATAGAGTTCAAATCATCGCAAGGCAACATAGTATTTTAAGCTGTTGCACAGCTGAGCAAACTCAGCTTATTTTACGTCAACGAAAATATGAAAATTCTATTCAAAAATATTACTTCATTAGATTTGCCACAGCATGTCACTTTGCCCATGTTTTTTTTCATATTTTGTCAAAATTTCCGAAAATTGAGAAAGTTAATGAAATAAACGGCGTCTCTCCTAAAAATGAAGTTGTTTTTTTGATTGCAGGCCGACATTGAAAGATGGCGAAACAAACAAAGACAACGTGAGAAGTGGTTAGGAGAATCTAGATCTAAATCAAGAACAAAAAAGAAAAACTTCATGGGAAAGAAATCCTGGGGACGAGCTCAACGAGAAATCGGTGCCGTGCTTGATCCGTACGGCATGCAGCCTATTGTCAGGTGGGAATGAGTGATTTAATTTAATACACTGTTATGCAGTCGTGAGATAACGCTCTTGCTTAATTAGTCCATGTAGAAAACGCTAAACACAATCTAAAGAATATTGATGAACGTGAAGTATTATGAAATGTGCTATCCTATGTGGCCTTTAAGTATTTATAATGAAAAGAAAAAACGACTTTCGAGTTTGATTCGACCATGAGAATTACTGTAGCTACGTGAATTCTTGTTTGATTTAAAATAATGGAGGGAGTGCTGGATAAAATTCTTGTCTAAAATTCATTCTATGATCTATAAATAAAATTTTCAAACGTAACTAGCCATTATTGCGTATACAACTATTTAGCAAGATGTAAACTACGACGATTTATAAACTAGGTTCATAATTTACATTCAGATACATAGCTAATTTATTAGTTGTTCAGTCAAATTTCTGATCCGATTGGACTGTCTTACAGAAATTCACGTCGCAAGTCACGTCGTAAATACAACATGAAAATGGTCACAACCGATGACGAAGGTAGCGTCGAACTGCAAGGATTCAAGAAATTATCTGATGTTGAAGAAAAGGTGACGAAAACTATCTCAAAAAGATTCTTACGGCTAAGTTATGTATATGCAGTCGAAATGTAATGCCTCAAATAGTTTCATTTGTTGTTGTAAAGCTTAGCGCAATTAAAACGCACACAACATGTTCACTCAACATGCGTTCAACATTGTAGAGTCAACATGTTGAGAGCCATTGCACACCCTGTTGAGTGGTGTTGAGTTGTGTTGAGTTGTGTTGAGTTGTGTTGAGTTGTGTTGAGTTGTGTTGAGTTGTGTTGTTGTATTGAATTGTGTTGAGTTGTGTTGAGTGGTGTTGAGTTGTGTTGAGTTGTGTTGAGTTGTGTTGAGTTGTGTTGAGTTGTGTTGAGTTGTGTTGAATTGTGTTGAGTTGTGTTGAATTGTGTTGAGTTGTGTTGAGTTGTGTTGAATTGTGTTGAGTTGTGTTGAATTGTGTTGAGTTGTGTTGAGTTGTGTTGAGTTGTGTTGAATTGTGTTGAGTTGTGTTGAGTTGTGTTGAGTTGTGTTGAGTTGTGTTGAATTGTGTTGAGTTGTGTTGAATTGTGTTGAGTTGTGTTGAGTTGCGTTGCGTTGTGTTGAGTTGTGTTGAGTTGTGTTGAGCTGTGTTGAGTTGTGTTTGTGTTGAGTAGTGTTGAGTTGTGTTGAGTTGTGCTGAGTTGTGTTGAGTTGTGTTGAGCTGTGTTGAGTTGCTTTGAATTGTGTTGAGTTTTGTTGTGTTGTGTTGTGTTGTGTTTAGCGTTGTTGAGCGTTAAACTTCTTCAAACTTTTGACTCAACATTTTCTTTGTTCAAAGCTCATCGATGCGTGCCTAAACATTGTTTAGTGCGTTTGAACAGCTCAGTTAACAATGTTGAGCTAACGCATACAACATAGCTTAACTAAATTTAATTATTGTAGTCTACAACTGCTGAGCCCGAATCTGATTCTGATGGTAACATTAGTAAAGCCAGGGAAAGATTAATTACACTCATTGACGAGGCTTTCACATCAATCAAATCATCGTCAAATAAGCACACGTCAGATGTAATCGACAAGGTTGATGGAGAGAAGAAAAATGATTTACCAAATCCATCATTAAATCAACCCTTAGTTGACTTTACTCCTGCACTTACCGAACCACCTCCTTCTCATGGTCGTGCATCGGTTTCACCAGCAAGACATCGAAGACGATTTATGAACCCTCAAAGTGTTCATGAGCCATACCATCACGGTAATATGGGAGGTGTTTCTCGCTCCAATCCTCCTCCTCTTCTACCGGTGGCAACAAAAAATCCCCTCGTTATATGGGATCCTGTTGATGAGCAAAGGTTTGTTTTGATAAAGTTGTCTGTTGTCAGTTATGCTTGAGAAGGATGTGTTTACACTAATTAATTTTTATTATTTCGCTTCAATGTAGGGCGCTTAGCCAATCAGCATACAGGCCTAGGTCTGAAAGAAATCCATACACATATACAGATGCTTCTGGTCAACTCTATTTCACGCCTGTACAACAGACTACTGATGGAATGGTATGAAATAATATTCATTACCGAAAGATCAAATGTCCCTGTTTTCTCCTTATTTTACATTCAAGAGCACTTTGTATGAGCCAACCTTGTGTTGACCGTATTGTATTCTTGAAAAGAATGTTGTGGCACAAATTAGGCTGCTGTCTTTGTTCTTAATTTGATTTGTTACATCTTTTCATGACATAAAGGTTCGTTAATTCAAAAGTATTTATGCAATGGTTAAAAATATGTTAAGCTTTTTATTTTGTCTCGCACGTTCAATTGCTTTGACTAAAACAGTAAATAAATGAACTGTTAATTACTACTGAATTATTTTTTAAGATGAACCTCATGATCGAATATTGATAAAATGTTTTGATAAATCAAAAATTTATCATATAGTGAAAATTCATGAAGAAATCATTAGATTTAGTTTTACCTTTTTGAAAAGTTTCAACAAAACATTACTACAACTTAAATTCGTTAAAAAATGTCTCGAGGTCTTTAGCCCTTTTATTTATACCATTTTCAAGAGAATATCAAATCACTTTCATCTTACAACATGATGTTTCCCCCTATTAAACAAAGATTTGATGGAAAATTCAATATTGCCTAAGACGTTGAAACTTTCTTCATGATCTTTTCTCAATGAACACATGGGCAAAACGAAATTAAATTGATTCGTTTTCATTGAATGAAATTGATAAAAAACGCGATATTCTCCAACATACAAACATAAATTACTTCCTTACTATCCAAAATTTTATTATGCATATATATTACAATAATAATTGTGCCTACCTGTGTAGTGTACTCAACATTACTGTGCTTCTGAGTAGACTTTCAAAGATATTTTTTGTTCTCTACAGGGTGGTCTTATTTGGTCTCCTTACGCTACTGAATACGCTATGGAGAATTTTTATAGAGATGTAAGTAAGTCTTGCATGATTGTCACAAAATTGAGAAATTAAATGTTTTATTTGGTTTTTAAAGAGCACAAGAGATTCAACATCTTTGATTTCAAACCATGAAATATTTCTTTTATTCATTAGAATTTTATGTAATTCATAATTTAGTACATAGCAAGCAACTGGTATTTGGTATTTTTTGCGACACCTTAGTAATTCAATTTTATTTTGCATTGAGGTCACTGTCAACGAATCTCTTCTTATATTTCAACGGCAAAATACTTTACTAATGATTAAAGCGCATACCTTTTCCGCTATTTAGAACAGTTTTACGGCTGACTTAGTATGTATGACCTTTTTAGTTCTGCACGCATTTGAATGATTTTCAGAATGAAAAGTTGCCTCTCCATTGTAGATTTTTTCGATAAAAATTATTCTGAGAAATGCTATTCGTTATCAATTGTATTGTCCGCAGGCAACTGCTTAACTTTAACTACTGTCGACTTTACAGTGAAAATAAAAACACATGAAGAAATAAACACATGTCTTTATGTTTCCGTTTGTATCACAATGAAATATACGCGCTGCGACCGCCATCTTTATTGATACGTCATTTGCAATAAACACATGCCTATTTTCCCGCTGGTTTCTTACAGAGAGAAATTCCCACAACATTTGGTTCAACAACCGCTACTTTAGTGGATGTGCCAAACGATGAAGAGCCTGGGACGAAAACAGGTCAATCTGCGGAACCACTTGTCCAAGCAATTAAAAAGGAACTTTTTCGTTTAGCTTCTGGAAAAACTCCTGTTAAACACTTGTAGTTTGAAAATATTTAGTTAATTTACACATTTGTTATAAGTTAAATACTTGAATCATAGTTGCATATGTAATTTTTGCACTTTATATAAGATTAATTTTGAATCAGTTTACAAACGTTCGATCCTACAATGATACTAAATACTTTCAGCTTATGATCGTAGGATCCATTGTAAGAAAAAATACCTTGCAGCCATAGGCTCAATTTAAATTCAAAATATAAAACATAACAAAGCCATTAGTTATAGAAATTTTAATAATGATGATATTATAAAATTTTGATGGTCCGAACAAATTTATTTGGGGGTATTGGCAACGTACATTGCTGAATGTCATGATCGCCAATGTATATGAAAACCAATAAATTATTTGTTAACACATTTTAAAAAAGTGTCAATCTATTCGCACTGGGAATGCTGGCCTGAAAATTTCAGTCTTGCTAGGGTATATACAGTGCTGTAGAACTAAATTTATCAGAGGGGGGGGGCTCTCTTGACGAAGTTGAAGTCATGAAATTATGAAAAACTACCCATTTCAAAGGTAGAAGGAGGGCTCCTCCCCCAAGCGCCCCACCCCCCACACTTCTACAGCACTGGGTATATTTCATAAGCTAGAAACGTTTCGTTTCGGGGGAGTGAGCAAATATAGAAAAACTTGTAATGCAAGACTAATTAAAGGCAGGCTGGATATGTAACTTGTTGTATCTGTCATTATATATAGTTCAAATTTTGCAGTTTATATAAAAATGTTTCAGGCACACAACATTTTTCATTCGTAATTGTACAATGTCACGTGTAAGGAAAAGAGCAAACAATGAAGTGTCTGTGAAGTGATTTGTGAATATTCATGGCAGCAATCATTCCCATTGGCAGTAGATTGTAGATGCATGGAAACAAAAAATTGGTATTTCACGAAGACAAAATGAAACTAACTTTGATATAATTCACTATTCAAAAATCGTTTTATCGATTTCTTAAAGAATTATGTAAATATTTGCTCTTTATATCTATTTGCATCATAACTAATAATATAAATGTTTGTTTTCTCTATCGTTTCTTATATTTCTTGACACAGGAATACACTCTATAACTCTAAGTTCCTTTTTTCTTTCATCCAACGATTTCACATGGTCTTCCAGGCAATCGAGAGCAAATATAAGAGCGCTTTCTTTTTATATTTGCAGCAAGATTCCGTACTTTTGTCTCCATCTTCCGCAAAGACCGAAGGAATTCAAACTTGTCTTGGTTTTTATTCACTTTCATACCTGAGGGGTCGTCATGACTTAGTGGGAACGATTCGCGCAGCGGCAAAGCCTTTACAAGATTGCCTACAGCCTCGTAGTAACCGTTTGCTTGGAGGTCATGTCTTCGCTGCAATGCCTTTGCTTCAACTTCAAAATGAAGAAGAGTGATTCCTAAAAAGGCGACTAACAACCGAGAATTCATTATTTCCCTTTTCAAAAAATGAATTACCAGAAACTCCTTATCTGTTTTGTTCTTCTCTGTCGAAACACAGAATGAACACGCTCAAATTTGGAATTGAATTTCGCCCCTTTAAATACATTATCAATTGAGCATTATCTTCCCTGATTATTTTCTCATGAATCAGGAATGAAGTATTTATAGATAAGCAAGCGCTATATAATTTCGATAATGAACACAAAAGGTATGATAACTCAATGCGGAGGAAGTTTGAATGAACTTTGCATACGCACGATCATCATTTCGCCATGAGAAGCCAGAAAATGGCTCGTTTGACGATAAGAAACAAGACCGTGCTGGCGCATCGATAAAAAAGAATAATAAGCAGCTGATTTTCAAGTCATAATACAATACGCTTCAGCATTTACAAGCGATTCCAACAAATGAAATTTTGCAGCTGTTTCCTCTATTTTATGTAAAACCCCAGCCCTCGTTTCATAGTCTCGAGCTCTCATTTTGGCCTAACACTTTTATACATTGTTGCCTTGTATGCTAATTTTGCTGAGGTTGCACTGGGCTAAGCATTTTGTAACGAAATATAAAAGAACCCAATCGGCCATTTACTTCGCAAGTTTTTTGGTCCATTGAGCTTTGGATGGTTTCCTCAATGTTGTCATACGGCAACGCTGGGAGACAAAAAGTTGAAATGCAACGGTAAAGTTATTTCGTGCTGCATTCCTTGTGGTTCATGCCCCAAATACCAGAGCTATGTGTGTGTCAGTTTCATAAAGCCAATCAGAAAATTATATGGTCACATTAATGCTTTATTTTTCACAGCAAGAGACTTATCAATGAACTGAGCAGTAAATAGAAAGAAAGTTAAATTTGTGCTCATTAATTGTTCACACCAAAGCTCCGTGGATGTAAGGAGAAATGTAAACAAAAATCTTCGTTGCTATGAATTTAAATCCTGTAAAAAATTATTTGAAAGTCTACTCGAAATTACAAAAACATGATGAGTGCTGACGATGTAGCTACAAAAACGTTATCAGCAAAAAGATTCTGCTTCTGTTTGTAGCATTTTTGATTCTTATGCTCATCCAATTTAAAAGATAATGTTTTATCCACAATCGACTAAAAAAAATTAACGGTTGAGATTTCAAATCTAGCTGCATCCACGTAGCCTTTTTGTACTACATAATGTTACCTAATTTAAAATTATGCAGGTAATGTATGTCCAAGATCAAACGGTTTGATAAAAATAATCATAAATTACGTGCAAGTACTATAGTTACAGTTTATCTACATCCACGAAAAAACAAGAGTTAAAATTCAACAATTCTTGTAAACAATCAAAACATTACCAGGTGAATTGTAAAGATTTGTATATGTGGTCGTCTCAAATGAGTTAATTTTATTACACAAATACATTGTTGATAATTAGGAATGAAACTAGCAGAGAGCTTGTGAACAGTAAATCTTTCATTTTTGTTCAGTAGAGAGCTTGTGAACAGTAAATCTTTCATTTTTGTTCAGTAGAGAGCTTGTGAACAGTAAATCTTTCATTTTTGTTCAGTAGAGAACTTGTGAACAGTAAATCTTTCATTTTTGTTCAGTAGAGAGCTTGTGAACAGTAAATCTTTCATTTTTGTTCAGTATCTTCTTATTTCATGCTGTTCACGGTACGTAACCAATACGTTTCTTTGAGACCTCTTATGTAGCTACTATCTGTCTTTTCGTGGAAACTGTTGCTTAAAATAGCTAAAATAGTGCAAGATATCCTACTTTTCTTTCTAAAGATGTCTAAAGATAAAGAAACTTCTCTTGGACGGAATATTTGATTATTGTTCAAATGAGAAATAAATTTACGATATCTATACAGGGCGAGCATTTTGATTTTGCACGTATCATTTCAAGTTTATATTTTGAAACTTTAAGAAAAGTTGTCTTAATCGAATCTATTGAGAGTCACTTCCGGTAAATAACGTGCTTATAGAAACATTTTTTGATGGATTATTATAGCTAAGACAAAAGTTAACAAAGTATCTAATGTAATAAGTACAAACTCTGAAGACAACTTTTACATCGTTCTTCTGTTTTTCTCTTTAATACGTAATAGAATAGTAAAGTAAATGGTTTGAACCCGGGAGTATCGTTACATGTTTGTAAATGTCGATCGTCCAGGTTGGTATAGTCCTTGAGAAGGACTGTTTTTGTTGTTGTTGACTGACGTTTCGACAAACATGTAATAGAATAGTGTCGACAATTCTTTTTAATGGGACGTTCGTAGAGTGGCTCAATATCAAGAGAGAGAAGTTGTTAACATTCATTTGTTCAAGGCTTGTGGATTAAGAAGAGATGATAAAAACTTTCCAACTTTATAATGTATAGTGTTCGTTGCGTCTATGATATGTCTAAATGGTGCCAGATTGTGATAAGTTTAGTGGATTTTAGATAGACCATGTGCACGTGCAAAGTGAGCTGATTCCATCGTCTCTTTCAAGTGAAAGTTTCCATCGTCTCTTCTTAATCCACAAGCCTTAAACAAATTCACACTTTCTGACTCGTTTGAGGAGGAGAGCAACATTCGCAATAAGCCACATCAACAATTTATTGAAAGTCATCAATTTGTCTCATTTGATGTCGAGTAACTAACGTCCCATTAAAAAAAATTACGTCTTTACCAACTGAAAGAACTTTGTACGATAAATGACAGTAAGGACCTCGTTTAAACGAGAGAACAATAAGCCATTATTAAACAATGGCAAGATGTTTTTGCACAGACAAAGCCCGTATGAAGCAACGTTTGCACTAAAAAGCAGAGAAATAAGAAAAAAACATTGCAAACGTAACTCATAACATGAATTAAAAGATTTTATTATAATACATATGTGAAGCAACGACATATTGAATTATTACAAATTAACAAATACATTGGCAAATATTTATTTCAGGACATATATAGCTCAAAGCACTTTCATTTTAAAGTTCACCCGCTAAAATTAATTCATTTCAACACGTCGCATCAACAACCCAGTTATAGAAAAATAACATCATCACGCAGCACAAATGTCTTAGTGTTTAAATTGATAAAATCTTTATTTTGGATCCCATTCATAGATCCACGTATACGTTTCGGCCCAAGCAGTCTCTCCCTCATTACTAGCCCCGTTTGCACTTTTCAAGAACTCGACAGGTTTGGAAGCTTCTGGTTGGTCAATAGGTGGAAATGTATTCGGACATCCATATTTTCCGTTCGCTGTTTCCCAATTTCGCCAAAATAGTCGGAAATAATTCCGGAAGACGATGGGATCATCTATGAAGAATTTATACGCAACGATTTCTTGCATACCTTGGGTTTGTTTACGAATGAGTCCAGATTGAAAACCATTATAATTTCCTTGGTTGAAGTAGAAAGCAGACAAAAAAAAGTCTTCAGTGCCAGAAGATAAAAACGTCACCTTTTCGTCGTCAATGTTGGCGCGCATACAACCTTCCATAAAGACGTCAGTGGCACATCTGACGTCAAAAGTGACGAGGAACAGCATTCCCGCCTTGCCTTTAGTCCTAGCGAGATCCATGAATTGCAACGCAGGGACTATTTCGCTTTTTTTGTAAAGTCGAAGTCTTGTGTCGTTTGGCAATTTAAAGACTCCAACAGTTAAAGGGGTGCCTATCATTCCGCGAATGATATACCTGCGAGAAGGTAAATAATGCCAAATTGAAGAAAATCGCTAAGATAAAATGTAAACATTCTGATCACAGCAAAAAAATGTTAAGAACCAAAAACCCAGCTATTACCATGATAAAAGTCAATCATCGTTAGCTTTGCGTGTTAATAACTTCCACAAGGATCAACATTATGTAGTACACTTCATAAAGAGATGTTGACCATTCAAAGTTAAATTTACTTGTGACATTTATAATGGCAGTTTGTTTTTTTGAGCGCGGGACCGCACTCATAATTTTGACCAATCACATCAATCAGTAAATGCGTAAATGCATATTTGTGACTGGCTAAGCTACGTGGAAACGCGCTCAACATGTTGACTCAACATGCACTCAACATTGTCTTGCTCTTGTTGTGTGAGGTTTAGCAATGTGTGCAAACGCTCTCAACATGTTGAGCCTATGAAGTAAAATATTCCACGGTGCCTAGCAATAGCGCCCTTTTTAAAACAGTATTCGCTGTAGAGTGCGGATGGATGAGCTCAAAATTGTTGTGTCAGCTGTTTAAGCCATAGTTTAAAAGTCCAAGCTAAGTTGCGGAACAAAGAAAATGTCGAACACTATGGAGTTGAAAGTTAGAACAAGTTCAAACTCTCAACAACGCTCAAAACCTCTCAACATCACTCAACCGAGTTGGCACACACTCTCAACAACGCTCAACACCTCTCAACATCACTCAACCGAGTTGGTACATACTCTCAACAACGCTCAACACCTCTCAACATCACTCAACCTAGTTGGCACATACTCTCAATATGTTGAGTCTACATATAATGTTGGGTCTTTGAATGTGTTAGCATGTCGCTAGTACATTTCCTTATTTATCGCGCAAATTGAAGAGATTCATTGCACTTTTGGCTTTTTTTTCCTTTTCAACTGTACACAAATAAATATAGCAAAAAGAAAGTGGTAAAATGACTTACTAACAAAACATCGCTATTATGTCATTGAAAAACAATGTCGTTCGCTCAATAACACACTATTGCAAGCGCATGCTAACGCTAATCTGAAGATATGATTTGCCAAAGTGAGGACTTAAATACATCAATAATTTTATTGGTAGATACGTAGAATATAGGTACACAATAGGGAGAGAGTTTTAGTCTGACGTTAACCGGAAAGTTACGTGATAAAAATTTCGCAGTTTGCTCTGCGGTTCAGGCTTAAGCAGCAAGACTTTTCTTGCAGTGATTTACGGCAAGTTTTGGCTAGAGAGCACTTTAGCGGACACCAGTAGCCATTTTGCGGTAACCATGAAGACTGTGATGGGCACTTATTGCAGTAAATAAAGGGAAAATGCCCATCAGCAACAATACCTTGCTGCATTCCACGCTTTTAACGAGTGAGAAAGCAAAAGCAACGCTATTAGTGGATTGCAACCATCCCCCTGAGAGTAAGAGAGCAATGGAATGCTCGCCATGTTGAATGAAATTTGCATTGTAAATAAGGAAAATCCTTTGTTAAAATCATCCAACATGGCGGCTATGACGTAGCGTAGCTTGCAAGCCAAGATAGAAGTTACCTTCAAGGTTAGATCATGGTTTATGACTTTCAAAATTTGAACTTCAATCTAAGCTATTAACTTATTGAACTTGCATGCCTTTTTGATTAGTCTGAGCCTGCGTCAAGTTGGGGCTGATCAGCGGACATAAGATGTCCGCTAAACTTCACTTGACCCAATATTGTTAAAGAAAACATGAATTTTAGCTCGGGGCAATGCAAATTGTAAAATACAAATGTAAAACTCTCTTATGATTCTAGAAAGCTGGAGATGAAGATTCCTTCCAGAAATACTGAAAAATAAACAATTACTAAATGGTTTCGTGTTTGGCTCGCCTTATTTAAACACGCAGGAATTAAGCGAGAGTTAAGAAATGCGCGCGCATGATCCAAACACGGCATCGACGAATCAGAGCACACGCATTTTGCTTGTGTTATTCGATATTTTTACTTACCAAATATACCCATTGCGTACATTGTTGGTCACTGTCACCTTGATTCCTTTTTTAAATGGTATCTTAAAAGTATTATAGAACCCACTCCCCTGGGCCAGACGGCCAAACATTCGATTGCCACGTGGTGATTTGCCTTCTTCGAATGCATCAGGAGGAGCTGCATGAGCCTGCGCTACATTGTAATCAATAGAAGCTTCTTCTTCATAATCAACATAAATACGTATTCTGCTATCATGATCGAAAGGATTTGGAAGTTCATTCGAGCTAGTGAACCATTGTTCTGTGATAAAACCAGGTCGATCAAAAGAGCTTTCATACAAGGTCACTTCTTTTCCAATTTCTGCGTAGAAGAAAGCTTTAATTGCCGAAGAGAACGAAGTCGGTTTTACCTCATTAATGTCGAAGAAACAGAAACAATTTCTTCCAAACATAAGCAGGCATGATACAATTAGAACAAGCTTTTTAAAAACCATTCTGTTTTGTAAGTTTCCTGACCTGAAAATCAATGCAAGTATGAAAATCTGTTAGTTTGGAATCATTAGAGCTTTTTTGAAAGACTTCTAAAAAGTTATATAACCCCCCCCTCCCCCTCCCCCCTTACTCTCCCATTTTGTCAACATAAATATCACTGACATCAATTTCATGTTCATTTCTGAATGCTACGTATATCATGTTAAGTAAATGGTTTGAACCCAGTAGCATCATTACATGTTTGTAAATGTAGATTGTCCAGGTTGGTATAGTCCTGAGAAGGACTGTTTTCGTTATTGTTGACTGACGTTTCGACAACCTTAGCGGCAGTCATCTACAGACTCCATTTTGATTCTGAAGATGACTACCGCTAAGGTTGTCGAAACGTCAGTCAACAACAACAAAAACAGTCCTTCTCAGGACTATACCAACCTGGACGATCTACATCTACAAACATGTATTTCACGTTGTTAGCCAAGATTAATACACTAAGCTTCCTTCTCACACACAACTGGGAGCTGCTGCAACCAATCTGCCACAAGCTTGACATTTGCTACATTCATAAAAACAGTTAATACAGCTACAATTACATGGGCTTAGTGGCCCTCCTCCTAAGAGTGGCAGCCAAAACTCAACAGTCTTAGTTACCAATATACATATGTCTATAGTGTATAGTGTTCCATCCAAATGGGTCGGTGGGACTCTGGTCATGCTGTGCAGATGCAACAAAATGTGTTTAATATAACTTAAACAAATCACCACACCAATTCACAATCGGGCTCCCAAGGGTATATGAGAAAACATCTTATGCTACAATTAAAAAGGTACAATTAAAAGTACTTAAAAGTCTGTCTTTAGCATGCTTTGTTGCACATTGGGCAATATTTTTTTGCTATTCTGCTGCAATATTTCTGCAAAATGGGCCATACTCTTTAGTTTGAGTAAAATATCAATCATACTGCGTTTGTATTGTTTTGAATAATTATCTTGATGGAGAATCACAAAAATATACTCAAAACAAAATATGATTCCTATCAATAGTTTTAGAAACAAAATTTAAATGTTTTAAAGAGAAACAACGATTTCTTATTTGAAATAGAAATGCATTTAACGATAGAATATTGCATTAAAGTCATAAAATGATAAACTATTCAGTAATGCTTACATGATGACATCAACAGTGCTAAATATGACTGTTGCCATAGTACATACAATATTTTCAATTTTGAAACATCATTTGTCTTATTAAACTCTATGATTTAATCTATCATTTAGCCGTAAACTCGTCGTTGGTGAGCGTCGATTTAGAAAGCAGTATTTACAAAATTTCACAACTTCATACTTAACGTATATCGATAAAAATATCTCGAATATCTACGAAGGTCTTTTCAACAAAAACATTCAACAAAATATAAGCAGTACTTGCATGTATAAAGTAATGGTTCACAAAAATGAGAAATCATTCAGATTAATACAAAATATATACAACGAAAACGACTTAAAATCTTAATAGGAAAATACTTCAACGTAAGTTGAATGTGTGACATCTTGAATGTATATAAGTATATATAAACAACATTGAATATGAATCTTACCAATGCTAGGGAATACTGTGAATGATGATCTCCAATGATATAGATTATCGTGATAACAAAGAGAAATTTATTTGAGCCAATTCAACATAAACCAGTTGTTTATAATCAGTCAATAATTGTTGAAATTATTTGATGCGACATGGATAAGCTTGAACATCGATCATAAGACACAACATCTTTCAGAGGACTGTCATGTGACGAGAATTCCCTGAGCATGTGACCAATGCATGTGACGTTCAATTTAAAAACCGCAATGATGCAATCAACAAAGCCGAGTCGACCGACCTAATATGCTGAAACTAAGGCAGCGTAAGTCACCCACCAGCTTCGAATCCAATTCTTACTCACCAAACGCCTAGTATTTATATCAGTGTTTATACCAGTGATTTTTACTGACAACGCACTGTGCAACGCAGTTTTCTGAGTAGCCTGTTCGCAGGCACCACCGCCACTGTGTCAATCACTTACATTTCACTGGCAGGCAGGTGTACCAAGTTTTCCTGACAAAAGTAAACAAAAGTAAACAATCTAACTCGTCTATTTTGGCAGATAGTAGTGTTTCACATCAACAGCAGTGACGATTCAGATTCATGTTTGCATCTAATTTCACCATATCAAAAATTTGTTTTGCCATTCACTCTTCAATATAATTTATGAGTACCATTTTTTTATCAGAATCAATCCAATACAAAGCTCTTTAACCGACATCGATTGCTTTCCATATTTCAACATGAATTTGCCCTTGATTTATAAAGTTAACTGACAAGAAGTGTGGTCTCCTCATTCTCCACAATTCTCCTCACGATAAAAACCAGTAAAATTAAAGCGTGTACATGTTGCTTTACTTAATGAACACGTGTTTAAATAAGTTTTCTTCTATGTGGCACAGATGGCTAGTATTTTGACGGATATATTTTTGTACAAACTGAACAACAACATCGAGTTTTGCTTTAGTTGAAGAACTTACAAGCCTACATCGTTATCCGCACTACATTCGACAAGTCCCGACTCTCTCAGAAGAGCTCGATTATCGAGAAATCAGTAAGTGTTTCACCTTAGGCAAAAATTTAAACAAACTATCGTCTCACATATATGAAATACAAAAAAGCATGTCACTTAAGTTATGACTGAACGTTATGTGCAAGACATTGCCTAATATCAAATCATCGTTCACAACTATCACATCGACATCACAAAGACAAACACTGCTAAAGACAATAATTGGTTGAGCTCCTCGGTTCGGTTTACACCATTGCTTTAGCCTCTTTCAATTTCTTTCTAATCGCAGTAATTATGCGGTTATTTCATCATTCCTATTGATCATAAAATACAACCTTTCTGTTTTACTGGCTGCCAATGAGATAGTTACTTCTATGCTGTGGGCTGTGGTCTTGATTAAGTACCTAGATCATTCAGCTCTCGGACTGCGGTCACGTGTTCGTCGACAAAGGCAAGCAAAGCGTGCGAGTCAGGGAGAGAAGGGCACAGGGCTGCAGACTAGCCCCGTACGCTTACGGGTCAAGTTACGCCACTGAACAACTGAAAACATTTATTTGCGATAATCTTGTGGTTTACGATTGCCATAGCAACCATCACGAAACTAAACGATACCAACTTCATTCAAAAACAGTTAAGAAAATACAACGTCATACAGGAACACAACAATCAAACATGGAAATCTTAAAGAATTTATATCAACACAGTACATTAAGAAAAAACATTAAAATTTTTAGTTAATTTATGTAGCACGATAAATTTTATGCAGCGACGTCCCATTACTTGCCGCCTTCACGAGTCCCGAAAAACAAAACAGAAAATTTACTTGTTATTCCACTCATAAAGCCAGACATACGTTAAAACGCTTGTCATTTCCGGAATGCCTTCCCCTTCTAGATTGCGAGGTTTTCCACAACCACCTTCGTTGTCTTCATCATTTCTCCAGGAAAGACGAAAATAATTTCTGAACACAATGCCATCATCCAGAAAAAATTTAAACGCGAGCATTTTTTTTACGGGGTCTTCTTTCTGTGGAATTAATGTTACTCCGGAGTCGAATTCGGTATAGATACCTTCGTCAAAGTGGAAGGCGGAAAGGAAGAAATCATCGGTGCCAGAAGATAATAACACTGTCTCGTTCTTGTTATCAATGTTAGAGCGAACACAGCCATGCATAAATGCTTGCGTTTTGCTATTCATCGAGAGAGTAACTAAAAACAACATTCCCGACTTATCGACAGTCTTCGAGAGTTCCATGTAACGCAATGGACCGATGACCTGGTCTTTTTTAACAAGTCGCAGTCGTGTGTCGTTTGGCATTTTAAAAGTTCCAACCGTCAAAGGGACACCAGTTATTCCGCGAATTATGTACCTATATAAGTAAGCAGGATAGTTGAATAAAGATAGTCAAGGTCAAAGAGGAAAATATGAAAAATTAGTATGAAAATAACTTAAGTTGAGCTCAGTGTCTTAATATTGTTTATACGCATGCGCTGTCTCATCAATACACTCACAATTGTTATTGCAGTGATTGTACATACGTACAATGAAATAGCCCACTTAAAGCCGTGTAGCAATGGTAAAGTACTGCAAGTTTGAAAAGTGAGGCCTTGACAGTTTGGACATGCAACCAGCGCAGAAGGAAGGAAATTTTTTGGAAAAGTGTACGGATTTTATTGGAAAAATGTAAAAAGATGTAAGTTAAGAATCCATGGTACAGTGCCACCCAACCAAACAGTGCCCAGGAGGGGATCAGTACTCATTTGACAAGAGGGGTGCAGAATTTTCCAAAGGGGGTGTGTGCATCGTTATCCTAGCTAAAGTTTCAAGGACCTTGGGCTATTGTGGAATTTTGGATTACGGATGAGTAAACCTTAGATAATGAAAGTGTTATTCACTTTCTAGTGTAATACAATTTGAGAATTTTCATATGGGGTTGTGGGGATGCTAGAAAATCTTGCGGTGCCCCCAGCACCTCTCCTCAGTAAATCCGCTCCCGACAGCTCTCCCCTCTGCGAAACATTAATGTATCTTATAATAAAGTTGAATTATAAAATACAACATATTTGGGGTTCCACAGCAAATAAAAAAACTAATAGTGGTAAAGGAAACTTGAAAGACATCATTAAAAACTTTTAATGCACTATAATACCTTCTCTTCTCATAGTAATGGTTATGTCCTTACCAAAGTAATCCAGTTCGATAACGGTTCGTCACTGTAACTTTCAATCCATTTCGAAATGGAATTCTAAATGTATTGAAGTAACCGCCGTTGAAAGCCAGGCGACCAAATGTTCGATCAGCACGTGGTTTACCATCTCCCCCATTTGAAGGAACTGCGTGAGCCATAAATAGGTCGTAGTCAAGCGATGGATTTTTTTCGCCATCGATGTAAATTCGTATGTTAGCTCCAGCAGATATGTCGCCAGTAAACCATTGCTCAGAGATGTAACCAAAGCGATGATACGTGTGCTCGTATAAAGTTACCTCTTCGCCCATATTATTATACAGAAAACCTTTAATCGCGGAGGAGAAGCTTTGTGCCCGGCCATCAAGTTCGATAAAACAAAAACAAATTCTTCCAAGGAAAAGTAGAGATGAAACGGTGAAAATACATTGCTTCACACCCATATTAATGTGGGATTTTTTTCTAAAAATAAGAGATTAAGAAAATTTGTTACAAACAAAATGTAACAAATTTTAATTTTGCGAGACTTCAGCAATTAGAACTTTATTGCACACATGTTGCCATAATTCAAGAATCACAAAATGAAATAAAACTTAAGTGAAGAAAAATTCATACAATAAAGGGTTAGTTAGCATGTTTATTAAGGAAGGCCAACCCTCGCTTCTTCAGGGACGGCGATAGATCGATAATTGGAGGGGGAGGCTAATATATGCATTTCTCGCATTTGATTGGCTGCCATTCTGCGATTTCTCGCATTTGATTGGCTGGGTGTCATTTCATATCATGTCAGCGGCAATATGTATAAAACAACAATTTCAACGCATGCGATCTGCTAAAAAATTTTGCTTATTATAAAACTTCGTGTTTTTCGGAGTAAGGATGTGTGAACATACGTACAGATGTTCACAACGGTTTTGTTTGACAATATTTAACAATATATTTGACACATTAAAACTAAATACGTCACACCTAAATCACACATCACAACTAAAAATAAAATATTTCACTTCACACTAATTCACAATGGCAATACACATTTCCTGTACACACAATACAATGACGTAAGAACCAGATAACAAATACGGCTAGCCTGACGTTTACTCCTCATTTGACTCTGAAGATGACTACCGCTAAGGTTGTCGAAACGTCAGTCAACAACAACAAAAACAGTCCTTCTCAGGACTTTATTAACCTGGACGATCATCATTTACAAACATATATATTTGACCATATAAAAGTTTAAGATATAGCAAAAGAAATAAAACTTTATAACAATGTAAAACCTACTCAATATTAATACAGACAGACTTTATACTGGATATAAAAGGTCTAATCAATCAATGTTAACATTGCTTTATTAAAGTCTGGCCAATATAAAATATTTTGCTTATTGGTAGAGCTCAACTATTAAAACACAAACAATTTAATGAATAATTTTACTATTTAAATCTGTGAATGCTCTGCCTTTCTTTATTCCAACTTTAATTTGATTTCTGGATTTATGTTGACATATATTTAATAGCAATGTTTTTCTGGTCTTCAGCAAAAATCCTGTGAGGTCAAAACCTAGCAGTATGCTACCATGCTGGCAGATTTTTCAAGCCTTGTTTACAGAGTTTCTTTAATACATTTTTTTTGCTCTGTTGTCGAAATGATTGTTAAAGTAAATGGTTTGAACCCGGAAGTATCGTACCGCTAGGAAGCCATAGTCATCTTATTATTCAATTTGACTACTGCTAAGGTGACACCCATTTGACTCTGAAGATGACTAGTGCTAAGGTTGTTGAAATGTCAGTCAACATCAACAACAACAGTCCTTCTCAGGACTCTACTAACCTGGACAATCTACATCTACAAACATGTAACAATACTCCCGAGTTCAAACCATCTACTTCAGTAATTAATATTCTTGCTGATAGCACTAATTGACAAGTTCATCCTCAATAAATATATCAATCTTTTAAATATTACACATAACTATCTACTTAAATATGTTCACATAACATAAAAGTTCTACATATTTTAAACACTTTAAAGACCTTGAACTTTAAAATGCTAGAATGCTAAAAAAAAAGTATTAAAGGTAGACTACAGGCTGGCCATATGTATGCAATTTGTGTTGTGAGAAGTCAGTTGTTTTAAAGTAGCTGCAAGTACTTTCATAAATGCCTTGAAAAGCCAATTGTTTTGACCAATGGGAATAATATAATGTTGCTTGTTAAAGATAGGATGACATTGAAAACGTTGAAATGATCAATAATTGCATTGAGTGACAAGCAAATGAAGTGCAAGACAAATTCGACAAAAATTCAAAGCACAATGCTGATTTCGATCACGAGATTTGCCAAATCTGTCGGGATCGTTTTGAGGAAAAAAATACAGAATTTTAACTTTATAAAAGCTCATTCGTTAATTTTACTTAAAAATACCACCTCTCTCTGCCAAAAACATCAAATATAGAGAAAATAACAAAGAAAAATGACAGAATTCTGTTTAAATATTATTACAATAACTATTCTCACAGTGCTGCAGTATGATGTATTGGTGAGGTGCCTCGCAAGGGCATTTTATTATTATCCCCATTTGGGATAGCTAGAGCTATTGCTTTGCTGTAACTTAAAGCAATAATATTATTTGCTAAAATTTACAATAAAAACACAACGCAACATCAACCATTAGCTGCGTCATAAAGCACCGGAATTAGCAAAATAAATAGCAAATTATCGTTAAAGTTCACAGAAATTTAAACGCTTACCTACGACTGAAATGTTGAACATATAGTTCCAATTCAAGGTTATTTTCCCAGGAATAAAAAGGTCACTCACATTTCACAGAAGCGAAGAAAGTCGAAAGTCGTTCAGTTCAGTGAAATGACTAAAATCACCTAAATCATCATAATGTCATGTGATCCCAAATGAAATTAACATTTAACTGCATGTTTCCATCGTTGGGAAACTGCTGCCGACATTTTCACAAGCTGTCAGGAAGGCATTTCTTTTTGAAATGAAGTTGGCTGTTTTCCTTTGGTAATTGTTATAAAAATGCAATGTACACTTTGATGCTTTTGTCTTATTTTCACCAATAAAGAGTGCCATTATAACTACCTAAGCGCGTCCTCTGCACATTTTTGTGAAAGAATGTACTATTTCTTACTAGCTAATTCGTCTTACTTAGCACATGACGTAATCATGATGTTGTCTAGAAGTCATTTGAAAGTAAATTTATGACAATGTTAAGAAAACGCGAATTTTTAAGACTGCGTTTGTTGAACGTCGGAGTTGCACCGAGTCAGCGCTGTACTAAGTCGCTCAATTTGAAAGACTTGTCAATAACTTGACGCTGTTAAAACGTGTTTGTTGGCTACCGTTTCTACAACGTGAAGTTCAAACATCAAGTACTGTGTGTTAGCCTCCAAAGTCATTTAATAAAGAAGCAACGAGGTTTGATGAGATGCATAGGTACATGTATGGATTTGGCCTGTATGATTGCTATATACATGCCGTTCTATGTGTATAAAATTACCCTTCGACTTACATTACATAAAGTACTGAGTGTTTAAAAAAACTTTGAAATTCCATTTTAATATTTTCCAAAATTACATTTTCATATTTTTCAAAATTACACTTTTAAATATATTTAGTAATACACCAAGATCACTTTTCGCTTTTATTCTTGTCTGCTCCCCTTTAGTACTACAATAACAGTTGAAATTTCCCATAAAATAACAAGAAGATTGCGCATTGTGAGTGACTCAATTAAAAAAATGGTCTGTTAAATAGCAATAAAATACAATGGCAAGTGATTGATGCATAAGTGGTGTTAAATTGGCTCCCATAAAACTTCAAATCCCAATGTAAATGCATTTTGCAAACAGATTACGTGCTTAAGAAAATAGAAGCCGTGTTTTGTCAAGTATTTTTACTTTCTTCAACTCTCGCCAAGCAATCTCGATTTGTATGGTGGTATCTCAGAGTTCTTCAATGAAATGTCCGACTTCTGAATGGAATTGTAATTTTTTATTTCTTTAGGAACGATTTTCCTGGGATATGAAGGCTTTTTATCCATCATTTGCTCAATAATTTCTCTTGCATTTGGGTGCGGTCTCAGTAGTCTAGGTGGACGGTTGCGGTCTTTCTTTAAAGCTCTAAAAGCTTCGTGATAAAGAAAATAGTTGAATAATCCCTGCAAAGGCTTGAAAATCGCCTGAAAAGAAAGTGAAAATGTAATAATTTTCAGAAATTTTGGAATGGAGAATATTTCCAGAAACATCATATTGGATTTTCTACGAAACTCAAGCTTTTTTAAAACTTACGACATATAAAGTCGGTTTAAATTCAATAAATAATTATTAATAGCTAAAGTATAGATTTTGCATTATATAATTGACTACTCAAAACAAAAAATATTCTCTTAAAATTTCCATAACTATTTGTAAATATATGCTAAATTTCATTCAACATCAATTTGAAATGTAAACATTGCTCGGCCAAAACTCTTAATTAGTCTTAAATATTCGTCCATAACAATGGGTGAGTAGCAAGCCAGCAAGTTCTTTCGTGTTGTGTAAATTTTAGATTATTGTCAATATTCATTTCTTAAGATATATGCAGTATTGTTTTTGCCGTACACCCAGTGGCGAGTTACTAATTACGAGGCCTGTAGGCTAAGACAAAGTTAAGGGCCTTTAAGCGATGTCTATTCCTCCCACTAAGTTCAGTTTTCCTTTGCTTTGCATTTCCTGTTAGTAACCCCATAGGGTAAAAATGAGAAAAGCTCATTTTAAAGTGAAAACGAAACTTCGAAAATCATTGACATGGTCAGGGAAATAGGAAAAGCCTTCATGAGTTCTGAACATTGCGCATTTGAACAGTATAGAGTACGAAAGCCATTTTTCCTCTGCATTCATATGCATGTAAGGTTTTCAGCAGCATGAATGATCTAAGTTAAGCACATTTAGCTAACTCGGAATAGCAAAAACGTTCAAATCCTAATTATGTCCAAAATCAACGGGCCTTTCGAATACCCGGTCTTGTAGGCTTAAGCCTACTCACTACTCAGCCTACTGGATAATTTGCCCCTTCGCGTATAGCAAAACAGAAAATATTTGTATAGCACAACCAAACTCACGGGCTGGCTACTTCAACCATAAACCTGTTTATTACTAAAATATAATAAAAAGTTTTCTGTAGTTTCATGTATGTATTTTTTGGTATATATTTACACATATTAGGAAGTTTTAAATAAAAAAATTACATATTTTTGTTTTATCTTATTTGGAAAAAAGACTGATGTTTTTGAACAGAACATTGACACATAAAGAGCCTAATTCTCTCTTTAATCTTTAAATTCGTGAAGCCTTTATCACTGACGTACATTAAACTATATGCAAATTACTAATATGATTCATTTTAATTGTGATATTATATATGATACATGACGTTTTCGAAGGTAATGTTGAAATGACTACTGAGCAAAAATTTAGCAATAATTGCTGGTTTTACTGGTCTTGGAAATAAAATTTGAGCATACAAGCTTATACTCTCATTATGTAAACTTTAAAACACGAACATTTCTTAATAAATCCATTTTTTTAAAGTGACTGAACACCAAAATATATGCATAACCGAACTAAATTAACGGTTGGCTGTGTCACAGAGTCAAATGGATTATGTAACCGATTTCAAATTGCTGTTTTATTGTAGTGCTATTGTATTTTGCTTATGAGTAAATTGTGACTTTCTGCCGAGATAGTTTTATGAACTTTGAGGAGCATACATTATTTAAGAAATAAAACATGTTTCCTGTGTTTGCACAGGCTTATGCAAACCGAGGAGACCTTCGGGAGAACTCGAGAGCAGATCAGTGCAAGCCCGAGACCGAAGGTCGAGGGTCACCTGCTCGAGAGTTCTCATAAACGTCTCCGAGGTTTTCATAAGCCACTTCAAACACAAAACATCTTTTATTTCGTTTATAAAATAACAATTATGCGAAAAATACAAATATTTAAATTTTTCCCCTAAAATGTATTCATGATCAATTAGCAAATTCTCTCTGACTGATTTATTGTTTTGATTGGTGGAGCTCAGATATGTTTTGCACAGGCTAATGCAAACACGTCTCTAGACCAATCACCGCACGAGTTTCATTGTTTTTATTTCATAAATAAGTATGACAGAAAGACGACAGATTGAAATTCCCTTTCTACATGGGAAGGGGAATGGCAGGGAAGATGATGATCATGTAAGACACCGATGGATGGGGTGAGGGATGATATTATGATATCACGAACGCGTTTCGTTGTTTTTGTTTTGTAATGTAAATTTTGTAATAAAGAAGTAATTATGTAAATAACCCGTAAATAGCACTTACATCAAGATACCAAAGGAAAATAAGAAATGTAGATCTTCTCTCAGTAGTCAAGAAAGTCACAATGGCCACGACATAAGGAAACCAGCTTTTAATGAAATTACAACATAAATGTTACCAAAAGTATATTTTCTTATCAAATTTGTCAAGCAATGAAATAGACATCAATAGTGGTCAGACCCTTATGTACTTTAAGAGGGCATGTCAGAATATTTTTTCCATTCGCTTAATATTTGACGTTTTCTGACCAGCATTAATGAACGAGTGTCACGGTAATGTTTTGCGCGCTTGTGTTTACCTCTGTTAATAAAATTCCGCCATAGAACGCAGTGCTGCATAATTCATTAACTACAATATTGTAACACAGTGCTGCATAATTAATTAACTACAATATTGCAACATAGTGCTGCATAATTAATTAGCTACAACTGCGTCGCGTTAGGAAGATGAAGACGATTTAAACTATTACAGATCACCAGTTCAACAGCCTCATCATGAAGAACAGGCTGTAGTGCAAACTGCTACAAACCAACCTAATGTGGTGCCATTTAAGGGTGCCCCGAAAATGGCTGCTTGTGCATGGTTAAGCGCGCAAAGCATTACTGTGACACTCATTCTTTGACGACACTTACAACTTACAAGAAGAAAAACTATGTAGAATTTTGAATGTTTTTTCTTGCTGTTGAGCTTCATTCTGCATTATTGATTTCTTAAGAGAAGTGCAATTTGCACTCATCCCTTCTTAAACCAATACGCATGCGTATGAATACTCTGATAAACATGTCAAAAATGTGCACAATAAAACCAGCATTACAAACTATTCACGTATACTGCAGTGACATCACCTGAGAGGGCAACAATATTTATATATTCATGTTTTAATTCCTCAGAAACAATTGATTTCAAAGGAGCTTACTTAATACGCAAAAACGTGTATATATGAATAAAATCCCTCTCACTTATCGAGCTGGCAACGACACTACGTATGTATAAGTGGTGTGCAACCACTTCCCTGAGAGTAGAAAAGAACATTGGAATTTTCGCTATGTTGCAACGAACTTGCATTGTAATTTGTAAAAAGAAAAATGTATTGTCAAGTGATCCAACATGGCGGCCATGACGAAACTTGAACAGAAAGCATGGACAAATAATGTTCAATGATAAGGTCTTACCAAAACGCAAATGCAGCCATAATTAAAGAAAATTTTTGGGCAATCCTCTTTAGGTTTTCTCTTTCATCACTGGTGAAAATTCCAGTTCCTCTAAGTCGACGTCTTACTGTAAAAATTCAGATGAAAATAGCATTAGCAATCATAAACAAATCGAAAAGTAATTGAGCATCCTTTTTCTCAAACTGTCTAAAAAAAATTATCTACAATTGCTTGATTTTAATGGTATTTAGTTTAACAACATCTTAGATTTAAATCAAATGCTTTTAATTGTATTTGTATCATCATTGACAGTTGGTAGTCAAATTTCATTTCAAAAAGTTGTCTTTTTCGTGAATATTTTTTCGGGCGAGTTACCAACTCCAAAATACCACGTTTTTAGGTTTTAATGTGGTAAAATCTTACGAAACCAGAAGAAAAGGCTTTTGCTAAATGTGCATTATGCTCAGGAGACAAGGATTTAGCCATTGATTATGTTGATACAATGATCTCTGAATGAAACACGACACAGTTCGTGCAGTCACAGAACAAAAGGCTCATTTAAATCAGTGGCGTAAACGCTATATGCTCTGGGTGTGGGTCGACTATTAATATGTATATTACATGGATCGTGCATTCCCAATATCGTTAGTGCAAAAATTTGAAGCCGAAAGTAGACAGCTATAATTAGATGCTCCGCCATATTGAACTATCCCACTCAAAATGATAATCTATAGTAAAGAACCGCCATAAGCGCATTGCACTTATATACCCTAAAAAATCTTTCAACGTGAAGCTAGAAGCATTCTCTTGTGATAGTATCTCTCGAATGGTGTTACAAAAATTTTGGAATAAATCCTTTCTTAATAGTACAACTGCTTCCTACACTTAATCTTATTAATGCTAATACGTAGCAGTTTTGTCAATGCACCATAAGCGATGCTTCTCGCAATTTTTCATAGCAGAAAATAATATACTTTGTATGTCAACCTCGTGAAGTGGGACTGTTGGACTTGGAAGTGCGCCTTCCGACTTCAAATTTAATTAGTGATGTGCGAACCATGTAAAATACATATTAATGCAGAGCCACGGGCACTTAAGCAATCAGCTTGCAAAGGAGCACAATGAAGGGTGTTGCTTATGAAAATTATGATAAACAGTAGGTTTATGTTTGAGCAAATGGAAGCACTGGATATTTCTCATTGAAGAAAAATTCGTCAATTTCTCCTCTTAATAGTAAATTAAAAGTTCTACTCAGTATTTTTCCGTAGATAAACTAAAAACCAGTTAATATTGTGTTCTATTAACGATTTTTATGAAAATGTTTGTTGTCAGATTTAGGTGGAGGGCACCCCATCCTTGAAAGACAGCGGGAAACCTAGCTCGTTCAAACTTAAGCAACTGATTTAAATAAATGTCCTTGAAGGACCACGGGAGGCCTAGCTCGTTTAAACTTAAGCAACTGATTTAAGTAAATGTCCTTGAAGGACAACGGGAAGCCTAGCTCATTTAAACGTAAGCAACTGATTTAAATAAATCTCAGATGGTGTACTTTGGCGAAATGTTTAGCGAAAACCAATAAAGCCGATTAATTTAAATTCAAACTACTTTGTAACCATGGTATTTGTTAAAAATTTTCAAACAATGTTATATTACCAACGATCGACTAATAAATTTTTCATATTCTGAAACTGTTACTGATTTAATTCATTGTTTACTAAACATGCGATTATGAATAATGGAAAAACTCTTCGTTCATGTCCATGAAATGCATCTATTTTGTAATAATTTACAATCAATGCATTCATTATCATTAGTTTCCTTTAATGTAAGGAGAGGAATAATTAAAAACTTGTAAGAAAACTGAGGAAGGTTTTACCTTTTTTGTACGTGATAAAGAATAGAACTGGATTTGCATGAAAAACGAACAATAAAATTATGCTCAGCAGCATCATCGAGGCGATTTTCCTGTTACGAATGTTGTCACAACTAGAAAATTTAGATATAAGGTTAAGATACGATAGCTAATTGAGGCGGCTTTTCAGTTACTAAATTTTGTCTAAGCTTTCTCTTCGACCTTAGATCAAATGTTTACAGTGAGCAAGGCTTAAAAAGTTCTTTAGTAGCTTTTACCACATAATGCTTTATTGAATACATGTAAACTGAGAGAAATGAAAGCTAAGAACCAATGGGAACCTCACAGTAAACAATGGCCTTTTTATAGGGTTTTAAAAAACTTTTTAAGGTCTATCTTTCACTGTTACGATAAAATTTTACAACCATGAATTCCAGTATACTTTAGCAGCACACGTTTACAGTACATGCTGCTAAAATAGTATAAAAGCAAATAAGAATAAAAGTTCAAATGAAAGATTAAGCTTTTGTAACTGAATTATCAAAATGCGAGGCTTTAAAGTATTGCTTGCATAATTTCAAAATTCTTATGGTAGATAATAAAAATTCTATTCATGACTAACTGAATTGTAGTTGTTGTAGAAACATACTCACAAAAAGGACAAAAACGTACAATATGTATCAAAAATGGATAAGAAGATCGGTGCTTCCATCCTTTATTAAAGAACTGTTAGATTCTGAGCGACTCTGATTTGATTGTATAGCCATGATACAGAGGTTTTGTAAGCTCAAATGATGTTAGTTTCATAAAACTATTGCTCAAGGTGTATATAAGTGTATGTGATGAAAAAGTAAAATTCATGACATCCATTAAACAGCCTCATTTGTGCACATAAGCCATTTTATAAATTTGTTGTACTTAATGATTTATTATCCTCAAATTCAATCCCATGATTTATTCAAAATGTGCTTAAAGTCCTTAAGTGAAATATACATATTAATGAAGACTTGCCTGGAATGGAAAGGAAGAATGGAAAATAAGGTCATAACATTATGCTTACGTTTCATACCAAAATCCCCAATTTAATGATAAAATAACAGCAATAATATCAATTGGTGACAGCCATGCCAAAATATGATAAGAAATCACTGGCCTAAAAAGAATTGAAAAAATACACAATTCACACTATAGAATATCGTTATCACAATTCATTGGACTTAGTTTTTTTATAATTCGAGTTCTTCCATCTGTTATAGCAATAAACATCATGCATGCATCTTGAAGATTATTCTAATCTTTATTAACTGGAGCTCCTTGTGACTAGTTTTCAAAAGAAAACTTACCAGTTTATTTCGTACATCTGCAAACACACATCGACTGCGAAACTAAAAGTCCACATTACGCTTGCTATGCGCCCAACAAATAAAATAGCCTACAAGAAAAAAATTGCTATATTAGAGCAAAGTGCAGTTAGACCAACTGCATAAGTTCCTTTCTTAGCAAAATCCAAAAATCTCATAAATTACTGCATATTATAGGCTTTATAAAGTGAAATTTGCAAGTAGCTACTTTTTTTACTGGCTAGAAGAAATACTCAGTTGTTTGTAAGCAATTTGATATATTTATGTCCATTTTACGTTAGTGTGGGAGTTGAAATTTTTTACTTTAAAAGTGTGCAAACATTTTTGACTGCCATGATTTCTCATTTGATGTAATAGGTTTCATGGAAGTTGCCATTGTAGTTTCTATTGTAGAATGCAGGGGCAGATTATCCAGTAGGCTTAAGCTAAAGTTAATCTAGTAGGGTTAAGCTTAATCAGGCTTAAGCTTACAGGCCCGGTCTTTCAAGAGGCCCGTTGTATCTTGATACAACTTGGATTTAGACGTTTTTGCTATTCTGAGATAGCTAAATGTGCTTAACTTAGATCATTTATGCTGTTGAAAACCTTACGAGCAATCAAATGCAGAGGAAAAATGGCTTTTGTAGTATCTTCTGTTGAAATGCGCAATATTCAGAACTCATGAAGTAGTCGGTTTTTCCCAGTTTCCCTGACCATGTCAAGGATTTTCAAAACTTCGTTTCAGCTTTGAAATTAACTTTCCCCCGTTTTTTACCCTATGAGGTTACAAACAGGAAACGTAAAAGCAAAGGAAAGCTGAACTCAATATAGGAATATATATCACTTAAAGGTCCACAACTTTATCTTAGCCTACACGCCCTGTAATTAGTAATCCCCCACTGGCAGAATGTGTACTCTTTTTGACGTTTATTTAGCAAACATGCATGGCATTACAAAGGTTCGAACATATATGTCAAAAATCGCCACTTTTGACGGCTATAAAATCACTCTGAGAAGACCAATTTTAATTCTGTTTGCATCAGAATGATTTTGAGAGCAAGTATTTTGAATAAGCCAGTAAAAAAAATTTACGAAAATTTCACTGCAATAGTACTTTAAAATTCACTTGCCTCCAGTGTTGCGCATATGGCATATATCAAACGAAAGTTGCTTGTCATGTTTGATTCATCAGATATTTTTGGCATGCCATAAACGAGTGACATGACTGCCAGTACAATCGTTCCTGGAGTACAAAAGATAAAGGGTTTTAATAGATCAAATATTAAGACAGGTCATTTAGTCTTACCGTGCTAAAACTTTTTGTACCATATAAACTCTTGAGAAAGAAGGCTCTATACTCACCATGGCCATAAGTACAGGGGGGAGGGCTGGGTGGAAAACCACCCACCATTTTTATTATGCTGCACTTTTTTTTATGCTGACATTTAAACGTAATTTCACTTAATTATCAACTAATCCTATTTTCTTGAATTTTATAACAATTAAAAATAAGCATCACGGTAGTACTTTGCGCGCTTGTGTTTATATTGATTTTTATTATTTTATGCAGAAGCAAGAAAATCACATCAAACTACATACGGATGAAGCGCATGATACTTCCAATATTTATCAGTTCCTGAATGACGAGTGCTGTCTATACATTCGTGATCCTCTTGTTCTGTAGAACAAGTCACAGAAATGACAAAATTTTATTCAAACTTGTCGTTTATTTTTGTAAGTGGTACTAAATATTTGATAGATTGCAAGATATTGAAACGTTCGATGGGCAAAAAGTAAACGTATTGCAAATGGGGAAAATACATGTAGCTCAACACGAAATGGCTCAGAAATTTGGTAATTGCAAACATCAGCATAGAATTGACTTACTAGATGTTGCAAAATTGTACGTGTGTTACTGTTTTTTCGATATCAGAAAATGGTAGTGGAAGAAATATTTTTACAGTTTGTTATGATATGCACATGGAAGACTGTTTGAATAAAAACACAGACATTTTTACGTCTATAATCGATTGCTCGTTTTTAAACAATCGTGTGATACAAACTTTCTAACTAAATCAGACTTTAAATATAAATATCAAAGCCCAGCAAAGTGCTTTTAAAGGAGCCATTTAATGCATAAAAAGAAATGTTTATTTAAAAGTGTAACGTTTCGTCTTGACTCTCAAGAGATCATCAGACAATATTAAATTACAAGTATAGAGTGATATATATATAATAGCTATTTACATAATATTAAATTACATGGTGTGATGAAAACGTGTTAGTAAATATTGGATAAGATGGTATAATTATCTTGTCCAATATTTACTAACACGTTTTCATCCCACCATGTAATTTAATATTATGTAAATAGCTATTATATATATATCCCTCTATACTTGTAATTTAATATTGTCTGATGATCTCTTGAGAGTCAAGACGAAACGTTACACTTTTAAATAAACATTTCTTTTTATGCATTAAATGGCTCTTTTAAAAGCACTTTGCTGTGTTTGATATTTATATTTAAACTTCGCTTTCCGCCCGGTATATCCCTGGTCACAATTCTAAATCAGACTTATCAAAAGCTGACAAGAATGAAAAAAACTGAGATTACTGTTTATCTATCTCATTATGGCATGTTTAATTTCATTGACATTCAGTCTCGAAATAGGAAGTTTGCATTCACGCGTTTAATAGAGTTAATGGAGTGATAAATATTTTTTAGTTCCTGTTAATTTTCTCGTTGCCAAATAAATGAATAGTTCATCAAAGGTGATGTAGTAAAAAAAGAGACATGTTAACATCATGTTAACAATGCAACAAAGTAGTTTGTAAAATACATGTGATCTATAAAAGTTAATATGCAATAAATATCCGTAGTTACTCACCAACACACGCTATTAAGTCAGACAATGCCATGTAAAAGATAATATTTGGATGAGCAGATGGACTTCGTCGTATTGCATTAAGATATTGCCACATGTATCGAAGTTGCACCACTGCACCAGTTAAACCAAGAACGGATGTTGATATGTAGATAGCATTTAAAACTTTAATATGAACCTCTTGTAAAGTATCACCAGGAACACAATTAGTTAACCAATAAGTCACTAAAGCCATTATTTAAACCAAGATGCATCAAATCATAAAAAATCTTAATGTTACTATAAATTTTACAACTCGCTTTTTTCTTGTTGTTTTGAAAACATATCAGACATACTTTCATTTAGTATTCGTTTGACATAATAGTTTTGTTGCATCATAATTTTGCTGCTTCTTTATTTGTCACCTAATAATTAAGCTCCGTCTGGGCAGATATTCATGCGCACACGGGGCGCACTAACGTGGTTCTCACATGATTTGGACAGATTTGGAATAAGACAAAGAACGGTTACGGCAGCCTATTTATATCCTTAAATATCACTGACAGGTGTTTATTTTATCATTGTGGATAAAGAATGGAAGCGGTTTTATTAAATTGGAAACAATTGGTGAAAGCCAGTTGTGAAGACCAACTAAAGTCAATTTTGATTCATATTGCTATAACGACAAAAATGACCTTCATTTCATGTCTGCAATTTCGTAATTATGTTACTTGATGAAAAATTTTTCCCGTGACAAAACAATAAAAATATTTATAAATGTCATGTGTGCAATAAACATTATGTTTGAGATTATAGCTATAGTTTAAAGATATTTCTTTCTCATGCAAAGATCAGTATTTATTATACCATGTTGAAAATTCAGGATTATTCTGGGGCGGGTGGCTGAATGGTTAATTGCGTGAGCTGTAAGCCAGACGGTGCGGGTTCAATCCCGCTCGTGGCACATCTAGCAATGTGTCTGTAAACCTAGCCCGGGTTGACCAAAGCCATGTGAGGGCAATTTGGTAAAGGAAACTATGTCCTCGAATGGACTGTATCTGCATCTGCAATGTTGCAGCCTTGTCACACTGTGTCACGCTGATATCAGCGTTGTAGTTGCGTGAAGGGTACGAGTGATTGTAGTCTGGTCAGCTGCCTTCACTATAATTTAAGTAACCAGGATGTTCCATTTAGTGTAGAACCCTCATACGTCGAAATCGACGGAGTCCATTATTCTCGTATAAATTCACAATATACATTCATCATATATTGTCACAAGTCGATCGCTTAGTAATGACGACAATATTTATCTTCAACTTTTGTGATAAGTGCTTGATCAAGTGGTATTTCGAAATCAGTAATTGCAATGAACAAGGAGTCAAATTCAAAATATCAAAAGGTCGAGAGACGAAAGTTCATCAACACAAAAATTTATCTTGTAAATAGGAGAATCGTAAAGGTAAAAAAAATATGGATGGAAAGGAATTGCAAAGAGCTACCAGTAAAAATACTTTATTTGCCATTCATACCCTGTTGTAATAGAAGATAAAATAAGACAAAATTCAGCCGTATATCAGAGTGAAGATAGCCAGTCCAAAAATTTTATTCCACATGCATGGGTACAATAATCTTTTTCACGAGCAACCCAAGAAAATTTGCTGAAGAACACGATAACATTTGAAACATTTACATTCTTCTCGAGGGATTTTCTAAATATGTGACATCGTTACGAGGGATTTTGTGCAGAAAATTGTGTATTTAAATTTTCAACAATTTGAATTCATTATTGTTGAAGAGCTACTGCCTGCTCAATCTCAACCTCCCACCTCCCCCCCCTTCCGAATTACCACAAACCTTTACATAACAAACATAAAAAATATTTAAATTGGTGGGCATCATCATTATCGTTCAAGTTTTACGTGTTTGATTACAAAACAGTTGCAAAATCTCACTCATCACTTTAAAAATATGCATTATTCACATGAAATATTCAAAAGTAAATCATACAATCTTGAGAGCCCATTTTATTGAACACTTGGTAAGTAATGACAGCATTAAAGGTAGACGAAAATTATTTTACAAAAGAAATGAAATTAATCAAGAACAGTCACTGTAATATCACATTAATATTTTTCATCGTGCACGTCCAGAAATACGTTACTTCATGTTATATTGATATTTGTACCGTTTGCTGTTGCAGTTTAACTTTTATTTCATTAATATGTTTCACCGTGCACGTCCAGAGATATGATACTTCATGTTATCTTGATATTTGTACCATTTGCTGTTGCAGTTTAACTTTTATTTCTAGTTACTTAGGAATGACAGCACTCACCAAACAATCTTGATTTGTAATTAAATGCTTGAGGATTTTTCAATGAACTAGGAGATTTCTGAAAAGAATTATAACTTCTCCTTTTATTTTGCACGAGGTTCTTGCTACATAGATGTTGAAAAGGCGAAATAATTTCATTGAAATTTAAAGGTGCTTGTATAAATTTAGGTTCTTTCATGATGTCACGTGGTATAACTTTGAACGTGTTACGATAAACAAAGCAGTTAAAAAGTCCATGTAGAGGATTTAAAACAGCCTGAAAGAAATGAAAAGGAAATTTATAAAAGTTTTTAACAATTCCTTTATTGGAAGTATTGTCCTGAGCTTAGTAGCATAGTTAATACAGTGTTATTCTTCCTAATTAGCAAGATTAAAGAAATTGTATGAATAAACTAATGAAATATAAAAGTTTGAAATTGGCATCAAAGTTGCTTTCTTAAAAAAAAGGAATAAAGCAATATGGTTTTCGTATTAGGACACTGCTATCAAACAATATACATCGTGCTCAATTTTCGTTTTAAAAAACAATGTTATAACATTAAAAGCAGATTATTTCACGAGTCTGTCAAGTTTTGAAATCAATGAGCCCTTTAAGGCCTTACACCCAACACTCTTCTGTGCTACAGAGCAGGACTAATTTTAACTAGAAACTTTAACACCCAAGCTTAAGTCTCTTTTGTTTAAGAAAAAAAATACCATGACGATGGCTTTGCAATATTTTGTTCATATCAATTGCAATAAAATCGATCTTTGGTTTCCGTTGAACTTCCTAAGCCATTGTTAACGTTTAAAAAATGGAAAAAGAAAATAATCGATAGCGACACCAAAATTTAAATAATGCCAGGTCTTTTTATTTATATCATTTTAATTTCATGACATAGGCCAATCAATAAATGTGTCAAATAGTTGTTCATTTTATAATTTATTAACGTAACAGACAAATAATTCGTTTTCTTGTCAAACCACACTAAAAAATGAATATATTGTTTGTTTTACTTATTTTTCTAATCTTGACGCAGACATGCCTGGGAAAAACTAAGACAAACTTTACGTAAATGCATCCTAGTATGACTTAATCACCTAATTATAATTAGTACAGTCATTTTATTATTCTATTGCAAATGCTTTGACTTGATTGGTTAGATAGACTAGATAACGAGCACGGAAGCAATAGATAATGAGCAGCGAAAAAGCATGGCCACCAACCGAGCCGTTTCGCGTTTTACTAAGTTTTCTGAAAATAAAGTTGATCGTTTTTTTCAAAAAGAAACCACTAAGAAGACTAAAGTTGCCACTAAATACAACTGTAAGATGTCTAAAAGTAAAATGAAAAAAATAAGTAAATAACGGAAGATGCATTGCGCAAGAGTCGTTCGCTTTTTAATATAAGCATGATGCCTATCACACATACACTCGGGTTACTAAAGAACATTGTTTGGTTAAATTTGCGTAATACAGTCGTTGCCAAATAGCACAACATAAAGCCTATCACACATACACTCGAGTTACTAAAGACAATGTTTGGTTAAATTTGCGTAATACAATAGTTGCCAAATAGCACAACAAAAAGTGTATCACACATACACTCGGGTTACTAAAGAACATTGTTTGGTTAAATTTGCGTAATAAAATAAGTTGCCAAATAGCACAAAAAAATTCATGGCAATGCAATCTCAAGTATGGCAATATATTATGTAAGTAAATGATATTTTGGTATGCGCGTGTCATTAGTGACACTCAAGCGTGAGGCGATCCAGGAACAATTTTGATTGGTTCAAAGAATTCGTGTCAGTCACTCGTGTTGCAAATAACTCACGATAGCACAAAAAAATTCGAATCTACCAAAATTCCTTAGGTAGCAATGGCGAAGCAAACTCATTATTTGGGGGCACATCTTCTTATATTCATGTTCTGCCGCATAAGTTCCTTTGAAATACATTGTTTTTAACATGCGTTTATGAATTTGTGCCCCCCCCCTAATTAAGGAGTTTTCTACGCCACTGTTAAGTAGCCAGAGTAACGATGTCAAAAGCTACAAATCCATAAAGCAGCAAACTAAGAAAAACTGTAGAAACCTTTTTTATAAATACCAGTATGATTCTACTAAAACATTTAGAGCACTCGCTCTCTATTTTCATTATCCAATAGTTGATTGGAGCTTTCGCCTTATAAACTATTAACTGATAGATATCTCAATCTCATAAGTGGAACCATTCTATTCATTTAAAACTAATAATGCCTGTTAAGTCATTTATGCACGTCAAAATTTCGTTTGACTCACCTCAACATACCAAAATATAAGAAAAGATGATCTCATTTCACCGTGATGCATTGTCCAGTAATACAAAATGGAAATGACATTTGGAAACCAGCTAAAAAAAGTTAATAAAAAATAAAATTAACGTATTGCAGGTTGACATCTTATATAATTACATTTATACAATAAATACAATAAAAAGCGTGCGCTGATTGGTCTAGAGCTGTGTTTGCATTAGCCTGTGCAAAACATATCTGAGCTCGTTAATCAAATCAATCAAAATAATCAATCAGACAAAGAGAATTTGCAAATCAATCATGCACAATTTTATATGAAAAATTAAAACTTTTACTTTAAAATTGTCTATATTGCATTATTGTTATTTTATAAAAGCTTTCGAGCCGGTGCAACCCTCGACCTTTGGTCTCGGACTTGCACTGATCTGCTCTCGAGTTCTCCCAAGGGTCTCTTCGGTTTGCATAAGTCTGTGCAAACACAGTAAACATCTTTTATTTCTTAATTAAAACTCTATTCTGATGTAAAGATTTTCAAGAACAATTTTCGAAAGTACAAAATATAAATGAATGTAGAAAAAATTTTTCATAGTATGTAAAAGTTGTTTCTAGTAAAGAAAATTAGATCTAAAAATCATCTGTAAAATGACGTTTAAAAGAAATATCCCACCATAAAGCATATGTTCCCATAATTACAAGATATCTTCTAGCGACGATCTTCAAAGCTAATCTTTCGTCATATGAGAATATGCCAGTACCTTTAAGTCGACGTCTAACTGTAAAATTAATTCATTACAAAAATCACCTCCACCAAAATATATACAAAAATTTTGCCGTAAGGGAAAGAAAGGGAAGGGACAGAAAGGAGTGGTAAGGGGTAGAAGGGAAGGGAAGGGATATTAATAAATAAAGCGCGAATTCCTTTAAAAATTTTATACAATATACACTTATTGCAAAGCATACCTTTTTTGTACGTAGCAACAAACAACAATGGATTGACCACGAAGACAATTAATACAGGTATATATGACACGATTAGTCTGGATTCAATGCCATGAGGTTCATCGCAGCTAAAAACGAAAACATATAGTTTCAAATCAAAATTCTTTTAAAATAGTAAATTTTCTCTTTTGTCATCGCAATTTTTATTTGGATAATATTTGTTATTTAAGAAATAAAAGATGTTTACAAAGGTTTTTGCTAATCGAGGAGACCATCGGGAGAACTCGGGAGCTGATCAGCTCATGCTCGAGAGTTCTCACAAACCTCTCCGAGGTTTGCATAAGCCACTGCAAACACGAAAAGCATCTTTTATTTCTTTTGTAAAATAAAGTAATGCGAAAAAGACAAACATTTTAATTTTTCCTCTAAAATGTATTCATGATCGACTTGCAAATTATCTTTGACTAATTAATTATTATGATTTATTTGATTGGTTGAGCTCAAATGTGTTTTGCACAGGCTAATACAAACTCAGCTTTAGACCAATCAGCGCACGCGTTTTATTGTGTTTATTTCATAAAAATACATCATTTGCTTACTTTTTGCAAAGATCAAATTTTACTAATTTACTGTGCAGCTATTATTTTTTTGCCAACTTAATTTTGTACTTTCAGTAAATCTTTCAGCGTAATAGATTAAGAAAATTAATAAAAAGAATGGGAAAGAGAATAAAAGAGCGTATATCTTCTGATAAATTAGAAAATCCAAATGAAAGAACTGTTTGAGTTAAAAATTACTTACATAACAGGCCAATAACCCCAACTGATTGATTCAATGACACCAACAAAGTTCATTGGTATTAACCAAGCCAGAATATGGTATACCACCATAGGGCTGAAAAAGTAAATAAAGCTCATCATGTTTTATTTGACAATATAAATTTTATCAACACAATTTCAGTTGTCTATCAATTAGCTACACTGTGTTCAACAAAAACAGTTCATGTAGAAAAGCTTTATTAACTGCAATTTGATTTTGGAAAATTCACGTTATAATGTTGGATTTACAAGATCTTTAAGTAAATTTTGATTTTGGAAAAATACGAATGACGTGTGCTTACTATTGGATGAATAAAATGGTTCTTTAAAGCAGTTTATTGTCAATAATTCCACGCATTGTTCTGCAACAATATTAGTGTTGCACAAGCAACATTATCCAAAACAAAAACTAAAAACATTCAGAAAGATTGCATGTCTTTATTTCATCATAACAGGCTATAATTATGCCCTCAAAAGCGTTATCCCCACTATCTCCCCCTCCCCCGTGTACAATATGGAAATCTGGCTATTTTCACAAGTATAAATGCAGGTTATAAGATTGTCATGTCTTATAACCTATTTGTAGTCGCGTGAAATTGGACCATCAAACAGAAACAAAAAGCATTTTATTTATGTGATTGAGTTTGACTGCTGCAATTTTAGTTTAACACATACAAACTTACCCACCATGCAGTGCATTTTGTTTAAAGTATTTCAATGACATTATCTGCTGACCTTAGATACGTATGACTGCAAGAAAACCCCTTAAATCTATCAAAAATAGCTTTCAGATACTACATTAAATGCTAACTCACCAATGGATTTTGTAAATCTGCAAACACACGTCTATTGCAAAATTCAAAGTCCATATAGCACTTGCAATAACCGCCATTAATGTTACAATCTATAAGAAAATAATGCTGTACAGTTTTAAGGCAATTTAATGTAATGACTTTATAGTAAATGTGCTTTATATGTTGTAACGAAAAATTAATGTCGTCACTTTACTGTGTAATCAAAACATCATTGCATGGAGTCTGGAAGGATGATCACGCGAGAATCCCTTGCAACACTGGAAGCAGATCCATATAAGAGTACAATAAAATGCAAAAGTAAAACTGAAAGTTTTATTATACAACATAATTTTATCAAGCAAGCTCCCTTAAAAAAGTGGAAGGTTTTCTTAAAGAGTGCGTAAATAGGAAGGTTTGGGATCTCCCAAATCGTCAAAGTCAGAAATTTTCTTGGCTTAATAAATTCTCAGAAAAGAAAGTTTCTAAGGATTATTAATTGTTTTGTCAGAAATTTAAACGTAAATAATTCACCATTATTTTCACAAAACCTTTTTTAAAAATACAATTTTGCTACGGCAATGTGTCTAAGATGGAAATATAATCAAGGATCTTTTAAAATAAAACAAAATACAAAACTCTCACCGCGGCCTGACATCTCTTCAACATGATAGAAAACATTTTTAGGCCAATCCAAAAGTAGTTGAAAGAAGTTATTTACCTCCATAACTGTGCATATTGCATCCAGTGAAATAAATTTTTTCGGTTTGTATGTGTTATCATTAACTTTGATTGGCTTTTGTATAATCAACAACATAACTGCAAGTGCTATCATTCCTGTAACATTAAAAGTAAAAGGAAAATAAATAAGTATTAAAAAAAAGTAATTTAAGGCATGAGAATGTTATTGTACGTCAATTCAACAAGGATATCAAAAACTTTTTTCATAAAAAACTCTATTGAAGCGTTCTAGCTCAGGAGATCACTTCATTTTGTGTGGCGTAGCTTTGCACGTGGCTTTGATGTAATTCTGATACAGTAATAGAACGCAACCCGTATAATTATTTATAAGATAAACACAATGAAACGCGTGCATTGATTGGTCTAGAGCTATGTTTGAATTTGTCTGTGCAAAACACATCCGAGACTAAGCAATCAAATCAATCATAACAATCAGCCAAAGAGAATTTGCAAATCGATAATGAATACATAATAGAGGAAAAATTAAAACGTTTACTTTAAAATTTTCTGTTTCGCGTTATTGTTATTTTATAAAACAAATAAAAGATGTTTTTGTGTTTGCACTGGCTTGTGCAATCCTCGGAGAAGTTTGTGAGAACTCTCGACCAGGTGAAACCCTCGTCCTTCGGTCTCGAGCTTGCACTGATCTGCTCTCGAGTTCTCCCAAAGGTCTCCTCGATATCCATAAGCCTGTGCAAACACAGTAAACATCTTTTATTTCTTAAATGTCAAATGATGGAAGTAAATTTGATGTATTAAATTCTTTCTTAATCTGTGCCGAGTCATTAGACGCGATGAACTATCTTTGCGGAGTAAAATATTAATTTCTCCAAAATATCTTTAATGTAAGAAGAAATAGTTATTCTAAGAATAGCATAGAAAATACATTTCTCACACCTGCATGAGTTTTCTTGCAAGTTTCTATATAAAACAGCATGCACGTGTAAGGAATGTTGGGTAGGGGAACGGTAGCCCTCAGACTGAGACTGTTGCGCACACTAATTCTGTCGGGCATTATAAGTAGCAGATCAGAGATTGCCTGTATTCTAAAAGCTTGATCACACTTAGTGACTTATATCCAAATTCAACCAAATATATATATTAATTAAACAGTAGATAGTGATATATGATACGGGTGACAAGTCTGGAACATTTGTTATTGCTTTATTTCATCTCCTACACTTCAACACCAAACAATTTAAAAATATTCAACAAAGTAAATGCTGTAGGTTTTTTTTAACATGCGCGCAACGCTCACCCGCCGACCTTGGCCATGATAATATGACAAATCGACAATACCGAGCAATTATTTGGCTAATTTCATCTTTTACTACATGATACGGCGACAAAAACTTACCTAAACATGTTATTAAATCAGACAATGCCAAAAAAAAGATAATATTGTGATGAGCTGACGGACTTCGTCTCACTGCGTTACGATATTTCCATAAATGTCGAAGTTGTACTGCAGCACCAGCCAAACCAAAAGTTGATGTTGTTATGTAGATTGCACTTAGAGTTTTCCTTTCATCGTCATTTAAAACGTCGCCGGGAATGCAACGAATAGACCAATCTCGAAGTAAAGCCATACTCTTACACTGGACTTTGACAGCTATAAGCTGTTATAAAAGAAAAATTGATTATTTCTATTTAAAGAGACTTTATCGCACCTACTTTATTTACATATTTATTTGCTATATTACAGTGGCATAGTAGCAAGGAAAAAGAATCTTGAGCAACCACAAATAAGGCGTAAAGTCTTATCATAGACAGTTAAAATACATTGATGTGCAAAAACAAATCATAATTTATTTTGAATCTTTAAAAACGTATAATAAAAGTAGTCAAGCTGCAGCAATATAAATGCGGACATTTTCGTAATATTATCAAGAAATATTATTATCGCATCTAATGTTACTTTGAGAAGAAAAAATTCGTAAAATCGTAGGCATCCAACAAATTGATGGCAAACGATTTTTCATATCTGAAGATTTAATTTATGCGCATAGAAAATACAAATCCCTGATGAAAAATGTGCTAAAAATTTTGACAAATTTATGGTGCTTACCGAAAAACACGTATCAACTTTCCAAAATAAACATTGATTATGAAAGGCTTAACAATGTGGCGACTGGCAATATAAACATGTATATTATCGCTCTATCACTTGTGACAGGATAAACAGACTTGTATTACATTCACATGATTAAAAAGAAACTTGATGATTTTCTTTTGTTTACAAATATGGTATATGTCATCAGTTGGCAGCAATTAACAATGTTGACATGCCTTGGTCCATTCTTTCCCACAACCTAGAACTTGTTGAAATATTAGTTTATTTATCTGTGTAGATTTGCCTGTGCGGTAGGTTGGCATATTGTTTTGAAAGAAGGGGTACATGGGTGGGGGAAGGGGCACACTTAGGAAAGTAGATACTTGTATTGTGCATTGTACGTGTGTTGCATTATGTAATGTTATACATAATATATTAATCCTAACACGGTGTTTAATATGCACATGAAAAACATGTGACTTGGACGAGATTTTAACTCGCACCTTCGGGATACTAGTCCGCCACTCTGCCTGTTGAGCTACCAAGCCCACAGGGATTGGAGATGCGGGTAAAGTTTCAGATATTTAGCTAATTTATGTTGATCTATATCCATGTGTTGTACAAGCTAGTTGTAAGTGTATGATAAGAGTTCGTTGATGAAACTTGTGAGTTTTGAAAGGATTTGTAATAATTTGCGTTTTTCCGCTGGTGTTCAGTCTTGGGATTTAAAGGTTCTCTATCCATCATTTGATAAATAATTTCTCTTGCATTTGGATGTCGTTGTAGTAATCTAAGTTGACGACTGTAGTCAAGCTTCAAAGCTCTGAAGGCGTCACGGTAAACAAAAATAATTAAATAAGCCTTGCAAAGGGTTGACAATTACCTTAAAAGAGAATAAAGAACATCCATTCAATTCAAATTTGTTTTTAGAAAGAAAGAATTTATTAAAAAGTATGGAATAATAATACAGATCATTCAAAACAAACAATTTATTGAAAAACTTCATCAGTAGAAAAACTCTAATTGCATAAAAAACGACAATTGTGCTATTTAAATAATATTTTCATTAATAAAACCTTTAAATTGGCAGCGTACTTTTTAAAGCAGTTTATTCTTGTCAGTTTTTATCCTTTATTAAAGTTTATGTAATATCCGCTGTACACAAATTGTGACGTCACATTGAATAATAAAACTAAAGAATGTTTTGGAAACTAAAGAATGTTTTGAACTTTGCAAGAAGCCACTCTTTATCGAAAATGGCGTCACAAATCGAGTAAATTGTGCATTAAAAACTGCAATAAGTTAAGAACGGAAAAAGTGCATAACTTTTACAGAAAGAGTACCGTCATTTTAAAAGTTCTGTCTATGAAATTACTTTAAACATTAAAGTTTTCAATTCATGGGCCCATTAATGAACAGTATTTAAGCAGTTCTTTTACTTTTTACTGCAGTTTACAATTCTTAGGTAGCATGTTTACTTCCACTTAAGTATATATATATTAAGTAAAATATGAGTACTTTAATAAAGACTGTAGGCTATGGAACAAAGACAGAAATTTTGAGTAAATGTCAGGCCGTATAATCAGTAGCTGTTCCGGGGAACAGCTTCCATTTAGCTACACCTAGAGCTTTATTTTAGTGTTTACTTAGTTTATAGTTTTATGCGATTTTTTATCTACTTAAGAAATTATATTAAGCGTTCATTTGCATACATGTTACAACTAAATTACGCTTTGTTGCTGCTTCTTAAACTCGATCTCTGAGAGCAAAATCTGGGTGCAAACTTGGGAAATAAAAATGCCATTTTCTGATCTTCTTTAAGTTGCTAAATTTGACATTAATATTCCTGTAAGCAGTGCAAAGTTCTTTTAGAAAGTTGAAACTGATATATAATCATCTCAGAACGACAACGACAAATTCAAGACCCAAGTATTCGTAATTACTAGCATTCATTGTACGTAAAGGAATATTATAATACCATATAATGCATCACAAATCTCAGTAATAATGAGTGACTTGTTTTCAAAGATTACGTCATTAACTATAGCAATTTATTGTTTATGAATAATTCTAGTCCACTGCTCAATTGTTTGATGACTTGTTCTCTTGTATTATTTTGTAGCAAGAAAATATCTGGTTCTTTAACCGATACATCAATTGACTATCTTCAATATAAAAAAGGACCAGAAGAAATTCTTTTTTAACTTTAATCCAAAAAAACCAAAATCACGATAACATTAGGTATCCAGCTGCAAAGAAATTACATAAATTAAAATGTCCTCACAAAGTAGCTATAATTCACTACTTAAAAAACATTTAAAAGCAATCATAAATTGGATCTTATAAATATAATTATTAATAATATTTATGTGATAATTTAAAAAAGTTGTTGATATAAAGATATTTTTCACTGTTTGTTAAATGTGTGACGTGTTCTATAAGCACTTTCAAAAAACAAAGAATATCAGAAATTCAAGTAACGTTTTTTTCCTATGAATTTTTTTCACGTTTTTTTAAAATTTTTGATGAAGTGTTATTTGCACATAGTATAACTTTAATTATTAGAACATGATAGAAGCCTGTACGTAGTTACATACAATAATAAACAATAATTGGATGAATTTGAGCATCATATCAAGAATTATTCAGACCAAAGTCAATGTTATCTGCCGAAGCGAAGCAAATATGAAGTTTTGTCTTTTTCTTTGTAGCTTGTTTGTGTTCAGTAAGTCTTATGTTTAAGTTCCTGCCAGTTCCTGCCAGCAGTAGTCCCCTATAGCTGTCTTAATTTTTATAGCGCACTGTAAAAATAAACATATCTTACGATTCTTGCATGGAAGAGCTATAAGCGGAATTTTGTTGGTTATTAATTAAGTGATGTGTAAACATCGGCTGATATATTCAGAGTTTAGTGTTGCAGAGAAACTCGTATGAGAGCTGGCGTGCTTATATATTGTTGAAGAAGAAGTTACTTGATGCGTTGAAGTTTTCATTGATCATCAACATGAGCTTTGTGCATATGTTATATTTTATGTCTTCAATGTAAATATTAAAACTAACAGGAGTGATTTTGGTAGTTTTTCCAAGGTACACAGAATGTATATAATCTATTGTCAATGTTCAAGAACGACTCCTCCCCCCCCCTTCCCCCCAGTACAACTGAGTAGTCCCATTAGGAACAACGTGGATTATTCTTTACCCACATACTCAAGAAATCGTGACAAGAATTGAAATTGTGAAATACAGTAAGCAGCGGATTTTTTTCCAGCTTTTGAAGAATGTTAATTGGTGCACTTTTAAAAGACGGACCCCACGCCAACCAGCCCCTCTTACAAATAGTTGTACTGACTACAAACAGTGCCTCTTATTGAGATTTCCCGGTGTGTTATTGAAGACGTCAGTCTGCTCGTGCATAAATATATCTTAATGTCAAATGCTGTGAAGTTTCTATGTTAAATATTTTATTCCGAGAGTACTTTATTCAATATTATAGGAAGATAGCAGGAGAGTTTTTTAAATAATAAACAGTCTTTATTGTCATTGCTCGATTTTTCAAAGCACTCTGTTGGGCTTTTAATTAATCTTCATCATTGATTGATTTGAAGGAAATGTCTATTTACCTCCCACTATTCATTGTATTCAAATATTCACGATTGAGTGACGTAATTTACGGAAGTTCCTGTGACGGAATAAACACAGTTGCTAAAACCGGATGTAGGACAATGTTATTGAGATTGCTCTCTGTTTACTGGATATTGATGAGTATATTTCATCTTTCTCTACAATCTGTGAAATTTTCTACTTACTCATGACGATGAAAGGTTTATAAGTAAACTTGGATTTTTTGTGAGAATGGAAAGACAAAGGCAACGAACTATCGGGCCTTATATTCTCAATCAAACTTTAGGCAAAGGGCAGACAGGTACTGAAAAGTAGACAGAACGGAGTTTTATTTAATGGACATTCTTTTATTGTTTTGTTTTTGAAATTGTAAATCAAATGCCCTTATTTAGTTTCGTTTTTCCCAACTGATAGTCTGATATTGTTATGGATAGACTCCATCTTATTAAATGGGTTTCGTGCTTTTCAGGAGTAGTTCGCTTGGGTGTTCATTGCACTACCAAAGAAAAAGTTGCTGTGAAAATTATCGACCGCACGAAGTTGAATCCGCAAATTTTGGAAAAGGTGAGCGTGTGAATTTAATTTTATCAAGAGTAAACTTCAATTTCTTTTGCCTGAGAGTGTTAATATTTTATTTTTGCGTATTGTCGACGTTCCGTCATTCATTCAATATGTCGTCAACACTAAGTTATTTGCAGCTGCTCATCTGTCAAAATGAATAAGAAAAGTTTGAGCTGTTTAAACTGCTGCTCCTCTCAACGTTAGGTTTTCTTTGATATACTTTTATCGTGTGCTTTGTGTGACAGAAACATGCGATGATTTTTGTCGGGTTATTGAAGCGAAACCATAAAGGAAGTAGATGATTTATTTACTACATGATCAATTTGTCGTCGTTTGTTTAGAGATACTGCATAGATATACGCATTTAGATGCTCGTTTTTAATTCATTATAAAACTGTATTTTGTGTGAACAAGTCATGTGTATTTTCTACTAGCTTTGTATGTATATTTTCTTGAAGTTGATTTTCTTTACATGCAATCTAATAATTGCTATTTACCATCAAAACGAAACTTCGTGAATAATATATTTGATGAGAACTTCGTAATTTATCATTTCTTCATGATCATTGCATGTGGTAACCTCGCAAAAGATAATTTTTCCATTAAGATAAGTAAAAGTCGGATCTTTCTTTTTAAAAATTGTTTGGAAACAATTATCTCATTTGTCATCTGTCTCTTATTTCTCGTGTTTTTGTTTTATAAAAAAAATTGAACGTTGCCATTCAAGAACTGCGACGCTTTTGCATGATAATTTTATATTTTAAGTTTACATTTGTCATTCCTCGAGGAACTTTTATGGTATAGTATAGCTTTATGAAATCTATCTTTTAATTTGGCAATTACATTCAGGCTGAAATTAATTATTGGCCATTTTTGATAGCATCTGATACAAATCTGATGCTTACTTTAACAATTTTGTGATGTGTTTAAGGCTTACTAAAAAATGCTACATCATTCATTTTTAATGTTAGTGTGTGAGCTTTGTGGAGCTTCTGCGTATCCCTTTATATACATGTAGTCATTCTCTAGCCTTTTCTGTTGTTTGTATGTATGATTGATTTGAGAAGAAAGTAATCAATTGAATTGGATGCATCATCAATACATTTTGACCATATGTCGATGTTTCGTAGTGTTTTATATGATAATGTGAACCTAACAAATATTCATATTAGCCTTCATAATTTATTTCAACGAGCAATATAAATAATGCAACTATTTATGTGGGATTGTGTGCAACATAATCTTTTCTTGAGGAGTGAATATTTTCTAAGCATGTTGGGAATTGAAAATTGAAACAATGTACAGTGTCCAAAATTTTGTTAACTTAGTATCCATTAGATAGTGAAACTTGGTTTTGGAAACTAAGTTTATTTTACTTGTTTCTCAATGAAATATGAGATTTTTTGAAACTAGGGCCGTAATTTATGATTTGAGTAATCTCTTATTTTTGTTAATAGTAAAGTAACACATGTCTAGCACATGTAAAATGTTATTTTTATGTCCGCTTGTGATTCAATATGAGTATTAACCATTTTTAATAAGTAGTTTTTACATATTGAAACAACATTCTCAAATTCAGTGAAAGGAATTTTTTAGCAAGGAAAAATCACTTTGTGATTCAGATCAGATTGGCAACAATAAACATGCTACTGTGATTTGGCAAAAGCCAAATAGTTATAGATTGTCAAGAGTATATATCAAATTCTAAAATCCAGGTCTCCATATGGATACTCAAAAGTTCAAATTTCAGACCCTGTTAAATCAATTATCTAGTTCATCTGCATTCTGCTATGTGTTTAGGATACTTTGTCATTGTCAACAAAACAAATTTAAATTTGGTGTTGAAGCATGTTGGCAAGCAAACATGTTAGTTGTTGGGTCTGTAGTCTGTCTTGCAAAAATGAATCAAGAACCTTTAATTTTTTAGATTAATTGTTCTTTAAAATTCTTTTAGTTTTACTTACCACATACAGAAGCATAGACAGCATGCTTAGTCTTGCTATACGTATGCTCATATTCTTGTGTTCATTCACTGCAAAAACAATAGATTTAAGAGGAAATGTTTGAGGTAATGATCAGAAGTTTACGTATGTAGCATCACTAAAACATGCAGGCATTTTTGGGACCGCCTAAAACATGCAGGCATTTCTGGGACCGCCTAAAACATGCAGGCATTTTCGAGACTGCCTAAAACATGCAGGCATTTTCGAGACTGCCTAAAACATGCAGGCATTTTTGGGACCGCCTACATACACATTTTTTATGTTTACTTACATGAAAGTTGATCCACTAGCGGATCCAAGGTACCTCAAAATAAATTATAGCTCCTCAATTTTAAATTCAAATTACTTTCAGAAAAAAACTATTGGTTTTCAATTTCTAAAGAGTATAGTTTTGCCAATGAATTTGCCTCGAAGGTGTTTAGAATTGTAAATACATGCCAAAATGTGTTGCAGTAATTTATTTTGACGTACTCTAAGTCCGCCACTGAGTTGATCAATTTTTTGACAAATATAAGTTATCCTGTTTTCTAGGTGGAAAGAGAAATTGCTATTATGAAGCTGATTGAGCATCCACATGTTCTGCGACTTTATGATGTGTATGAAAACAACACGCATTTGTAAGTAAATGATACGCAATGATAACTATTCACACAAAAACATCAATTGTGCATGCTTGAAAATGAAATAAGAAATAGATTCATGTTTCCTTGTATGTAGAAGTCATTGATTATGTACGAATCACTTCTTTCTGCTTCTCCTTTATTCACAGCACGTTTCCCCTCGGATTTGACCGATCTTTGATATCCTAATATCATCCCTCACCCCATCCATCGGTGTCTTACATGACCATTATCTTCCCTGCCATTCCCCTTCCCTTGTAGAAAGGAAATGTGAATCCGTCGTCTTTCTGTCATACTTATTTATGAAAGAAAAACAATGAAACGCGTGCGGTGATTGGTTTAGAGCCGTGTTTACATTTCTTTTTCCTAAATTGCTAGCTGTTATTCTAATAGAAATACTATTTCTCAATAACCATGCATATATGCAGTTGCACAAATTGCTAGAAAGCACGCAAGGTGATTGGTTTAGAGCCGTGTTTGCATTTCTTTTTCCTAAATTGCTAGCTGTTATTCTAATAGAAATACTATTTCTCAATAACCATGCATATATGCAGTAGCACAAATTGCTAGAAAGCACGCAGACGTTTAGACCAATATCCGAGTCGCGAAGCTCTTATCAATCAACGAGCCAGATCAATAAAACATGCCCGTATTTTGACGAAGACCCGAGTCGTGGAGGTCTTATTAATTAAATACCCGGATCAATTAAGCATGCAGATATTAAGACGAACACCCGAGTCAAAGAGCCAGATCAATTAAAGAAACGTATTTAAATGAAATATAAATTTCGCGAATCACCAAAGTTTAGACCATATCAACCGTCATAATGAAAAAACTTTTGGAAAAATTTTCAGCAATGTCTTTCTCATAATTATAGGTTTCTTATTCTGGAATACGTCGGTGGCGGCGAGCTTTTTGACTATCTTGTAAAGAGAGGAAGACTTACCATCAACGAGGTGAGTTCTTCAATTCTGATTTGTTTTTCCTATTTTTCAACGTGTTTTTATGCAAAAATGAGTTAGAACGAGCAAATTTTAATCTCGATTTATGAACGTATACTTTTAGGGGGTGTTTACATGAATCCGGAATGACTTTCAATCCCGATTGAAACGTGATGTCAATCCGTGTTTACATGGGAAATCAACACAAGGATTGACATTTCGCGGGAATTTTGAAATATGAAGATGGCGAACATAAACATTATAGCAACCCTTTTTTTCTGTTGCTCCTGCGTTAATACAGCTTAACACTTGCATGAAACTAATTGTTTTTCTTCGCACTCATTTTGGCCCATTTAGCCGCTTTATTTGCTTACGAGCTTCAATTTCCCAAAAGACACTACGCACGGCGCATGCGTGCTTCGTCATTAATCTCATTCCAGAATGAAACTCAATTCACGTTTACATGAGGTTAAAACCAAATTTCGATCCGGAATGAAAATAGGAATGAACTCGATCCGGATCGAGTTGTGACTCCTTCCGGGTCATGTAAACATGCAGTAGGATTTCTTTTAAAGTGGAATGAGTTCATTCCGGATCGAAAGTTATCCCGGATTCATGTAAACACCCCCTTACTTGAAAGCTGAAGAGTATACCATGTAGTTTGAATAAAAAAAGCCAGCATCCCAACTATAAAGTGATTGACATACTAAAAAGGAAGAAGGACATACTTGTTTGATAGGACAACGTATTATTTCGAAAGGTTAAGAACTGCAGTAATTGTAAAGGTTGAATGTTTTGAAGGAAGAAGGGTAGAAAATAATTATACCCAACGACTTTAGTAGAAATGATTCTTCGATCCTTTTAAAATCTATGTGTTAGTGCTTAAAACAATGCTATAGCAGTGATGTGCTCGTAGGTATAACGTTATATAATGTTATCACTTCACCATTGTCGGTGACCCTAAGCTACGTAGCTTTGAAGGTTAGCTTGTTTCCATATAATCAGAACTCTGAAACTGAAGTGTAAGAGTTCTACACTTGCGAATCGAATTCGTATCAAAATTAGTTGTTAGGATATTTGGGGATTGAATCGATAGTAGTTTTGATGATCCATTGCTTTATGTATCACCTCATCACATTGATTTTGAGGGTACGTACATGAGGATTGAATTGATAGTAGTTTTGATGATCCATTACTTTATATGTTACCTCATCACATTGATTTTGAGGGTACGTACATGAGGATTGAATTGATAGTAGTTTTGATGATCCATTGCTTTTTATATTACCCCATCACATTGATTTTGAGGGTACGTACATGAGGATTGAATCGATGGTAGTTTTGATGATCCATTGCTTTTTATATTACCTCATCACATTGATTTTGAGGGTACGTACATGAGGATTGAATTGATAGTAGTTTTGATGGTCCATTGCTTTTTACATTACCTCATCACATTGATTTTGAGGGTACGTACATGAGGATTGAATTGATAGTAGTTTTGATGATCCATTGCTTTTTATATTACCTTATCACATTGATTTTGAGGGTACGTACATGAGGATTGAATTGATAGTAGTTTTGATGATCCATTGCTTTTTATATTACCTCATCACATTGATTTTGAGGGTACATACATGAGGATTGAATTGATAGTAGTTTTGATGATTTTTACTCACTGTTTCAAGAAAGTTATTTGGTGTTTTCCGTAATCAGGGCATAGCAAGCATGCAAATTTGTTCGTGCTATGTAAATTTTCATCATTATCTTTATTCATCTCTTTAGAAATCTATTGTTTTTACTGTGAGTGAACACCAAAATATTTTTATAGCATGAACAAACTTGCGGGCTGGCTACGTCACTCTCCGTAATGTCTTTTTTACACGAAAATACATTCGTTCAAAACTACCCTCATAAATCGAAACTTTCACCTTACAAAATGCAACTGACCTCTTTAGCCCACTGGATTTATTGCTTGTCGTGTTAAGATCAGTGCGTTGCAGCCTCACGCGCATATTTTTAATATTGCCTCCTGGGTGAAAAAATTTTGCTCCGCTAGACGTATTAGTGTTCTGGAACTAGAGTGACAATATACCCTGAACACTCTACCTTTTTCTGAATTTTGCAACTGTGTAGAGCAGGTAGGACAGTCTTGGCTCGTCAGACCAAGTCTACGTACGTGGTGAAAAAATGCATTTATGTGGCCTCATAAGTAGGCTGTGACAACATAAAAACAATTTTATAAATTGGGAATTTATATCGATCTGATGAAGTTTTGTACTGGAGTAAAATTACAAAAATTCTTATTTCTTATTCATTGACGTGAAATACGTATGTTAATGTCTAAACACAACTTGTTTTTCGACAGGCAAAGAGGTTTTTCAGCCAAATCATCTCAGCCGTGGACTTCTGTCATAAGCATTGTGTTTGGTAGGTTTAAATTTGCAACATTAGACGGTTTTGCAACTTTCCTTCCTTCTCAGAATTTAAAAAATTGAACTACAATTGATACGAGAATGACGTATCTTAAGCTTATAGCACTATATAACTACATAGCGTGCTTCCACTTACATCCTGACAGCCTTTTTGCACATCTTTTATTTGACACATCTTATTGAAACTACATAGCGTGCTTCCACTTACATCCTGACAGCCTTTTTGCACATCATTTATTTGACTTATCTTATTGAAACTACATAGCGTGCTTCCACTTACATCCTGACGGCCTTTTTGCACATCTTTTATTTGACATATCTTATTGAAACTACATAGCGTGCTTCCACTTACATCCTGACAGCCTTTTTGCACATCATTTATTTGACATATCTTATTGAAACTACATAGCGTGCTTCCACTTACATCCTGACAGCCTTTTTGCACATCTTTTAGTCATCGTGACCTGAAACCCGAAAATTTGTTGCTTGACGAGAAAAACAACATAAAAGTTGCCGACTTTGGAATGGCTTCTTTACAGGTTGGTAAAGATTGTGAAACTTACTTTAAAACTACGAAATACGTAAGGCTTTCATGTGGATGTGTAGCTATGTGAACGTTTTTACATGAAGTAATGAGTAATCGAAGTTAATATTTCTACAGGTTGATGATAATTCCATGTTAGAGACGAGCTGTGGGTAAGATAATGTGCTAGTCAGCAAATTTCATTTCATAAAACCAGCAGCAAAAGTTTTTGAAATTATCAATGGCCTTTATCGTACGAAAAATGATGAAAAATGACGAAATTGAAACATTCATAATCGTCAAATTCTTCTTCATGTGGAGACAAAAAATGTCATCATATTGAAACATTCATAATCATCAAATTCTTGTTCATGTTGAGACAAAAAATGTCATCATATTGAAACATTCATAATCATCAAATTCTTCTTCATGTTGAGATAAAAAATGTCGTCATATTGAAACATTCATAATCATCAAATTCTTGTTCATGTTGAGACAAAAAATGTCATCATATTGAAACATTCATAATCATCAAATTCTTCATGTTGAGATAAAAAATGTCGTCATATTGAAACATTCATAATCATCAAATTCTTCTTCATGTGGAGACAAAAAATGTCGTCATATTGAAACATTCATAATCATCAAATTCTTCTTCATGTTGAGACAAAAAATGTCGTCATATTGAAACATTCATAATCATCAAATTCTTCTTCATGTTGAGACAAAAAATGTCATCATATTTTCACCCATGAAAATAATATATATATTTTATAGATCGCCACATTATGCCTGTCCAGAAGTTGTTAAGGTAATTTCTTAACTCGTATCGCATGTGTCTGTTTTAAAATGACTTTAGGACAGCGTTTGTTTTGTTGAAAGTATCACGTAGAGTCTTGAAAGTACCCGGGCTACTTTCAAAATTACGTAATGGCCTCAAGGTCTGGCTACTTTCAGGGGGGAAGATGCTTATTTGCGAGTTGTTGTTTTCAGTATTGATTAAATACAATGGTCAGCTCTTAATCCACGCTTTCTAAAGTAAATTTTTCAATTTTGTGTAAGGTTGTGTAAGATGTGATAATTTACACAAATGTAGCTACCTGAACGTTTTACTTTGTATAATGAAGTATAATATTTTGAAGCTCTTAGAAGAGCCGTTAGAGAGCGGTTACTTTAGAGAGGGTGGTTACTTTTGAGGGAGCGGTTACTTTTGAGGGGCTACTTTTAAGGGAGCGGTAACTTTTGAGGGAGCAGTTACTTTTGAGGGAGCGGCTGCTTTTGAGGGAGCGGTTACTTTTGAGGGAGCGGTTAATTTTGAGGGAGCGGTTACTTTTGAGTGAGCGGTTACTTTGAGGGCGGTTACTTTTGAGGGCGGTTACTTTTGAGGAGCGGTTACTTTTGAGGGAGCGGTTACTTTTGAGGGAGCGGTCACTTTCGATTCTTTAGTAAATGTTAAAATAGGCAGCTTCTTTCAAGGGGAGATTGCTTTCATGGGCACGGGGGGGGGGACTTTTGAGACTATGGTGTTACTTTTGTTTAGTGTACTTGCGTCGGGTGTATTTTTGTATCAGTATGTATTGTAATTATTACTGTAATGAAACGGCGATTCATTGGCTGAAATATTACTAAGATAATATTAAGTAAACGGTTTGAACCCGTGAGTATCGTTACATGTTTGTGGATGTAGATCGCTCAGTTTAGTAGAGTCCTGAGAAGGTCTGTTGTTGTTGATGTTGACTGACGTTTCGACAACCTTAGCGGTAGTCATCTTCAGAGTCAAAGTTAGATGACTACCGCTAAGGTTGTCGAAACGTCCGTCAACACCAACAAAACAGTCCTTCTCAGGACACTACTAACCTGGATGATCTACATCCACAAACATGTAACATAATATTCGAAGAAAAACGCGAATTTCATTTTAAAATGAAATATTGTTTCAATTGTATATAGGGTATAAAGTACGATGGACGGAAGGCGGACATTTGGAGCTGTGGTGTTATACTTTATGCATTGGTTGTTGTAAGTAGATGATTAAAACTCACTCGAGTTGAATGTATGACATACATGAAGATATATAGTCAGTGGTGTAGGTACATGCTAGCCCAGAGGTTTACGTATGAGAAACCTGATCATCATTGCCATCTTTAATAATAAACTTATGTAGCTATTATAGATTACTTATTGTTCGTACTTGTGTAACCCTATTTTTGTTAGTGGCCTCATTTCTACATCACTTTCAACTGTTTTCAATTACTTTTTCATTTTAATAGAAATAGCATCAATTAAACGCGTTTATAATGCAGACTTGGTTAATTGGTTATCAAGTTAACAAATTTTTTATTTATCTAATGAGAAATTAACAAATTTGTCCGAAATCTGTCTGATTGCTTTTCTTAACTTTGCTTCAGGGAGTCCTACCATTTGATGACGACAACTTACGACAACTTTTGGAGAAGGTTTGTTGTTTTCTATAGCTATTTATTGATGTCAACTGCGTTCTATGATCATGTGTATAGCAAAAATACTTTTACCTGTTGAAAAATTAGAACCATGCACGACTCGAATTAAATTAGAACACTATACATATCAAGCATTGGAACACTGTATGGAACATTAGAACACTGTACGTGTCGAACATTAGAAAACTGTATAGAACATTAGAACACTGTATCGAACATTAGAACACTGTATCGAACATTAGAACGTTGCATGGAACATTAGAACGCTACATGGAACATTATAACGCAACATGGAACATTATAGAACGCGATATCGAACATTAGAATACTGTATAGAACATTAGAACGCTACATGTAACATTATAACGATGCATGGAACATAACGCAACATGGAACATTATAGAACGCGATATCGAACATTAGAATACTGTATAGAACATTAGAACACTTTATCGAACATTAGAACGCTACATGGAACATTATAACGATGCATGGAATGGAACATTATAACGCAACATGGAACATTATAGAACGCGATATCGAACAATAGTATACTGTATCGAACATTAGAAAACTGTATAGAACATTAGAACAATGTATCGAACATTAGAACACTGTATCGAACATTATAACGCTGCATGGAACATTATAACACAACATGGAACATTATAGAACGCGATATCGAACATTAGAATACTGTATAGGACATTAGAACACTGTATTGAACATTAGAACGCTGCATGGAACATTAGAACGCTACATGGAACATTAGAACGCAACATGGAACATTAGAACGCAACATGGAATATTATAGAACGCGATATCGAACATTAGAATACTGTATCGACCATTAGAACGCTGCATCAAACAAATGGTCGCTGTTTTAAAAAATACATTTTGATGAGTATTTGTTGCCATACAAAACAAAATCATGTGTAACAGAAAGAGTAATTTTGTTTAGTGAAAAAATATGAAGTTTTATAGCTAATTCTTACGTATACTGCAATAAAAAAACAGTGGGCATTTAACATCAAAATAATGAAAGAAACCTTACATTTTTCATTTTACAATTACTACACTTGGACTGTTGTATTTTGACGTAACTCAATGTCTACGACCTAAAGCAGATTGTGCTTTACCATTATATATGTGTATGTATACCGTCTTTTATCCACTAATGGTTTTATGATTAATGATTATTACTACATTTGGACTGTTGTATTTTGACGTAACTCTATGTCTAAGACCTAAAGCAGATTGTGCTTTACCTTAATAGATGCATACCGTCTTTTATTCACTAACGGTTTTATGATAAATGATTTTGTTTTTGTCAAGGTGAAGACGGGGGCATTTAGCGTTCCAAATAATGTGCCGAACGATTGCCAGGATCTAATAAAAGAAATGATCAAAGTTGATCCGGAGAAAAGATTTACGGTTAGTTTGCAATGTAGTTTAGCTGATCAATTCCATGCAGCTTCCTGTGACCGAATGACCCAAATCTCTTTTTATACGATGTTTTTGTATGCACTAAAGCCTGGTTCACTTTTGGTTTAACGTGACAAACGCGACAGCGATTAACTTTAATCGCGATAATCCCATATGAGAACGTGGTTAAGCCTGGTTTCCACTTTTGGTTTAACGTGACAAACGCGACGGTGATTAACTTTAATCGCGATAATCCCATATGAGAACGTGGTTAAGCCTGGTTTCCACTTTTGGTTTAACGTGACAAACGCGACGGTGATTAACTTTAATCGCGATAATCCCATATGAGAACGTGGTTAAGCCTGGTTTCCACTTTTGGCTTAACGTGACAAACGCGACGGTGATTAACTTTAATCGCGATAATCCCATATGAGAACGTGGTAATAATCGCAATAAACGGCGACTAAAAATCGCGAATAAACATCAAAAATTTTTGATATTTGTATAGTTTTTCTTATATGCTTGCGTCATTGCATTTTGGGCGAACCACTTGTTTTGAATTGCGAAATAATCGAAAAATGTAATGAGTCTTTTTATCTTGATATAGATAAAGCAGATTCTGAACCATAGTTTCCTGAAAAGGTACACACCAGTAAATGTTTTCTTTTTCTTGTGTTTGTTGATGCACAAAGCAATGCTGACTTTCTAGTTCAAATTTTATACGTACTACGGACCTTAATTGTTGGTATGAAATCATTAGATGTATGGTAGGACTTGTTTGAATTACAGGGTAAGATCTATGGTGTTGATGCATTGTCTAAATTTTCGTATTCGGCTGTTTAAATCTCAAATTTGCAGAATGTGAATCTAATCCAGTTGAACTAATCTCGGATTCCAATTCCTAACACATCCAGATAACAGAATAAAATCATGCTAAAGTTTATTTAGAGTAATTTTTGTGTTAGAGCGATACGCTATTGATTCGTCTTTTTTCAGTGCAAGGTAATCGCCCCTGAATATTTTTATCGGATTCTTTTGTACGTATGTTATTATTTTATGATTCAAGTATGTTAATGTTTCCTTCTCAGATTATAAATTCAAGTTCTAGGATTATAATCAAAAAGCTAAATTCTTAATTAGTTTTGATATTATTGTATAAAAAATCCAAATCTCGATCTCGAATCTCGGTGGGACTAGCCTTTTTTGATGATAGGGAAAGCTCTATATTGGTCTTGAATTGAAATTATGACTATAATGTTGCACTGGAGATCTTATTTTACTCGAACAGTTTAATGATGTTTACATTTTTTCACTTTAAATCTGTACGAAAACTCTTTTACCCAGTTATATTTATTGATCTTAAAGTTGCTGTATTTAATATTTCATTTCATGATGATTGTGTGCACGTAGTTTCATTTGTTGAACATAAATTTCTTCTATTTTGTATTTCACGAGTTGTCTTAGAAAGGTACGTGTATTATGGTGCGTTAAATGTCTTTTTTTTTAGTTTAGACATTCACGAACAACGACCTGTACAAAAAGTGGTCAAAACGGAGAAAATATATGGAAAGGATAACATTGACCCCGATGTACTTTCTTCTATGAATAGTTTGGGATGTTTTAAAGATAAAGAAGCCCTCGAGGAAGAGTTAATGAAAGATGAGTGAGTAAAAGTTTGATATGCTCAGTTGTTAACTACTTCCAGTATTGTTTAGTCGGAAAAATATATATATACGCATTAGATACCTTTGTAGTAAAGATATATGTATGAGCAATATTGTTTTATACAGTTCTAAAATCACCCTATAGCTTTTTTCATGGTAGTAAAAGATACATTTGAACAGTATTGTTATTACAGTTCTATAGAACCACTTGGGCTTCCATTAGTTATAGAAGTTAGATGTAAACAATATTGATATGTGCAGTTCTATTTAAACTACCTTAAAGCTTTTTTCATGTTAGTAAAAGATGCATGTAAGCAGTATTGTTATTACAGTTCTATAAAACCGCTTGGGCTTCCATTGGTTATAGAAGTTAGATGTAAGCAATATTGCTATTTACAGTTCTATTTAAACTACCTTAAAGCTTTTTTCATGGTAGTAAAAGATGCATGTAAGCAGTATTGTTATTACAATTCTAAGACCACTTGGGCTTCCATTAGTTATAGAAGGTATATGTAAGCAATATTGCTATTTACAGTTCTATTTAAACTACCCTATAGCTTCGTTTTTGGTAGTACAAAGTATATGTGAGCAGTATTGTTATATACGTACAGTTACAAACGACCTTAGCTTTTATTGGTAGTACAACGCATGTGTAAATGCAAGCAATTTTATATGTATAGCTCTGTGGTTGAAGTCGACTGTTTATCGTTTTTCCAACGCTCGTACTCTGTTTAAATGGTATATTATACATAGTACATAATTATGGATTATATTCTGTTTGTTTCTTAGTGAAAATATGGAGAAAGTCATGTATTTTTTACTGCTTGAGCGTAAAGAGCGTCGACCGTCAAGTGCCGATATTGTTCCGAAGGCAGTACGACAGATGGCTGAACGAATTCACGTTTATGGTGAGTAAAATGCATGGTTGTTTTTAAGAGAATTTCAAACTTTCAGTTCTCTCAAGATTCATGTTTTGTGAACATTGAGATTTTCGTGATGAAAACCCAAATTTCAAGTGCTTTTGGTTTAAAAGACTGAATTAGATTTAGCACATAGGAACGATTTTCACTGTACACATTAGAACAAGAGGTCTAAATTTTTCTGAGGCTCACAAAATTGTAAGTACAAGAAGATTATAAATAGTGAATGAATGAAAGTAGGAACTTTCATGTGCAGATATTATTTCTTGAGTACGTAGTGATTACCTTCTGCATTTGAATTATATTTGTTGCATGAACTTTTTCAATTTTTTTCCCATTATTTGTGCGAGTAATGCGTTGCTCGTAAATTCAACTCAATTTTCAAGTCAGCTCTATCAGTCAGCTATATTATTTCTTGAGTACGTAGTGATTGCCTGCTGCATTTGAATTATATTCTTTGCATGAACTTTTTCAATGTTTTCCCTTTATTTGTGCGAGTAATGCGTTGCTCGTAAATTCAACTCAATTTTCAAGTCAGCTCTATCAGTCAGCTATATCATTTCTTGAGTACGTAGTGATTACCTTCTGTATTTGAATTATATTTGTTGCATAAACTTTTTCAATGTTTTCCAATTATTTGTGCGACTAATGCATTGCTCATAAATTCAATTCAATTTTAAAGTCAGCTCTATCAGTCAGCTATATCATTTCTTGAGTACGTAGTGATTACCTTCTGTATTTGAATTATATTTGTTGCATAAACTTTTTCAATGTTTTCCAATTATTTGTGCGACTAATGCATTGCTCATAAATTCAATTCAATTTTAAAGTCAGCTCTATCAGTCAGCTATATCATTTCTTGAGTACGTAGTGATTACCTACTGTATTTGAATTATATTTGTTGCATAAACTTTTTCAATGTTTTCCGTTTATTTGTGCGACTAATGCATTGCTGATAAATTCAACTCAATTTTCAAGTCAGCTCTATTTGAAACATAGATTAATTTGTCATTGTAAGTCTCTTCATGGTTAGCCATATGGCGTTGCTTCTCTATGTTTTCACCACCGATAAAAACACTGAATTTTCAAGTCAGCTTTACCTTGAGTATAGATGAAGTTGTATGTAGCTACCCGGAAGTCTCATTACGGCTAGTCACGTGATTCTTAGAAATGCAACGTCATTCAATATATTTCCAGTTTCACCTTTAAGCCTGTTCGTCAGGGACGGCGCTAGAACGTTAATTTCGGGGGCTGGGGGTGTATATTCATGTATTTAGTTGTGCTTTACTGATTCTTTAGAAAACCAAATCACTTTCAAAAGAAATCACTCGCCCACAACTGAATATATGAATATACACCCAATTAGCGTTCTAGCGCCGTCCCTGCTGTTCGTCACTTGCGACATACACGTAAGTATAATACAAATGTTTATGTTTATGTGACAATTGAGGACCAAGGCCGTGACTTGAACGTTATGAGGGGGGGGGGTGTGTGTTTATTCATATATTCAGTTATGCCCGACTGATTTCTTTTGAATATATGAATTACTACCACCATCCCACCCCTGCCTCCACTCCAGTTCATGTTCTATGTACGGTCCTTTTGAGAACCATCTTTAAGGTTGCGAAAATTCGATTGTGTGAAGGTAATTTCTAAATTCAATCACGTTAGTTTTCAATCTTTGCTTTGTTTATTGCTTTGAGACCATCTTGAGTCTTTTGTTCATAAAATTAGCGTGCGCGCTAACAGTGCTCTATACAAGACGTTTCATTCAATCCTCAGTTTCTAAATGATTTATACTTATTCAGTGACAACAAAGGGAAAATGCGCAAACGAACTTTTCACATTATAACTATTTGATCAACTTGTCAAAATCCTTTAAAACCACGCTAAATCCCTGCCTTGCCTTGCTCATGTGAACTTTTACAAACTGTTTTTATATGCAAATGATTTTTTCCAAATAAATGAATTCTCATATTGACTTTAATCTAGCGAATGTACGTGTTCAGAGTACTTCACACATGTCTAAATTTGTTTAACATTTTTATACCTTCTCTTGCAGATCCACCTCGTAAACGAGTAGACTCATGTGGCTCACCTCGTCTGAACCGTTCGCGCGAGAGGTTAGAATGTAAAGAGTCATTTTCGTCCTATATCTCTTTATGTAAGAACAATGAATAGATTTTCTTTATTGGAGTTTTCAATTAAGGCTGCTTCTCCACTACGCAAAGATTAAAAACCATTTTTAATCTTTGTCAAACGCTTTACGACTTGAAATTGTTAGGGTCTGATTATATGGAGACGAGCTGGCCCTGATAGTGAGCTAGCCCGATGATTTCTAGGGATTGAAAAGAGTCGAAACTTCAAGGTTTAAAATTGCAACTGTTTGCGAAGCACCACACGTCATTCTGGTTGTAATTCTCAAATTAGGGCAAATTGGTTGTTTCAATTTTAAATGTTTCAAAACAATTTCACTTTCAAAAGAAATCAGCCTGTCATAAAAGAATATATGAATATGCCCCCACACCATTAAGACAGGATCGAGGCCATTGCTGCAGAAATTAATTTTTGATCGGGTGAAATATAAAACGTTCTTTCCTGAATTGCCTCTTTATTCTGAAAAGGCACTTGTATATCTCAATGGTACGAAAAATTACATAGGCACGTGCCTCGTAATAATTTCAAGTCGTAAAGCGTTTGACAAAGATTAAAAATGGTTTTTAATCTATGTGTAGGGGAGAACCAACCTTAATTGAAAACGCCATTAAAGCAAATTATTTTTTGAAAATTCTACGAAGATTACATAAATTTGAAAGTTCAATTTATCATCATTAATAGTAATCTTAACATGCACTTTTAAATAGTAAATCGCTCATTGAAACAGAAAACATATCTGAAGAAATTGATCTTTTAAATGAACCGTAACTTAAATTTACTAACTAAATTTTAATTGTACTGTAAGTAAAGCCACTTTAAGGGGCCGATTACATGGAGCAATTTCAGCCCGGTTTGAGCTACCCGGGATTAAATTTCCGCCCGGTTTGAGCTACCAGGGATTAAATTTCCGCCCGGGCTGAAAATGCTCCATGTAATCGGCCCCTTAGTCTACTAAATGTAACAAAATGAAATCTAAATGTATTTTAAATATACCATAAGTGTACTAAATGTGCTAAATGCTTTTTAAGTGAAGGTACTTTAATTGTACAATATGTGCATTGAATGTATTCTAAATGTATGCAACTAAATATACTTCGATTCCTGCTCAGTTGGGTTCTATGATCATGTGTATAGCAAAAGCACTTTTGCCAGTTGAAAATTAGAACCATGCACGACTCGAATTACATTAGAACACTGTATCAAGCATTAGAACACTGTATGGAACATTAGAACACTGTACGTATCGAACATTAGAAAACTGTATAGAACATTAGAATGTTTAAAGCATAATTAGCCATCATTTAAAGCATTCTATCTAGCTAAAGGCCGATTTCCATACAGAGCAAATTGTCGCGCGAGCGACTTTTTCCGATCAGTTTCTTTTCAATTGTAAGCTCTCGACGGAAACAGTTTCACACTGCTGCACCCAATTCAAAGAAGTGATCGCAAAAGATCGATCGCGCGACAGTTCGCCCTGAATGGAAATCTGCCTTAAATAAAAGCAAATTTTCGCTTAAGTAGCTAACGTCACTCAATAACTAACTTTGTAATGATAAAAAGATAGAAGATATTTGAAGATAAAGTCGTGAGCAAGTGAGTAAACGACTAAAAAGTCAACTCTTTTCAGAAATTTTAGTTATTTCATAATTCATAAAAGCATATTTACACGATACCGTTTTTGTTCCAAAACGTCATGAAATTATGCCGCTTCGGTCTTGCGTTTACATGATACCGTTACATACATTGATCAAAACGGTATAATATGAAAACGTTGTTCTAACCGGCAAAGAGTGAAAACAGCACGGCAAGCTGCATCGTTTAAACATTTATACCGTTTTCATTTGCAAATGAATTTTCTTGAAGTTGGATGTCTTTTGCAGCCTTGTTTTTGAATGTTTTACTTATTCAACATGCAATTACAATGCATAAAACTAAACAAAAAGCTATTCTCGATATTTTGCTACAATACTCGGGCGCCCTTTTGTTTTTTAGAGCATGCCGTGGCTTACTCGTGTAAACGCGTTCGTTTTTTATGCCGTTTTCATTTTTAAACGTTTTGCAAACTCAACGGTATCGTCTAAACGCGTTCGTTTTTATGCCGTTTTCATTTTTAAACGTTTTGTAAACCTAACGGTATCGTGTAAACGCGTTCGTTTTTTATGCCGTTTTCATTTTTAACGTTTTGCAAACGTAACGGTATCGTGCAAACGCGTTCGTTTTTTATGCCGTTTTCATTTTTAAACGTTTTGCAAACGTAACGGTATCGTGTAAACGCGTTCGTTTTTTATGCCGTTTTCATTTTTAAACGTTTTGCAAACGTGTCGTGTAAACGTAGTCTTAATAAGGAAAGAAACTTATCATTGGAAAGTTTCCTTTAGGTATAAGCATGTACTCATGAAAATAATTTCATGTCAAGATCTACCTGAAGTTTCATTCTGGTAGAAGTCATGTAGTTTAAAACATGGCTTTTCAAGTTTACAAGTTTCTTCTCATTTTTTCTTGTTTGCCAAATGAAAACAGCGGTCGTTACGTCTTATATTTAGTTGTCTGAAAACTCCATTCGTACTTTATATGCAACAATTATTCCTTATTCAGTTGTTCTTCAACATTTTTTAAACATTTCATTTGATAGTAACGATAAGGAGTCATTTCTTGCTCGACCTCGTGCTGAAACTGATATTCGCTCTTTAGAAAGGTGACGTCTACTTTTTTTCAATGTGTTCTTAGATATATCATAGTTGTCATCACGCTATGTTTTCGCTAAATAATAGTTTGGTTTTAAGGTATGGTGTGAAAGCTTATCATTTATTCCGTGCTTTTGAATTTGAAAATACTTCAATCATCAAAGAATTTTTCTTTGAAGTAAAAAAGCAGGATGAAATAAATTATTACGTAATTAATCAGAAAGGCAGGATGAAATAAATTATTACGTAATTGATGAGAAAAGCAGGATGAAATAAATTATTACGTAATTGATCAGTTTAACTCGTTGAACTAAAATACATGGAACGCTACCTGAAGCAAATAATTGAAGCCAAATCTTACACCCAGACACCCCATATTACACCCAGACATGCGTGTGTAGTGTTTTGAGATTTTGAAAATTGATTGACTGCACGCGTGTCCTGGTGTAATCTCGCGTGTCTGGGTGTAAATTTGGCTTCAAGACTTTATTAGACTTTTCTATTACAGGTAGCGTTCCATGTATCTTAGTACAATGGTCCTACTATCTTTAGCTATAGGAGGATTTCATAATTCTGACACGCATAGTATGTCAGTTTAAAGTTTCACCTTATGTAAAAAATAGGAAAACTTATTGATACATTAATTGGAAAAAAATTTATCGCCAATATTTTATCTGTTGTTTTATAACAGCATCGCCTCGACTCGCAAATCAAATACACCCCTGAGAAGTAGAACCCCCCCTGGAAGTCCTTGGTGGTCGAGAATGCCTTGGACGAAAAAATCCAATGGACATGATGAGCAAGCAAGTTATCCTATCGAACCATGTAAGCTGTATGTTGCATAATGTTTTATTGCATCACACGCGAGGTGTTTTTAACGATGCTATATTAGAAAATTTAGTGTGATGATCTTGAATTGCTAAAACCAACTTAACTTGCGATTGCCTATTCATGTTGTGCTTGGGGTCATTGTTTTTGTTTTACCTAATCACCACCTTAAATTCATTTCATTTTTCTTTGTTATAAATTTTTGCAAAACTGTGATAAGTGACGAAATTTCACTTCAGTCGTTCATTATAGGTCACTCTGTTCTAGTGATCACCATTCCCGTGGGTAGGGGTTCTGATAAGTCTTTGTCATTAGTTTTTGGCGATAGCCTCGATTCTTCAAAGATTACTGTAGCTCTGTCACATTATGCAAGTCAATATGTTGACGATTTCTTTGCGACTCTTCCGAATTTTTAAAGAGAAAGCTTTGAATTTTGAATGAAAGCCATTTTGAACAGGGATTTTTATTGACTTTTTATGAATTTTGATATGGTTATAGATATTGCAGAAAGGCGTGTATAAGAGGAACTCGTTTACTATTTTGTAATTAAACTTAGTATAAAGTACAGCAACGAAATCTATAACAGTAAACTCTTTTCAAAGACTTAAAGATGAAAAATGGAAACCATAGTGTGAACACAACAAAAACGACATCATGTATTCATACAGTTTTAAATTGTGATATTATCACATAAGATTTTTGTAAGACGCGTATCATAAACCTTGTCCTATTTCCCTGCAATTATCCTATCGTGTTAGGCACTAGAATGTTTAGTTTCGGTGGGAGATTCCAGCTCCTTGCAAGATATCCGAGTTGATATAAGTTTCACGTGCAAGTTTTTAGTCCTATATTTGCGTTTTAACTGACTTCTTAGTACTTGTTTCAACTCTATTTTCAAACTCTCTTCTTCCATTAACTAGAAGCACAGTACAGTATGTACTGCAGATCAACGGTCGTTATTTAAATTGTAGAAACAACACGATCTAGGACAATGAATCATTTAAGAAATAAATGATGTTTACTATGTTTGCACGGGCTTATGCAAATCGAGGAGACCTTTGGGAGAAATCGAGAGCAGATCAGTGCAAGCCCAAGACTGAAGGTCGAGTGTTCCACCTGGTCGCGAGTTCTGGCAAACGTCTCCGAGGTTTTCATAAGCCAGTGCAATCACGAAAAGCATCTTTTATTTCCTTTATAAAATAACAATAATGCAAAACAGACAAATTTAAAGTAAACGTTTTAATATTCCCTCTAAAATGTATTCATGATCGATTTGCAAATTCTCTTTTGCTGATTGATTGTTATGATTGATTTGATTGGGTGAGCTCAGATGTGTTTTGCACAGGTTAATGCAAGCACACCTCTAGACCAATCAACGCACGCGTTTCATTGTGTTTATTTTATAATGGAAAATAGTGCACAATAAGTTATAAGTTGTGATGGCAATTCCATGCTATCATTACCGCATGGGTTTTATGGGAAATTTAATCAATTGTATAGAGCAATGTTGATTTGAAATACAAGTGATGTTGAGTTTATGTAATTAATGTTAATTTGAAACATCCCACTATATCAGTATGCAACCGCGTCTTTCATGTCGAGGCTATCGCTACAAGGATGTTACCATTAGTTACTGAAGCATATATGTATATAAGACTTAATGCAATCTTTGTACAATCTGTTTATATAGCGCTATCAGAGAAAGAATTTTCCTCAAACTTATCATTGGAAGTTTCTCCAAGGTAATGTGATGTCAATGCGCTTTATGCAAGTTGATTTTTAAGTGTTCTGTGTTCTATCGGGAAATGTTAACTTCTCCATAGAGAAAATGAGTGAGTTTTACATTTGTGTGTTGGAGGCACTAGAATATTTGCTACCTATCATGTTACGTATACAGTTTGTCGATCAAATGATAGGTAATTTTTTGTTGTCGCAAATACCAACGTATTTATACTGTAATGAGTTAATGGTTCTTTACTACCATGAACATAGCCACGTTAAAAAATCATGGTTTAGTAACCTTTTAGTACCCACACATTAGTTGATCTCTATAATTATGATAATTTAATCGTTTAGTTCAGTTAAGAAATCATGGTTTGCTCATCTCCCAATTCCTGGACATTCACATTCACCAAGTAAATATGAGGTATTTTCTATCGCAGATTATCTTGTGCTTCATTGTATTGCAATATTCTGAAAAGTCGATAGAATAATTTCAGAAAGCTTATGCATAAATCTTTCCATGATTTTCCATTACTTTCAGTCTATTATTGTTGTGATCAAAGAAAAGCCGATGTTAACAATCAAAGCCGATATCAGTCACGCTTTTTTGACTGTGAGTAAAGAGATGTAAAGTTTCCATCGTGACGATTACACTTTTTGCTTTACAAACACATTTGATTTGATATACATTCCACATATTACAATTCTTGCTTTAAAAGTACATTTGACTTGATGTAGATACCACATGTTACAATTTGTGCTTTACAAGTACATTTGACTAGATGTAGATACCACATATTACAATTAGTGCTTTGCAAGTACATTTGACTTGATGTAGATACCACATGTTACAATTTATGCTTTACAAGTACATTTGACTTGATGTAGATACCACATGTTACAATTTGTGCTTTACAAGTACATTTGACTAGATGTAGATACCACATGTTACAATTAGTGCTTTGCAAGTACATTTGACTAGATGTAGATACCACATATTACAATTTGTGCTTTACAAGTACATTTGACTAGATGTAGATACCACATATTACAATTTGTGCTTTACAAGTACATTTGACTTGATGTAGTTACCACATGTTACAATTTATGCTTTACAAGTACATTTGACTTGATGTAGATACCACATGTTACAATTTGTGCTTTACAAGTACATTTGACTAGATGTAGATACCACATGTTACAATTAGTGCTTTGCAAGTACATTTGACTTGTTGTAGATACCACATATTACAATTTGTGCTTTACAAGTACATTTGATTTGATGTAGTTACCACATGTTACAATTTTTGCTTTATAAGTACATTTGACTTGATGTAGATACCACATGTTACAATTTGTGCTTTATAAGTACATTTAACTTGATGTAGATACCACATGTTACAATTTATGCTTTACAAGTACATTTGACTTGATGTAGATACCACATATTACAATTTGTGCTTTACAAGTACATTTGACTTGATGTAGTTACCACATGTTACAATTTGTGCTTTATAAGTACATTTGACTTGATGTAAATACCACATATTACAATTTGTGCTTTACAAGTACATTTGATTTGATGTAGATACCACATATTACAATTTGTGCTTTATAAGTACATTTGACTTGATGTAAATACCACATATTACAATTTGTGCTTTATAAGTACATTTGATTTGATGTAGTTACCACATATTACAATTTGTGTTTACAAATGCATTTGATTTGATATATAGATACCACATATTACGCACAACGTCACCTCATCAACAAATTTCACTGCTGAATACCGTAAACATAAAGGTATGTTACTTTAGGTTACAAATAAAATATTTCAGTTTCACAAAACTGTACTTTAGTGCATGAGAACTCTCGAGCAGGTCAACGCTCCACCTTCGGTCTCGAGCTTGCACTGATCTGCTCTGGAGTTCTCTCAAATTTTCCTCGGTTTTCATAAACCTGGGCCAACAAAGTGAACATCTTTTATTTCTTAAATGGTGCACAAATAATACGTGAAAAGTCTTCACGGGCTTGTAAAAAATTTCTAATGTTTTTATTATTTAGGTAATCCAATATTTCGTAAATATGTAAGAATGGAAGTGACAATAGAAGAGTTAAAAGAGTTTGAAGGCTGCAGTGATGATGAGCTTGCTTTTTCAGTTATTATCAAATTCATATCAGGTGAATATAGCTGTGACTGGCTGGGCTGTAATTGCATGGGAAGGGGGAGGGGGAGGGGAGAGAGGGTGGATTGAACACGCGAAATGGACTACTTTTTGGAAATTATCTGTAGTCTCCTTTTTGTTCTATTTTGTAAGAGAATGTAGTAAGTTTTCAATGTTTGCTGTTTTCCCCCACTCTTCATACATCTTAAGACCTACTTTGTTCCATAAACGATGCTTTTCCACCAAATCCCAAAGTACTCCGTCTACATATATATGATCAGGGATTATTATAGGTTTGAAAGAACAACACGTTATAGAAATGAAAAATTTATAGAGCATTTAAATAGTGCTCATTGATATTGTCTAATTGACCCAATCAGAAAACCCATTCATTTTAGGTTTACACTTATTTCTCTCATCCCTCCCCACCCACCGCTTGTTAAGCTGTCCCTCGTTCACTTCCAGAACATATTGCTCGATGAAGTTGAGTTTGGAAACTTTTAATCTAAAAATCTCATGTACGGCCTTCGCATTATGTACTGTTAGGATCTTCAAAAAAGTTCAAAAAGATCTGTGACAAACTACAGTTTATCCTCCAGTCAAATGATCGATCGCCTCGTAAGAACGGTGAGTCAATGGATGACTCTGGTATGTGGAACGAAAGTTCGAAAAATGGAAAAAAATGTCGAGGATATGTGGTATCAGACACTGAAAGTGATTGCGAGAATTCCAGTTCTCCTGATATTGAGTATTGTATGCAGAAAACGTAGTATGAAGTTTGGTGGGATAGCTTTATTGTGATGCTGGCATAAAGAAGTAAAAATATTATGAACAGTATGATTCACCCGAAAGGCTTTGTGTTCTGATAGAATTATTCGATTATGCAAAAGATCACCGTTCCTGCATTCGTTCCACTGATTTATCCTTTTAAAAATTTTGTAAGTTGTCAACCCACCTTCTTGCCAAATACTTGTCCAAACAGAGATCAAAACTGGTACTTCTTCATTTCAGTAGTTGATTGAAAACTTTCATTTGTTGGTATCATGATAAAAGCAGTTATACAACCTGAGTGATTTTCTTCTGGTTTATCGCTCCAGTATATTATGATATCAGTGTATATCCAAAGATCAAAGTGTTTGTTTGTATAAACTAAAAGGTTACCAAACGTCTAATGTCTTTGTATGTAAATTAAACGTTTACTAAACGTCTTCATATCTAAACTAAAAGTTTACTAAGCGTCTAAATTCTTCCTATAAATAAGAGTTTAAGAAATGTTAAAAGTTTCTCCCAAAACAAAAATTAAATACTTTTTGTTGTCGTAAACGAAAAGCTCGTCAAGTTTTTCAAAGCACATCAAACGAACTTTTTGCACTGTTAAAAATTGAAAGTCGATTCCAGGAGACTTACGTAGTGTTTTAAATGAAGTGTCGGGGACTGGATCGAGTTGTTCATAGTTAGCTTATTCATTTCTTGTTTTAAAGCAATTCTTGCAAACAACATACAAATTGCACTAAAATTCTTAATGATTTATGGTGTCAGTCTTTTCATTTTATTCACGAAGTAAGTTTAGGAGCTATTTGTCCCAAGCGATTAAATTTCTGATTTTGGTTCGCTTTTAATTTAATGAAATCACTGCGAAGATTAGAAAATGTATGTCGACAACTTATTTACCTTTATCTTTGCAATTTAATCCTGGTATAATTTCGATTTATTTTTTTTGTTCCTCGCATTTCGAGCCGTAGTGAAGTTGTTCAAGAAGAACAACTATTCTGTTAACTAAAAACAATTTCAGAAAATTAACTTAAATACTATTAACATTTTTTATTATATATGTACTTCATTGTCAGACATACAAAGTGATCCGTCGCGTTCATGTTAATTGACATTATTAATGATGAAAATATCTCCAAATTCTTATTTAAATGTATGTGTTTTTATGTTATAGTCATGTAAATAACCATTTACTTAATTGTTACTTCATTTGCTGGTTATGTGAAGCGTAGTCTCCCACTTTTACTAGTTAGTTTTATGTCATACTAAAACTGTAGATACAATAAACTTTATGCACCTCTTTTGGCGGTTTAATAATGATGACTACTCAACTTCATGCCTTATGCATGATTGGCCCACTAAATGTAAAAAAAAACATTGATAAAAACAAGATTTCGTCCTTGTTATTCTTGGGAGTGCTGTTTAGTGTGTAGAAGACAAAAATAATTAGCTACCAGTGCTGTAGAACTATATTTATCAGATGGGGGGCTTTCTTCAAGAATTATCCATTTCAAAGGTAGAAGCGGGGCTCCTCCCCCAAGAGCCCCCCCCCCTCACTTCTACAGCACTGTTAGCGGCTACCATTCAGTTTTAAATGCTTCGCCCGTTTAAAGTGACCGTGAAACGACAATTTTGCTGTTTTAATTATATTTTCATTGAACGGGACTATAGACTACGTAAGACTGTTAATGCACATTATTATGAAGATGCTGAAGTTTTTGTCATGTCCAAATAACACAATCACTGAATTGACGTCACTTTGCATAATGAAAAATATCTGCTTTGTTTGCTGAAATGTAAATTCAACGGAGCATGTACATATTGAGCCCTCGGGAATCGAAAGTTTTGGTGTTTGAATTACATTGCTTTCAATAGTTTCTAAATAACTTTGGACTCTCATAAACAGCCCGCCTCTTTTTATTCTCTTATAATGATTAGTTTTTAATGAAGCCAATATTTTTCATTTTGCTGCTGCCTCTTATTATGCAATATAACCTCAGGCATGGCTGTGTAAACATGACGTATACAAACCTTAACCCTAACGTCTCGATCGGTGGTTAGAGAAAACAAAAGAAGGGATTTTCTTTTCAATTTGCTTTTGTTCTACCTTATGCTTATGTCAAGTAGCTGTGCTTATATTTATGCTTATGCTTGTGTCAGTCGCTTCATTGCTTTCATTTGTATTTTCTTTTGTCTTTGTTTGTCCTTATGCTTATATCGCTAGTAAAAACCAGGCTTAAGAAAATTAGTAGCAAAGTATAGATAATGGAGGGGGGGGGTGGGGGGTGTCGAGTATTCATATATGAATGTTCTGCCGTATTAACTTCCTTTGAAATCAATTGTTTATTTGTTTTATGACAGCCATGAATAAATTTGTGTGCCATCCCCCAAACACGTCACTGTCAATTAATTAAGACATCATGCTGTGTCATAATGTCATCTATAATTTATGTCTTTTACTATCTCGTGTCGTTCAACCAAATGTTTTACACACATGTTTCTCACTGTGAATGGCATGTCGGTCGCTACATGAAAATCATCGAATTTAATACTCATGACTGGCCACGGTCAAGGGTCGTGTCGCAATGCTTTTTAATTTAAATCCAACCTTATGAACACGTTTTATCTGACGTAGCTTAAACACTGCCGTATTTTACAGTAATTTGAATTGTTAAATTTCGGTCGTTTTATGTTGAAATTATAATAATGTATATGTTTCATCTGTTGATGTTGTTTCTGACAATGACAAATGGTTTTGCTGCAAACCAAACAAGTGAACTTCATCGTCCTACGAGAAGTTTAACGTCAGGTAAACCGAGATTCATATGTATTTATCGTAAACACTTGACGTACATTTTGTAGTATTTGCGAGTATAATTAACAAAAATTTACCATTAAGAAAGCAATCGCTAAGTTATGATGTTTTCTGCCTCATTTGATAAATTTTGTAGACAAACATTTTACACGAACTGATAGACTGTTGTTGAGTTGTCAGTTTAAACATGATATTTGACGCTTGCTCTTAAAACAACATCAAATCACAATATCAACTACTCGTTTTGATAAGAAAGAGCAAGCTCAAGCTGTAAGTTGTGCAGTGACGAGAGAGCTAAAGTTTGAGCGAGAAAACTTTTTCTTGTTGAATAGAGTATAAAATATGTATAGTGAGACATCGTTTTGGGTAACTTTTGAAACAGGCAACAAAATCTGCTTCATCATGACAACATTAATCTTTTTTTAATCTCTCTTCTAGAAAATGAAATCGAGCCATTGGTAAGTAGCCTTTTAGGATTTACTTAAAGTACGTGTTTATAAGAACAATCAATTTGTAATTCCCTTTGCGTCTGAATACTGAATATAATTACGTTAATGTTTATGTCTTGTCAGTATCAATAAACATGACAGCTACAAAATGGAAAGGCGGCTGAACTTTATACATGCATGTTATAATCCTCAGCGAAACAATAAATTTCAAAATAACTTTTATGTATCATGAATATCGTGGCCAGATTATTTGAGATAAATTATATACATGAGGTTTTAAATACAAGCATATATTACAGGGTGTTAAATTACACTAACTTCCTACTTCCTTCACATATAATTTAACACCCTGTAATAAATGCTTGTATTTAAAACCTCGTGTATATAATTTATCTCAAATAATCTGAAGATGTCTTAAGTTAAAGACGAAACGATATCATGAATACATGAATATGAGCCCAGGGTCCCTTTCATCGATTTTCTTATGCCCATGAAGGGCAACAGCAATAAAATAACAATAGCAATAAGAATGACAATGGCAATATCGCTGTAAATATGGTCAAATCCTGCATGTGTGGCTTTCCTTAAATTATGTTCTAAAACGTCGTATGCAAGTACCACGGCTACGCTGCTAGTCACTCCGGTGAAATTCTAAACATTATTTGTCTCGCACGCCATGGGTCTCGAACATTCAACATGGATAACATAATGCAAGATTGAACATTAGCTGCTTGTGTATGCAGAGAGATTATATATAATGCTCTTAGAGGTGGCATTGATGACGAATTTAAGGAACGTTGGGGTTTGGGGGATTCAAGTAAACAATTATGCTTTTGTTGTCTGCTTTCGAGTTTTTGGATACATTTTTTTTTGTTTTTACAACCCATATATTCGGATGCTACAACCATTTTTAATCTCTTTTTCGGTCAGTGTTGATGACAATTGTATGTTTTTGAAGTCTCTTAGCAGTTAAATTAAAAGCGAAAAAACCTTTTTTCATCAAACAACACTGTCGATTTTAATTTACTGAATAAGTATAAAAGCACTACAAACATGTTTTGCAAAATATTAGCGGTTGAAATCATGTAAAATTACGATGAAAAGAAAAATTTTTTACATCTTTTTGCAAAAGCTATGTAGTCGTTAGCAAGTTGTTCGCTCTGTCGTCCAAATGATCGTAATAAAGTAAATGGTTTGAACCCGTGAGTATCGTTAAATGTTTTTAGATGCAGATCGTCCAGTTTAGTAGGGTCCTGAGAAGTACTGTTGTTGTTGTTGTTTATTGACGTTTCAACAGCCTTAGCGGTAGTCAAATTTTGATTTTGAAGATGACTACCGCTAAGGTTGTCGAAACGTCAGTCAACGCCATCAACAAAAACAGTCCTTCTCAGGACTATACCAACCTGGATGATCTACATCTAAAAACATGTAACGATACTCTCGGGCTCAAACTATTTACTTTATTATGACAAGAAAAACATAGTCCAACAAATTGATCGTGATAATATTTACCGTAGTATTTATGCACAATATAAAGAAGTCAAAAAATCACAATCATTCACTGTACTGACTGTAGCTTAACATCCGAAAATCGATTTTGCCAGAAACGACTACGCATGCGCTTTGCAACTTTTTAATTTGAATTTGCAAAATGGCAGATGTACCTCGAGGCGAATTTTCAGGCGAGGAAAAGATTTTCCTGTTGCTCATGTTATTGCCATCAACACGAAGACGTTTTGAAAAACTTGGACAAAATCATAGATTGCACCAAAATTACAATTCATGTAATACCTTTTTTGGACATAATTACATTTGAGGAAATGCTGACGAAACGATTTTGAATCATGATTCAAAAAAAAGATACAAAAATAAGTCATTTGCCAAGGAAGCAAACACTACTGTAGTCTAATGTAGTCTAAGCTCGGAAATTTTCCAAATTTGTAAAATGTCAAAGATAACAAAAAAATATAACCTACATAACTGCAGTTGAAGGTGATAAAACTCGATGTTTTATCCTTTTTCTCCTTTTCCATTTTACAGATATCAGTGAGGATTCACCTCGGCTTTTCAAAGCACAGTAGGGATCTTGATGAAGGCACAACCCAAACTATTGAAATTAAAAAAGCAGTAAATGGTTCAAATGCTTTTGCGTTCCTACAATTGGCTGCAAACCAGCATCCATGTTACCAATTTCAATATAAAACATACAATTTTGGTCGTTATATAACAAGCATTTGTTGTGTTGCTGAAAACGTTTCAACTAGTCATCACTGGATGATCTACATTAATGATAAATTATCACCAGTCGGTGCTGATTTACTAAAACCAAAAAATGGTGATTTGCTCCGTTTTGTATACGAACATGTATCTTATGGAAACGGCAGTTATAATACAGAGTCAAAGAAAAGACAAGGTAGAGTTTATTAATAGCTTAGTCTTTTTAGTAAATAAAATAATCTCAATAAAACGTATGCGGCGATTGCTCTATAGCCGTGTTTGCATAAGCATGTGCAAAACACATCTGAGCTCAACCAATCAAATCAATCATAACAATCAATCAGTCAAAGAGAATTTGAAAATCGATCATGAATACGTTTTCGAGGAAAAAGAAAAACTTTATTTCAAATTTGTCTGTTTCGCATTTTTGTTATTTTATAAAAGAAATGAAAGATCATTTTCGTGTCTGCACTGGCTTATGCAAACCTTGGAGATATTTGTGAGAACTCTCGAGTCTCGAGCAGGTGCAACCATCGACCTTCGTTCTCGGCCTTGCACTGATCTGCTCTCGAGTTCTCTCGAAGGTCTTCTTGGTTTTCATAAGCTTGTGCCAACTCAGTGAGCATCTTTCATTTCTTAATGAACGCGTAAGAAAGGATGAGTTCTTCTTTGTTCAATAACGTTGAAGCGAAAAAAAAACATTTTCCTGGCAAAAATAACGATCAATGTCTATTGTGTAGTTGGATAATTTTCAACCGAAATAAGATCGTGTGGAAGAATAATGAGACAATATGGAGTTTAGAAATTTTCACGGGAACTTGTTCCACGGCAATAGGTTGAGTTTATTCCAATACATGTTTAAGCCTTTGTTGGCCAGCCCAAGGGTCTGCTTTTGTCATAATTGGCAAAGGGGATGAATGCTAATATTTTTGTTGGATTTTATTATTCTGGATTTTATTGAATTTTCTTTGCTTTGACCGATATCTTGTTAACTGTGAACGTATGATCAAACCGCCTTTAACTAAAAAAGTAATAATTCATGAGCTACTCACGCCAAAAAATTAATTTCACCTTTTTTTTGAAATTTAATTTGTAAGTCAATAATTTCAGAAAGTTATCTCATTTCAACTTTATTTTCTGTTCTCTGCTTTACCTGCCAATTTTATCCCTAGGATTCAGAGACTCTGGACTGGCGAACCAGACGTTTAAAGTAAGTCTTTTTAATATTCAGATGACTTAAAGTGTTTATGCAGTGAAATTTTTATATACTTTTTTAAAGCCTTAATGATCAGTTGTTTGCAAGCAATTTATTATATTTGTATCTGTTTTACATTGAGTGGAAGTGGACTAATTTCAACTACAAAAGTTGTCCTCTTGTGCGAATTTCTTTGACCGCCATGTTTGCTCATTTGACGTCATAAGTAATACGGAAGTCGCCAAACTAATAGTAATTTCTATTGCCATGTTGAAAATGTGTACTACTTATGACGTCAATTTAGCAAACATGGCAGCCAAAAAAGTTCGCACAAAAAGAACCAAAAACCGCCACTTTTGTCAAAGTTTAACTCTGTTTCCATGAAAATGATGCTGGGAGCAAGTAATTTTGAATAAGCAAATAAAACAATGTATGAAAATTTCATTGCATAGGCACTAATACATGTTTTATGATCCAGAACAACATACGTGTTGTTCTGGATCATAAAACATGTATTTCGTCTTTGATAATACATGTTTTATGATCCAGAACAACACGTATGTTGTTCTGGATCATAAAACATGTATTATCAAAGACGAAAATGGAATTATTACCCTTCATTTGCGATTGAAATTATATATCATATGAATTCTAATGAAACGCTAATTAAAGATTCTCGTAATTGTCAAAAACAAAACACAAGAAATCCCATGAAAGCTCCCTCATAAATGTGTTTAAGCTTGATTTTGTTTTTTATTATATTTAGAATACGGCGTTAGTGGAGCTTATTTTCACTAGTCATCAATTTACGAATTCCGTTCCAGTTCAGCAAATAGATATTCATGTCAACACTACTGCATTTCATTTGTTAGAAGCAGCAGCAAAACGTCATCCATGTTATAACTTTAAATACAAAAAATATGATTTTGGTCGTCTCATAACAGCTATTTGTTGTTTGGAAAATAATAATGTAAAAGGATACTTCTGGTTTTTGTATATTAACGGTCAGCGTTCATCAGTTGGTGTTGATCGCTTGATACCAAAGAATGGTGACACAATAACCTTTAAATATGAAGAATATGAAGAATCGAAATCAAGTGATGATGAAACGACAAAATTAGCTCCAACTACGTATCAAATGAATCCACCAACTGCTACAGGCCAATCAGCGTTATTTTTTCGATTTACATTTTATTTAATGTTGTTGGTTGTCGCTATCTCATGTCTCTTTCATAATTTTGTTTACGCTTAAAAATGATTGGGCTCAAACTGATGATTCAATTTGATTCTAGAAGGGAAGATCATCCTCTTGTATTATTGGTGTAAATTAGTGGAAACAATTTTTTGATTATTCATTAGTTATATAAATTGTGACTTACTAGCTAACGAATTCTAAAGGCGTGCACTATAAACTATAACATCTACAATTATACCAAACCATTTGTTATGCTCTTTTCAAACACGGTAAATATCTTTTATTTCTAGAATTTCACACGTGACTGCAATATATTCTGTTGACTAAAATCAAGAACATCAAACTTTTTGCTTTATTTGCGCATGCGAAGATTTGTATGCATGGTTGCTTCATATTATGTGAATTGATCGTGTTTAAAAACAAAAGTTTACTTTTGACCGATCATAAAACATTTGTTTTGGTCTTTTTAAGGTTCAATACTAAATTGACTGGACACTTTTAAAAAAACCCCAAAAAACAAAAAAAATCAATTACATTCATGTATATGATAGACACAGACGAGTGAAAGCTAGTTTTTGAAATACCTTCAGTTATTTTTGTTTTTGACTAAGTAATGATAATCACGAGACTCTAGGTTGCGTAAACGATAAAAGATAGGATTTCCAGTCATCATTTTTGATTAAATGCTTCTACAGAAAGAACACCTGCATTTTAGGCTTAGATAAAGTAACCTTCATGTTCTACAATTGTTTAGTTTATACAGTGTAGAATTAATATTGTAGATTTTTGACAGGTTTTATTCTTCATCGCGTGTTAGGCATCATCTTAGGCAAGTTCTGCATGTTTTTTCAGCTGTTCAAACAGAAATGCACGCTCTATTAATGAAATTTGAGAACAATCAGAAGAAGTCTCAGACCTTCTCAAATGTGTGTGATTGTCTACGGAATCAAAATCTGTGACTTCGATTACCTACAAACAAAAGCAATGAGTTAAATAAAAATCAACGAAACACAAAAAATTCAACTTAAACTTCACTCTATATGTTCTTACTCCACTTATTGTGGGTCATTAAAAGGAAAATATGCTAATGGATTGGCATATGGAGTACGTATTCATATATTCTGTAACAGTCATATAGAGTAAAATTTAAATCAAGATTGGTCCTTATATTGGACTGACAAAGAAAAAACCAAGCTTTACAAAAGCTAATTTCATATTCTATGTTTAGGCACATGTATATATGCAAGATTACACAATTTGTCACTTATTTGTCTTACGAAATAAATTTTGCCAAGTCATAATTCTTTGCAGACATAAAAGGTTTAAAGGTCAATTATTTATATCCTATGATTTATACTATGATAAATTATAAATATCTTTTGTGGGATGTGACAGGTTGTTCTAAATAATAAATGGTGTTTCCACTCTACCTTCACGACTTTACACTAAATAAAAATATTGTTTTCACTCTCAATTGACAAATTTACAGTAAATAATAATATAAAATAATATTTGTGAATGATTGGTAGCAAACTGTTAAAGGCTGTCAACTGATTGTTGTTGATCATAGCCCACACTTGTTCAGCTCATGTGAGAGCCACATTAGTGTTGGTAAATATTTGTCCGGACAAAAACACATACGGTATTAAATAAGCAAGATTTATGAAGAAAGGCTGATATTTAAAAAATTATACATGAAAATACTTGTTTAAAATTGCAATAATATATTATTAATATTAATAGTTTGGTGCATCTTGCTGTAAAACTATGGCTTTATTCGGTGATTGGTTTAATCGTTGTCTTTTTGATGACATTTATTTGAACGACGTTCATTTTAAAATTATGGTTGCCATCAACATAGTATCATCTGTTTTTGGTTTTTGTGGTGCTGCAGTGCAACTTCGACATTTGTGGGAATATCGTCATGGAAAGCGACTAATTCCATCTGCTCATCCAAATATTATCTTTTACTTGGCTTTGTCTGACCTTTTGGCCTGTTTAGGTAAGTTACCGTACAAAGATTTGAAAATTATTTTTTGCTTTATTCTTAAGATGATGTTAAGATATGACTATTAGGATCACTTCATATGACTTCACCACCTATAACAAAAACAACTAAAACTTATGGCTACGCAGTATGAGCATTATGTACTATTACTTAAAATGCAAAACTCGAGCAAAGTAGTCAAAGAAATTGGGAAAGATTTTGTATGAAAACATGGAATTCTTCAATGAACAAAGTATTTTTCCCTAATTACATCACAAAAAGTTTTGTTTCATGTTTGTGCCAAGTCGTTTTGCAAATGGCAATCTTTCATTAATTTATATTCAAACGAGCGCTGTGAACGTTCTGCAATGTTTGCTCGATGAAGTTTTTCTTTGTTGTTGCCTTTCGGCGGCCATTTTAAACACTCGTACAAGGTTTTAAGCCAGGAAAATTTTTTTGTGAAATTGTAGGCATGTGAATGGAAAGGTAGAATGGTTAAGTTTATTTGCTACTGCACTTAGTAATCTCTCTGTAAATTAACATGAGACAATCTATAATCAAACCAGTCATTATATAATTATATGTTCTTCGTTCTGTCATCGAGATCGATTATTTAAGAAACCTTATTTGATAGAAGTGTCCATAACTTTAGCTAAACTAACTTTTTTAGCTAAACTAACTCTTTTAGCTAAACTAACTTTTTTAGCTAAACTAACTCTTTATTTTTTGGACTCAAATTTTGTACATATTTCATAGAAACTTAAAGAAGTTGTAAAACCATTGTTGTCGATTCACATTACTTCCATCAATGCGATGAAAACTTGTGATCCTTTCATTAAAGTGCCTATGAAACGAAAATTTTGCAAGTTAAATTATGTTTGATATGACAAGAACTTTTGAAATACAGCGTACTTTGTAAAACAGTTAATGCATATTTCTTTTTATTCTCGTCATTTTGACGTTTTTGTGATTTCCAAATTTTACAACTTGTGACGTCATATTGCATAATGAGATCCTACAATGTGTCAAACACTCTTAAGTTTCCTGACAATTTAAGGTTGATCCTAAATAGCCAGTATTTTATAGCATTAAGCACGTCACAATGAAGGGAACTTTGTCCTTGTGAAATCGGTAAATATACCTAATAATTTTAGTTCTCATTATGCAATGTACGTGACGTCACAAGTTAGATAAATCGGACAAACCAAGAACCTCAATATCTAAAGAATTAAAAGTAATATGCGTAAACTGGTTTAGAATGTCCATTGTCGTTTTAAAAATATTTCTTCAATAAATGTATTACTCCAGATAGAAAATTTTTCGTTTCATTTGCACTTTAAGAGAGGAATAAATATAGCTTCACAATTTTGAGTATTGTTTACGCAACGTTACCACAAACTAAACATTCTCCAGTAATTGTTATATTTCAATAATTAAATTTCATTCATATTTTCTCCATTGTAGGAAGAATAGGAATGAGGATTATGTTTTTTGCTATTGTGAAACCAATTCCAAATACTTTCATGTATGCAATGTACACAGCTTTTGAGGCAAGTTCATTTGAAGATGTTACTTTAGATTGTTTCAAAAATAGCAATTGCCATGTTGGATGGCCAAAATAACGTAATAATTCTAAATAAAAACTGTTTTACTTCTAAAACACAAACGAAATAGTTCTAAAATAAAGAAATAGTTTAAAAACAAAAAGACATAATGCATTTCGGCGGACTACTCTTCAGGTGTCAGCGTCTGCAAAATGTCGTACTGTGTTTGACAAGAATAACTGAGCGTCATCTCCCTATTGGGAGAGAGATAACGATTGAATCTTGAATAAATTAAACACCAGTTCCTTTTTTCGGCCCCTCGGGATTAGTTAACTAATTAATACAGATTCTATAACGCGTAACTAAAATAACACTCGACAATTTTTAATAACCCTAAAGTTATTGTCAGAATTGGAATCGGCACAGTAAGTGTTACTCAAAAGATGTTTTTTCAATTGCTGAGTCTTCTGGAATCAGTTTTTCATGCTTTGCTTTTTGGTGCAAAGGAGCAGTTTTATTCCAGATATGCAAGCTTGTACATCTGCTGCTATATCCTATCACTCAACCTTCGAGAAATTTTACCTACATATAGCAAGCATCACACTCATATTTAAGCTCAAAGACTGCATGCATTCCTCGACATTTGCCCAGGCAGACATTCTTTCGAGGAAGGTGGTAGAAGAGTATTTTTTCGAGAATAGAAAGATAACGTAGCAATCGAAAAACAAAATTTCGGTAATTTTTTTGGCTTCCTGAAATATTCCTGCTTTAAACGTTATCTCCCAATTTGGGGATAAAATTCATTTAATTTTTCTTGCCATTGTAAATATCCTTTTGATTTTAATTTCTCATTTAACTGATGTCACCTGATGAGTAGTCTGCCAAAATCCATCGTCTTTTTTAATTTTTAAAAGAATTCTTCGTATATATATAAATATTTCGCTGAACCATGGCAATTGCTATTTTTAAAACAAGCTTAAGATTTGTCCCCGCGACAAAGTCTACTTATAAAAGTCTAATCGTGAATATGCTAATGTTGCGTGTTTATAGTTTGTAGACACACTGCTACAGAAATTTTTACTCTTTTAGATCATTTATTTCTTATTCATTTTGGCAATCATCATGTAGACTTTGCACTACGCTGTTCATGCCAGAGAGATTATAAATAAAACTAGAGGTGCCATCGTAATATATAATCTATAGGCCAAAATATGGTACGCGTTTTTGGGGGGCAAAATCAATTCCCGGATGTTAAGCCACAGTGGAAGACTATAATGATTTTACTTTTTCGTATATATATTACGGATAAATAAATTCTACAGCAAATACTATCACAATCTAATTGCTGAACAATGCTTTCCTTTATATCGTGATTTTTAAATTTTAGATAGTTTAAGCCATTCGTAATTAGTAAAACATGTGTGTGTAGCTTTTATAGCTACTCATTCAGTAAATTATAAGTCCGTATATTGCTTAATAAAAAGATCTTTTTCGTCTTTAATTCAACTGCTAACAGACCTTAAAAACATATACTTGTAATCCATACCAGAAAAATGTGAAAAATGGTTAAATTATGTAAATATGTGGGTTGTAAAAACAGAAAAACAAAGAAAAACAACATAAGTTTTCATTGCTTATAGTTTAATTAAAACATACAAAGCATACGGAGATTATAAATAACATACAATCATAATAACAGCTCGCTAAAAACAATGACTAACGCTTTAAAATGACAAATTTTCTTGATGCTCGTATGAAAGAGCAAAATACTTATTACAGTATTTTAAAAAAGTATCAAAAACTTGAAGCAGAAGGCAAAAGCATCATTTTTTTACTTCGTGTTTTAATCCAGGACCTGAAATTGCCCCCCAAAAGCCCCAACTATCGCGTTCCCTAAATTTGTCATTAATACCACCTCTAGTTTTATTTATAATCTTTATGGTTAATGTATCATGCATTTTTTTTACCTTTAGAATAATTCTTCTTATTGAAAATAACTGGTTGGAACCATGTAATTTTTATTATAAAAACATACTGATATTTTGATGCCTACTTATACAGAAATTTTTACTGTTTTAGATCATTTTCTTCTTATTCATTTTGGCAAGCATTATGTGGACTTTACACTACGCTGTCGATATGTGTTTTCAGATGTATGAAATTGAGTGGTTAGTATGCTCTTTATAAGCTATGAGAAGATTTTTGTAAATATAAACAGAATCAATCATCATATATCCGCAAATTTAATGAACATAGTTATTTTTAAAAGTTTTGAGAATATAAAGATGCATACAGCCAGCTGTTGGCTAAGTGCAATGTTAATGAGAAACACGTAATTATATGTTATATATATATAAAAATTGTAATTTATCAATTTAACTCATTCAGTCTCGAGAAAAACTCCAGAAATTTTTACACTAAAACACACTAGCTAAGGTTCTCAGTCACATTAGTTCCAGTTCATTTACAATAAAAACAATCTTGCTAAAATTCTTACGATGAATGAATAAACGGATTGAATATATTAATAGCAGTTACAAGACGACTAGATTACTTATTCATCTAGTCCTGTTATCATGTAGTGTTCTATATTTTTACGCTCACTCAATACGAAAACAAAATCTTTTTAAGAAATAAAAATATTATATAATTTTGTATAACATGCAGGACAAAGATTTGATTGTTTTTGACGCTATTGCTGGTATAATATAAATCAAATCAACATCCATAGAATAAATGAAACAGATGGCATACAGAAATATTATATTTCTTAAAAACTAATTACAATACATTGTCAGACATATCTTCGATCTGAAATATATAAATGTAGATCATCCAGGTTGGTATAGTCCTGAGAAGGACTGTTTTTGTTTTTGTTGACTGACATTTCGAAAACCTTAGCGGTAGTCATCTTCAGAGTCAAAAGCGGTAGTCATCGTTTGACTCTGAAGATGACTACCGCTAAGGTTGTCGAAACGTCAGTCAACAACAACAAAAACAGTCCTTCTCAGGACTATACCAACCTGGACGATCTACATTTACAAACATGTAACGATACTACCGGGTTCAAACCATTCACTGAAATATATAAATTTTGCAAATCTTATTTTTCTTTATAGTCCTATCGTATCTTATCATATTGTGGCTTGGCTGACACCAATTGATATTTTGGCAGCTGTCTTAATACTAGGTTGGGGGCATTGGTCTAAGCCGTAAGTAAAATCATTTTTCAATAGTTGAAAAATCCTCAATTTTTTTGATTTATTTTAAGTTACAACTTACTCAATATGGAGTAATCCAATTCATAGGAGTAATATTGATAAATTTATTCATGCTTGAGGCTATTTAATAAAAATAAATATTTCCAAGCCATTATCTCTCGGCAAAAAAACGAGAAATTTCATAAATAGTATCAAGCTCGCTAATTTTTACAAGACAAGGCACTACATGTTTCTCACCAATTGGAATATTTCCATAACAGAAAACGTTCGTGTTTAGCTAAAGATGAAAATTTTATGATTTTAAATGACTTTTATAAACTACATCGTACATTCAGAAAGTAAAAGATTTTGCACACGTATCCACACGATCTTACTTGAATTGTTGTGACTAAAATGAACACAATAAATTTTTACTGCATGCAGTAAATTTGTAATAGATAAAGAACCTCTGCAAAGTAATTTATACTGAGAAAAATTGGATTCTCTTTTCATGCAAGCCGTTGTTCAGTTTTCCAATATTTTGACTATAGAGCTAACTGAAGAAATATTCGCAAATTTTCTACAGTTATTACTTGCATTGAAAATAGCATTTTTTTCTTAATTTATAAATGACATTTAGCTATGAAATGCATGCAAAAGCTACAGTACTTTTAATTTATATCTCAATTTTTTAGCTGCCTTGATGTTTATGATAAAAAACTTGTGTCAAGGATGCTGTTTAAATCACCTTTATTTATTATTTTTGTTGTTAATCCAGCTCTTTTTTTCTTCGCGTACAAAAAAGGTATATTCACTTTTTCCAATTTATTAATTTGTCTCTTTACATTAAAGGAAGTTAATGACGATGAGTAGACTATCGTAATTACATATTAACTGAAAGAATTTCACATTCTCATAAAAGAGAAAAATGAATTGAAATTATATGTGATTGTGGCATAAAAGATTTATTTTCAATATGTCAAATGTTACTTTCATGTGAGGAAATTAATCTATTTACTTGTTGATGGTAAAATCACAGCAATTCCATTCGAACGAGTGATGTATTTGTAAAGCAAAAAGGGGGGGATTGGTTTTATGCCAACACATATTAACGACCTTTTCAATTAAAGAAATTGAGAGATAGAATTTTCTATTCCTTTCGAATTTGTTTTAAAACGTTAATGCTATTTTTATCAATTTTCGCAGTACAACGTCGACTTAGATGTATTGGGATATTCTCATACTACGAAAGAGAAAACCTTAAGTTCATCCGTCGAAAATTCTTTTTAATTATGACATCATTCACTGTATGGTAATGTATAAATTTTATTTATTACAAGCAATGTATGTTTTGATTGATGAACTACCTGCCTATATTTTTCAATGTCTGTAATTATGACGTCATATTCATAGATGATTCCCGATATGTGTAGTATGACTTCATATTTACAAATAATAGTTTCTACAATCATTGACTCTATTAACAGACTGGCTTGAAAAACTCAAATAATGGCGAGGTTTGCAACAGTTTCTAAAAGCGATGTGCATGAGCTTCTGAAAACACTAAAAATTGGACGAAGCTGTCTTTGAACACGTTAACATTAACATATTTAACGCGGAAGAACTTGAATTAACGGTCTGATAAGGAAAAATTTGTTTTAAAAATGTTTCACATTGATATGTAATGGTTCAGTTAGTTGAGTTGAATGATAAAACAATTATTGAAATCTGCTTTCGCATGAGACTTATTCAGACCTAGCCGTTGCATGTCATACTCCTCAGCTTCGCTTCAGAAGATAACTTTTACCTCGATTGGTGTAAAAAACTTATTGACACAATGCTCAATTATATCCAATAGCTGATTGTTTATTAACAGACAAAACTATTCAAATCAGTGTTTTGTAAATCAAATATTTTCAAATTGCGAAATGAATTGATGAATGGTTCTTCTTTTGATTAAGAGCAACTCGTTTTTATGATTGGTCTTGATTTACATGTTTACCGTTTGCTGCATGGCATTGCTTTAAAGCTAAAATCACCGAACGCGATGGAGCTCGGTCAGCGATCAATCGGCGTTAAATTACCCATTTCAGCAAAAAAATTTAAATGCGATATTATATTTAGGAGTGATTTCATACATATCAGTAATCTAGTGTCGAATCGTTCCATATTTATGACTGTTTAAACTTGACAAAAATCCTCCTTTTATTGGACCTTTTCGGTCGTCCGAAAAGTTTGGAATTTTTGTGACGTCTGCAAGGGGTATCCTCAATACAAGATATGAATACGAGCTAACTTGGATGATGTAATAATTTGGCTTGATCCAGGTTTCATGCCACGACGCAATTTAACATAACAAAGAGATGATTTGACCAAATAAAAAAAATTTTCACCTATACGTCAGACATTACACTTAGTTTTGATAAATGGCAAATAAAAACTTTTCCTGATAGTTTCACTTTAAGTACAAAACTCAAATAGCGTCATCGCTGTTACTTAATGAAAAACTCCTATACATTTAACGTTTTTGAGTGCAGTACTTATGGCTCGATGTGCTAAATGAATCACACTGTAAGCTGACAAGGAAGCGAATTTACTCATAGTACTTTTAAAAAGAAGTTAATCTGCTGACATTTTTACATCTAACCTAAAAGGGAACTATATTTATTATGCACATATTGGTCACGATAGGCATAGCATATTGTATATTAATATTCACTGTGTAAACAGTGTCGGCTGTGATTGGTCAAATAATTCTCGTTATATGCTTTGCTATCAGCTTCGCTTTGGCAGATAACATTGACCTCGGTCTGAATAATTCTTGATATGATCCTCAACCTCATCCAATAATTGTTTAATATTGTATGTAACTACGTACAGACATACAGGCTTACGGGCTTATCTTAATAATTTTGGTTATACTATGCGCAAATACCACTTCATCAAAAATTAAAAAAAACGTGAATTGAAATTCATATGAACAAAAACGTTAGTTAAATTTATGATGTTCTTTGTTTTTCGACATGGCTTATAGAACACGTCGCACATTCAGCAAACTGTGAAAATTATCTTAATATTTTTTTTAATTGTCGCATAAACATAATTAATATTTATATTTATAAGATCCATTTATGATTGCTTTTAAAGGTTTTTTAAGTAGTGAGCTATAGCTACTTTGTGATGACATTTTTATGTAATTTCTTTTCAGCTGGATACCTAATGTTATCGTGATTTTTGTTTTTTGGATTAAAGTTAAAAAAGAATTTCTTCTGGTCCTTTTTTATATTGAAGTGAGTAATTGATGTATCGGTTAAAAAACCAGATATTTTTCTTACTATAAGTTAACACAAGAAAACAAGTCATCGAACAATTGAGCAATGGCGTAAAATTTTTTCATAAACAAAAAATTGCTCTAGTTGATGAGGTGATCTTTGAAAACAGATCTCTTCATTATTACAGAGATTTGTGCTGTATTATGGTGCTACAGTATTCCCAAAGTTTTTCGTATTTCGAGTTTTGGAAGGTTTTGTTGATGTTTTCACTCGGCAACGCTGAGAGAGAGAGGTTGATGAATAATTTTCAACCCATTCCATTTTCAAGACCCGGTAATTAAAACGATATTATTAAACTCCCTTTCAATAAGTCTTTAAACAACTATTTTAAAATTCTCTGTATCCCATTTTGTAGATTTAACTTTGCTACAAGACTGTATGGTTAAATGTCTAATGAAAGTATGGTTTGACATGAAAATTATATTTACACGACATAACCCAACTACGACAAATTGAAATATACTCTAAATGGTTAAATTATTTACTGGCGGCTTAACGTGACACTTCAAAACATTGCAGTTATTTTTAATGGTTAAGTTTTTTACGAGCGGTTTAAAGTGTCACTATAAAACATTGTGGTTAGTTGGAAACATTAAAATAAACCTGTCAACAACCTGTTCTAAATTAATCTTGCTAGCTTGTTTCTAATGAATGCTAATAATTGACGAATGCTTGAGTCTTGAATTACTTATCGTCGTTCTGAGATGATTCTTTTTCATATTTACCATGCTAAAAGATCTTTTGCCACCTAGCTGCTATGCTTACTGGAACATTAATGTCAACTTGACTTATCTTAAGAAGGTCAGAAAATGCCATTTCTTAAGTTTGCACACAGTTTTTGCTCTCAGAGAATTTAAGAAGCAGCAACCTCTAGAAAGCGTAATTTAAGTGTAACACACACACAAATGAATGCTTTGATGATATATTGGTACATTAAAGCATATGCATGGATAAGCATTGTTATTGTAAATCATAAGAAAACATTAGGTAAATGTCACTTGATCAAAAACATACATCAATCGATCATATTATCAAAGTTATTAATGTATTTTTTAAATGAAGATACGATCTTCGCACTTTGCTGGACAATTTAAGCAATTGTCTCATAAACCTGAAAAATTCAGGTGACTCAACGGGATGTTGAGTTGATTTAATTTCAAACACCCCACTGCATATAACATTCTTGGAAATGTATTTTTTGCCGTCAAGTTATATTGTCACTTATCTAAAGCAAACTTTCTTTCTTCAATAAACGCAACTATTCCATTAAAAGTTAACATGCTTAATATAATTTCTTAGGTATATCAAAGTCGCATAAAACTATAAGCTAATAAAACATCACATTAAATTAAAACATCTGAGGTTCAACGTGGGCTATCCCCCCCTGGAACAACTACTGATTATACCGCCCGACATTCACTCAAAATTTATAAAAGTACTGAAATTTTACTCAAAAAGTAAACATGCTGCTGAACAATTTTAAACTTGAGTAAAAAGTAAAAGTTTTGCTCAAACATTGTTTCTTTCAATAATTTTCATAAGCAGAAATTTTGAAATCACAGGCTACAATATCTCTTTCCTTTCTCAAGTAATCAAAGTTTTTGTTGTGCAATTTACACGTTTTGTGACGTCATTTTCCATAACGAGTCGCTTTTTGCAAAGTTCAAAACACCCTTTAGTTTCCAAGCAACTTTTGGTTGAAATGATTAGACATTTCTTATAGCATTAACTCTTGACAATGCGGTGAGCTGTGCTGAGATGAAGTGAAACATCAACAAATGCACCTAAAAATTCAATTTTTTTATTCAATTTGCGTATAAAAGTGGTATTATATAAACTTTAATAAAAGATAAAAACTGACAAGAATAAACAGTTTTAAAAAGTACGCTGCCAATTTAAACGTTTTGTTAATGAGAACATTATTTAAATAGCACAATTTTCTTTTTTTTAAGCAATAAGAATTTTTCAACTGATGAAATTTTTTCAATAATTTTCCTTTGTTTTGAATGATTTTTTATCATTATTCCTTACTTTTTAATAAATTCTTTCTTTCTAAAATTAAATTTAAATTGAATGGATGTTCTTTATTTTATTTTCAGTTCACCGTAAACCCTTTGCAAGGCTTTTTTAATTATTTTGTTTATCGTGACGCCTTCAAAGCTTCAAAGCCTGACAAAACACGTCAACCAAGATTATCACAACCAAACCCAAATGCAAGAGAAATTATTCACCAAATGATGGATAAAGAACCTTTAAATCCCAAGAAACACGAAAACAAAAACATAGAATATTACAAATCTTTTCAAAAATCGTACGTTTTATCAAAGAACACTGAGATGCCGCCATATAAATCAAGATTGCTAGGCGAGCGTTCAACAACAACATAAAACAAAACTTGATAAGACAGGGGAACCATTGATAAAAGTAGATGAATCATTATGCATAAAAGAGATAGGATATTTTATGGGTACAATTTACTAATACATTGCAAAAAGAGATTTCCAAAAGGCGACGGTTAATGTGGACGTAAATTGTATCAAATAACATTACTATTCATTAAGAAATGTATTATTATAGTTTTCTCAATTCGCTTTTTCTCAAAATTTGTTTTGTTGACATCGTTTTTATTGAAAGGCGAACGATTTTATCTCGATGCACGTTTATTTTGATTAAATCTTTTTTTTATTTTATGCCATGTTTGGTGACACCAATAGTTTTCTCTACAATTGCTTTCTGAAGTAGAAAATCAAGTTTATTGTCAGAAAAATGAATAAAATGGAAGTTTCGGGGCAGCTGAAATCTGTGAAGGCCCCCTTCTATGATTTTAAAGGCACTGGCAGTTCACTTTGACCAGAAACAAAATACAAATAAAAATTTCGGAAAACATCTGATACATGTATAAACTCAGAATGTGGAACGCGTAAAGTACTTTGATTGATGTGATAACTGAATGCCTTTTCATGCATGCAGGTAAAATATTTTCATGCAGGTAAAATGATTTGCTTCTGTCAAAATTAAAGTCTTTGCTCAGTTCTTCAAAGTCAATTTAGTTTTTCAAAATATCGTGCTCAATTCTCATCAAAGCAAGACGGCTGAATTTATCGCAATTCATTGTCGTACTTAGTCTGTTCTTTATACACTAAATATGACGTTAAGAATCAAAATGTTTTTTTTTGTTCTATACGGCAACAATGTTTTAAAATCACCTTTTATAATGTAAAGGTTCTTAGTTGTGGAGGACCTGCCCAGCTAATGAGCGTACTCGTAACGTTCTGTGATGGTTGTGGTTTGGTTAGGTTGGACCAAACGTTCACACAAAGTTCTTAGAACGTTTAGCGATTCTTTGAACGTTCCCTTAACGTTGTGAGAATGTCATCATTTTACGTTTTCTACAAACGTTAATGTAAGTTAAAAGAACGTTGTTCACAAACATTCAAAATGTGATGGATTTACATTCGTGAGAACTTTTTAATGTATCAATGTGCACCAATTAAGTTTATTTACCTTCGAAGATAATATTACCTGAGGAAATGTTTAGCGGAGTTAAGAAATAAATGGCTGATCATCAATTTTGTTAAAATTTTGTTATCGAAGACGAAGAACAAATTAATGTTTGAAAACCGGGTTTTTTCTTTTCTTTTTGCTTAAATACGTCAACTAAATCAGAAAAGCAGCACATCCAATGCAAACAAACAGTTAAAGAGCTTATTCAACGCTGGTAACTTCAAAAAGATGGTAATACATGACAAATACATCATGACACAAGTAATTGAGCGATAACATATAATTTAGCTTGTCACAATGACATACATTATGATTTTAAATGAGTTTTTAATGTTTAATGTGTTTATGACACCAAATTTACCATAATATTTTTTGATTGCATTATAAAGGCAATTCAAAATTAATTAAATAACTTCTTTAATGGAGTTATGTTATTTTATTTCTTTTTGGAGGTATGTAAATTTCTTGAAATATGCAAATGACATCGCTATGTAAAATAAGCCTGAATAAGGCGATTCTACTGAAGAAATTCCACTGAAGCCAAGAGCAGATCTAGGGTATGTGACTTAAAGCAATTAAGCGCAGTAACAAGTTTAATTTGTCAATATTTGGTTTTGCATTTCCTTTCAACTTGGCACAGAAAAAACAAAAAAAATTTTCATGTCTTGCATAATTGTGGTCACTGACTGTGAGAACAATAAATTTCTAAAGAAATGAATTATTGCTATCTTTTAGAATTTAAGTCGCTGGAGTAAATAGATTTCTTCTACAATAGTTCTACGATACTTTCATGCAGTTAGAAATTATCGTTATCTTTTATTTCGCGTTCACATAAAATTACTCCTTTTCGAAAAAAGTAAGCAATTTCATCTCAGCTATGGGTTAGCCTACCTGCTAACCGAAAAATAGATGAAAGTAATGTAATGCGTAACAAACTTTCTATGTAGATAATTTTACTCCGCCATTTCTTAATTGTATTCGGGAATTTTTTTGATATTTTAATCTTTTCACACTGCTGGTGAAAAGTACTTTACAATGGATCGTCACTTACGACATCATTTTTGTTTTTCATCTGAGTGGAATTTTTCTTCTATCTAAAACTCGTTTCCTACCTTTGAATAGTTGCTCATGCAATCATATTTCAAAACAAATTGAAAAAAGTGTTCATTGGCTGTTTCGTTATATAACCCCATGATATGTGAATAATTTTTTAAACTTTTCATAATGGAGCCTCTAAAAATCACTTTATTATTCTTTGGTAAAACTTTCCTTTTTATGCATTCTAGGCATGCATAACTGCCGGGAAGAGAAATTTTACACTGGGTATTTAATGTAATCATGCTCTAGATAATCTATTCCTGGTATGCTTAATTTCTTTTGAACCTGTGAACTAATCAAATCATATTAACCTGTATTATATTGTTGCCAATGAAGTGCCCGGCGGGAAACGGATTCTCAATATAAATATTAGAGCCCAACAAATAATTTTAAACATAGTCATAAACAATTTGGTTTTATGAAATTTATTGAAAGAGGGACGTTTCGTCTTTACTCAAGACATCTTCAGACTAATTAGGAAGTTAACAAGAATATAGATACATATAAAGCTATTTACATAGTTTGAGGTATCAGATTACTGTGAATGTGTAAGTGTGATGTGATGTATTGTGTGATGTAAGTGTGATGTATTGTTAGGGTGAGGTGTTGGGACTAGAAAAGCTTAAGAGGGATGGAGCTGTCTTGGGTGTTAAGTGAAGGTTTTAGTTTGGAGATGAGGAGTCTTTCGTGGATCATGTGAACGAATGTGTCGGAGCTGGATGAGATTATTTTAAAATCGTCTGGCAAAGCGGGTGGTTGGAAGAGTTTCTATGAAAAATGTAGCCATATACTTTGGGTATATGTCAAAGTACTACAACTTAAAAAGGCATTTCCCAAACAATTATTTCACAAATCAAAATATTTAGCACAAAAATATTTCCTCACAACCAATATAAGCTTCAACAAATCCGGGATTATGTTACCAGCAAGATGCTCGAACAATCATCTAGTAAGCAGCAATGATATAAAGGTATATATCTTTACTGTCAAACGTACGATTCTAAACAACATAGTGTATAGATATTAAACATATTTTAATTGACAAGGAGGTCTAAAGCCGTAATTATCGTTACCACGTATTTGGTAACGAAACATATAACGACTGCAGTTAAGGCTACAGCTAGAGTGGATGGGTGTCTATTTACATATTCAGTTGTACCCGACTGATTTCTATAGAAAGTCAAATTACTTTAAAAAAATCATTCCAGCACAAATGCTTCCCCCCTCGCAATTAAAGTTTTGTCTTCGGCCCTGCTGCCCTGGGTGAATATGATCAAAAATACAGATAACGGTTTCTTAGGAAAGTGTTTCCTACATTTCAAATTCCAGCCCCGTTACAATTTGTAAAGTATTGTCGTATTAATTTTGCTATGGCCTTCTAGTGCTTTCATACCGGATTTTGTTTTGGCCTTGAAAAACAATGACCGCCATAAATGCATGCTGTTAAGGGTTGAAAGAAATTGAACTGATGTAAATCAAAAAAAAGAGAGGCAAGGCCTATGTGTTTACTGAGAGGTAAGAAGAAATATAAGATTTTTGGACTGGTAACAGGAATATAATTATAGGATTATGGTTGGAAAAGGTTTTGGCATGGACATCTCGTGAGCACAAGGGACCAGATATAAAAAGTGCAAGGCTTGAAGATGGGAAACAGAAAACTAAGGGGTGTATTTTGAAGTCGTTGGGAGGAGCATAGAAATTTAAGACTTTCTTTAAAGGAAAGAGTTTTGCTATAACCGTATTTTAAATATCCAAAACAATTGAAAGAGATTCATGTGTTTAAAGTTGGAAATTGAAGGTACTGCGTATCTTCATAATAAATATGGTTATGCTCTATAAGTATGATGTAAATTAGACAATAAGAAGAAATCAAGAATTGAGGTAGATGTAGTACTCGGTAGACTTGTAGATTACTAATAAGAAGATAATGAACAAATTTCGAACCGAGGACACAAACATAGAAAAATAATTGTAAGAAGCAGGTATACATACCCCTAAAGAGAGGTGGAAAAATGCGCTAGATATAGAGAAATGAATATTACCTCAAAAAAAAGACAGATTACATGTTTTATCAAGTGATATCACACAGAAGTAATGATAGAGATATTCAACAGGATTAATAAGGTTACAAGAAGCAGAGAAGGATATAGTAGATGATAAGGACAGTAGAGGATAATGTTGATTTGGACATTAGTATTATAGAGTACATATAAAAGGTGTAGACAAATGTGTTCAAGAAAGTTTGATGTAGTCAATGAACAACAATGGCAATGAACAACAAAAATAATTGCACAAATTCTTGATACACTGAAAAACATTTTTGTTGCTTTTTCAAGATATAAGGAATCGAGCATGCATGAAAGGACTGAAGGTTTGTAACATTAGCTAAAACAGTTAAGATAACAGCTTCTGAACGTTAAGCTTTAAATACCATAAAACATAAAAATGCAAAAATTTGAGCAATAAAAGTTCAGTCGTCAGTTTTGTATTGATTCAACTCTGAGGGGGCTGAACTTCTTGGATCACAATTCGAGAGACTGAATTCCATCCACTGTAGGCATCTGCATTGGAATATCCGTGACAATTACCGACATAGAAACCAACATTAATAGTACCCTTATCGATGTAGCCACAATATCCCTCTATCTGACGATGACGATGGATATTCTGTGTACCTCTACCTTTCCATATGTAATAAACACCTTCAATTGTAGGATTACATTCTTTTCCATTGAATTTAAAATACCATCGCTTGCAACACCCGTCGCAGTTGTAAATACGGAGGTTGCCGGCGTAGAACACACGAAGATAAGTATTGTCACGTTTTTTCTTAAAACTGCATATCTAGAATACATCAAGCAAGCAGAAATAGTTATGTACATTGTAAGCACGCATGCGTGAAGTTCAACTACTGAAGCACTCCCAGTAATGAAATACATCGTGTTGAGTGAAATGCTGGGGATTCTGTTTGACGTGCGAGATGACGGGTTTTACAGAAAGTTCTCATTTCATCTAAACGTTCGTAGCGACTAGAGAACGTAAGTTAAATAACGTTTTAACAGTAAATTTGTGTAACTTTTTAACGATTAATGCAAGCCATAAAAACTCGTCGTAGAAATAGCCAGCTAAATTACAACTTTTTTTGCAATTAAAATATAAAAACAACAAGCTGTGAATTTTTCTAGTCCTCTAATTTCTAATAATTTTTGATACTGACATTATTCTCATTTCACGTTGCTTTTTTGTACGCTTTTTACGCTTGATACATAAATACTCTATGAACTCAATGATCTTTTGGGGACGGCGCGTCAAAGCTGTAAACGGCTATATTTTTCATTTAACGTTCTCGACAGGAATTTAACCGATGGATTTATATTACACTAGTATGACATACTCCATAAGTAAAGTCTTTATTAAATTTTTGTTCACTTCTAAAATTCTTCAATCACATTATTAAAACATCTACGTATATACAAGAACAAATACAACACAGTTTAACTCTTAAAAGAAAACAACATAAACCATAACAAATAATAAAGCAAAGCAACTTAAACTATGGCAAATTAGCACACTTTTTGTGCAATAATTTCTCTTTCGATTTCATACACTTTTAGTTATTGTGGGCTCACATTTACATAAATGATTATTTGGTTTTGCTTTAGATAAAAGTAAATAGGTAGGCTAGCTAAGAGAGAAGCAAAATTAAAATTATATAGAATAAAAATTATATTTTCAAGGGTCTTCATTGTTTACTAAATGTTCAACTGTTTTTTTAATAATGATACAAGTATTTACCTTTATAAGTCCATTATCTAGATTATCCTCCTTCTTCCATGTGCATTGCTTCCAGTTGGATTCAATATTATTTCCTGGAGCACCTACTTTACCAGAATCACCTTTCTTACCCTTTGCACCAGTCCTTCCCAGACTACCTTGGATTCCTTTGTCACCCTTCGCCCCAGATGGTCCTCTGATTCCTGGCCTCCCATCTCTTCCATCGGAGCCTCTGGTGCCTGGGACCCCATGGACACCAGGATTTCCAGGTGCACCAGGAATTCCAGGTGCAGCACAACAAGATGTGCATGAATTTAGCTTCTTTGAAATAGCTCTGGGCTCTCGCATTCTCTGGTAACGCATGAAAATAATGTGTAAATGACTGTCTGAATTTAGTTTCGTTTTCTCTGTGCTGAAGCTTAAGACTTTTTTAAGATTTTTTGCTGATAAGATTTTACAAATAACGAAAAAGAAGGTCCATGCTCGTGGTAGCTTTTTAACAACCTGAAAGTTTTTCGCAACAGTTGAACTCCGCTTGTCTCGAATCCACACTAAATTTGCATATTTTTTCCGAATAGTCAATTATTTATGATGTACTTTGTTTCGACCTGCTAACCGTGTCAGGATAGCAGTAATGAATTACAATATAAAGATCACATGAATATTTTAAGAGACAATTTAAAGCATTTATCTTTATTATACACCTGAAAATATTATTAAAGTATTTGCAAAATTCTAATGTATATTGCAATAACATATAAGCGCAATGCAAGTCATTGAGGATATTCAATAGCAACATTTACGGTAATCATGCATTATTTTACCATTCCCAATTGTGCAGCTTGACAGCTTGTTACGGCATACAAAGACCTAGATTTTATGATACTTTATAATGATGAACATTAACGGTTACGAGTAAAATGAGTGCAAAACATACATGTTTATTTAAAGTTAGATGAATTAGTGATTATAATAATGCATTCGTTTAACTTATACAAATTGTTTGTTATACGTGTTGTGTGATTACATAATTTAATATTTGTTGTTTTCACAAAAATGTAATTATGTTTGTTCACTAAATATTTTGGAGGAGAATTAAACTGCCTTACAATTTATAATATTTACATATTTGATTCCTTTCTCGGTGGTTGACTTCCTTATAGTTCCTTTTGTCTGCAGCAGCTCGATAGTGGTTTTACGAGATATTTAAACATAAATATTTGATTGAAGTCGGAGGACTATCACATAACGGACAATAGCAGATCTAGGCACCGTATAAAACAAAAATTTGTAAATGTTGAAGAAATTTTGTGCGTGTTTTTGTTGAAATATTTAGCAATTTATGAATTATATGTATTACAAAGAACTTTTTTTATTGTAATATACAATATCTACTAGACAATTTGCAGTTTCAACAAGCTTTTGTTAATAATATTGCAGAGTCCAGTGTAATATATTTTGGTAGTCTGATTCTATGAGCAGAGTCTCATCCAGACGAATAGGACGATGGCATTTGTGTTTAATGCTTGCGTTTTGCGTTTTGAAATAACTGATGCGATTAAGGCAATTATTCACCTAAAAAGCTTTTGTGGTTTGAATTATGTAAATTACACTTTGGTATATCCGTTTCTGATTCATGTATACAATTCTTCTCAGTATATATTTAAAAAGTTGGATTTATTTTGCATGCAAGAATCCAAATATTCGTTACAATTATCGATGTTGTTATCTTCCTCATTCAAGTATATTGCTGAAAGGAACAAGCATGCTCCTAATTTTAGGCGGAAGTATGCTAGTTAAATTGGCGGGGGCCTTTTATGACGTTGATTGTTTGTGCTGAGACGGTTGCCCAAATTTGTAACATTTCTAAAGGCGTTGAATTAATTAGAGCAGAATAGCACTCTATAATATTACAATGATTTCAAACTTGAAATAGTTTTATTAATGAAGCATAGTGTATCGTGAAAAGTTATAGTACTGTAAAAAATACATTGAGAATCGAAAGCTGTAAACGACAACACCCATCTCCCAGTGGTGCATCTCTTACGATTTTTACCAATTATTTTAAATTTCAATCCAGCGTATTGCAAGAAATGATTGCATTTGTAGTACTTCTACGAGATAACAAAAATTTCTACAACTAGTCAATGTCTTAAAGCCAACACATAAACAAATGATGTAGTGTATTTTATTTTAAAGAAGAATACGTGCACACTTATACGAATTTTAACAATCAAGACACTTTAGTTTTGAAGTTATAAACTTAGTTGACTGTTATTCCGTTTATGATTTGCAAATTGAAAAACACACCATAACCTACTATTGTTAGCATTGAATACGTACAGTTTCATCTTGAATTTCCTCATTACATTCAGCCAAATACACGCACAAGGCCATGACCCAACATAACGTAACTGGTGCAGCAACTTTCATCATTTAGTTGAAATTAAATGTCGTTTTAACCTTAAGGAGAAGTGGACAACAGAAAAGTTTGAAGAACTTGTACGTAGCACTGTTTGTCTTCGATTTGAACGGAATAATGAACAAGTGGCAGATCCTAGCTGAGACAAAATAAATTTTGGCCGCTAATTTGAAATTTAAAATACTTCTATACGGACATCATTGGTAATACAATTACAAAGAATAAAATTCAACCAATCGATGGGCTAGATGGAATTTATTTGTATACAAGTGCCTGGAACGAGCGCTTTTTTGCAAACATCACTGAATTTTAATTAATCAAATTTCTATGAGAAATAAAGTAATTTTAATGACTTGGAAAACGTGGAATATTTTTGAGTGACTGGACAAAGATGTTGTAGGTAAAACAATCCAGATATTTTTAAAGATTTCATTAAACTATCTTCCACACTACATAGGTGTGATAAACTCGAAATTGGAGCATTTTTTATTTTAATTTAGCTTTAAGGTCTACAATACGACGTACATACCAACAACGAAACCATAAATCAACGAATCGTTTGTATTGTGAACAGAAACCCCTTTTTCTTCAATCGCTTATTTTGAGTGAAATATTTCCTTATATACCTCCTCAGTTAATATTTAATGCCAAAGAATTAAGCCCAACTTCACACATTCATTGCCATCAACTCACTCAACTGATGCTAGGAAAGCAACGAATTGATTTCAGTTTTGCTAGCAACAACGGTTATCAATCTTTTATCGATCTTTTGATGACCTTTTGCTTTGTGCAATATTTTTAACCAAATAAAGGAAGTAGAAGTTTCGATTCTTCTGAAAAAGCGTTCTGAAACTTAGCAAACCTTTGCAGCCACATACACATGCTGAGGATACAATAAGCAGAATGATAGTTAAGTCCTGTTGATGCTCTTTTAACAAATTATCATGTACTCTTAAATCTTAAATCTCTTAAATCTTATAAATCTTAAATCTTAAAAACTCATACATCTTATCTATTGACGAATGATGCCCCAGAAAAACCGTTCATGGATTTGGTTTATTGCCTAAAGTTGTTTTAAAAATCATAAGATATAGATGAATGACTATGATAGTACGTACATTCGTTAAGTAAATTTATGAAACTTCTTTCAACAAATGAAGAAATGGAAGATCTTGCAGAAATTTTTTTAACTATCACGAGTTGCATAAATGGTTTAGGGAAATAGATACCATACATATGTTTTGCATTACTCTAGACTAACCACGAAGACAATACTCGGTTGACACTCACACTTTTCCTGTACACATAATACGATGACGTATGAACCAGACATATGAATACAGCAATAACTCTAAAGCTGACTACCGCTAAGTTTGTCGAAACGTCAGTCAACATCAACACCAACAGTCCTTCTCAGGACCACACTAACCTGGACGATCTACATTCACAATAATATAACATGTTGATATTCCTATTAGCAATAATTAAACGTGTTAACATAAACACGCCATTAAATTGCTCCACAAAGACTGCAGCGAGACTGTAACTTTTGGAGTTTCCTCTTGAAATCTTTTTCAATACGTAAAAAGCATTAATTTATCGTACTGCTGTCGCACTATATATGCCATTGACTCAAACTTTGTCTTACTACATTATCAATATATGATATTTCTTGGAGTTTTTGATCTTCATCATTAAAAACTACACTCAAATATATATTTTTCGTTCTTTGAAATGAAGAGCAGATTGCCATACTTTTTTCGTATTTTTTCACATGATAATGCTAATGACTGTTTAAAGTGTGATGAACATTTAAAGTGCACATACAGCCTTTCCAAATTCGTTGAACTTTTAAAGTTTAGACTATGGAAAATATGATTTCGAAGAAAATTTCGTAAAAAGGCAGGTTTTTTTTGCAGTTTGAATTAGCATGCTTTTGAGAAATTTCCGCGCCTCTGAGGGGACTTAAGTCGAGAGGTTTGTGACGTAATTTAAGGAACGTATGAATGCGCTGCATACAAAACAACACAGTGTGAAATAACAATTCTTTATATATTGCTTTGAAATTAATATAAAAATTGTACGAAACATGTCGACATCCGATTCTGAGTCGAGTACAGCAACAACAGCGGAAAATATTGAATTGAGCAGGCGGGAATTCGATTTAGAAGACGAAGAACAATCGTCATCAAATGTGCTCCGAAACACCGATGGCGATTTTGAGTACGGCCAAGTTGCAGCGTATGATCATGAAAACGAACCACTTGCTGGTGATGAGTGGTTAGAAAAGTATAATAGAGAGACAGAAGAAGAAAGACGCCAAACAGAAGAGCTCGAACGCAGAGTGCAAAATGAGTTCCTCTTGATTCTTGGTAAGAAAAGTTGGAAAATTTAATTATTGTTGCTGAAGCTTTTGACAGATAACTTTCTTAGGTGCAATTGTGGTAACTGCCGTGTTCCTCTCTTGGTTAATCCAAAAGAATGTAGATGTTGCCACGAAATTACCAATTGTATGATTGAAATGCAAGATCATATAGTGGTATCCGAATTAGGAAGACAGCCAAAATGCATCACAGACCATCCAGGATTTGATGCTATTTACCTCAATCGATGGGCATTAAATTTAGATGCCAATCTTTACCAAAGATGAGATGCAGTTAGATAACGTAAAGGATTCTTGGAGCAAAGGTTTGTTAGAATTAACAGTTAAGTGCTTGTGTCTGGATTATCTATGAATGCACACTTGCAAAATTTGTATTTTATGGACTCCTGACTGTTTTGATGGACCTTGTGCATTATGCCTTTCCCGGTTTTTTCAAGTTGTTGCATATAGACAATTTACAAGAATGGTACATTGCATTCTTCGAGATAACTTTTAATTTAAAAAAAATGAACACTTTTCAGGATATGAAGAGGACAATTTGTAAAATAACATAACATTATATATTATTGTAGGTGTTGTGTGCATGAACCCAGCTAGTATGGATTCAGTGAAGTGTGGAATGATTTTAGCTACTCTTGATGTATTGCATCTTCAATTCACACTTATTCTTGTTTTTCAAAACGTACAAAATTACAATTCCTTTTCTTTTTATTCTTTCCATGCAGTCATTTCACACTTCACTGAATCCCAACTAACTGGGCTCATACCACCAGCTCCTAAAAAAGTGGTTACTTTTGGTTTTTTGGACAGTTAATTATATTTTTATGGCCTTTCATCCAATTCTTGCACACAGTGCATCAAGGTGCTGCCCTCTCATTTCTCTGATCAGTGATTTTTTCTTGGACAGGTGATACTTCAGCTATATGAAACAATAAAGTGAGTCAGTTCCAAAAACAAGATTCAAATTCACTCAAAGCAAAAAATGAATTTTTGTAAAACCTGGCTTGGTTGGGGGAACATGTACAGCTGGCATGCTTTGTCTTCTTGCTTTTTTTGAGATAGGTTCACTTTTTGATTGCTTGTCCAACATGGAATTCATTGGCAATGCAGTCATTCGTAATAGATCAACTTTGGCTTTTCTCAATGTTTCCTCATCAATGAGTGCAGAGCACAACACTTGATATATATCTTCAACATACCCTGGAGGAGCAATGTGCAAATTATTCAAAATTTTATTTTATAATAATCATTTTTATTATGGCTTTGACTATTATGGCATTTAACACATGATATCAGGCAGTAGGAGAAATGTATTAAATAACCTTACCAAAATCCTGAGCAACTTTTGCATTTCTTACAACAGCTTCACCATTTTTAAATTTTGAATAATGCACTTTAACCTGGGAAACTCCAGTTAAAGCTGCAAACATCTTATTGTATGATATAGAATTTAAAGACAAGGCAATGAATAAGAGATTATTACACACAGAATATTTCTTTTTAATAGCAACAAGAATTGTTTAAGATTTTTTATCTTCATTTAGCCAATTGCATGGTTTTATGTTGGAATCCTGAGCACATTTGTCAAATAAAGGGTCTGAAAATCCATTGTGTTGGTTTTTGACATGACCAAGGAAAGATACTTAGCCACAATCACATTTCCATTACCAGAGGATGTTGATGTAGCACTCCAGTACAAATGGTTGGAATAAGGTCTTATACAGCTTGAGAAAGACTCACATCAAGCACATGCTGCAAGTTTGGTCAGGACTTTGGTCACTTCTAAGATGAAATATAAAATATGTTTTAGATAAACACTTCAATTGTTGATGCCAGTAAAAGTAGTAAATTGTATACTAGCTATATGTTCAATTTTTGCTTTATAAAGTACTGTTTCGTTAACTAAAAAAAAAATCATTACTTTTTGTCAAATGCCAAAGGTCAAAGTAGAGGGTAATACTTGGACAATTCTCTCTCATATGTTTGGCAATTTGTGTGTGCCTGTCAGTGATTAACATGGAGATTGGAATATTGCGAGATTTAAGAAAATCCATTGATCTTTTAAATCCCTCAAACTCCATACCAGTGCTATTTCCAACTTCATTTCTCTACAAAATAGCAAATAGGTAAATAATTTTGAAGAAGAAAATCACATAATTCAAAGAAATGTACCTGCAAAAGAGAAAAACTAATGATTTGAGGTACTGTACAACAGAATGTTGTATATGCACAATATTTAGCACTATGTAATGGAATCGTGTCTTCCATCTCCAGGAATTGCAATAGGCTGTTTACAGGCCATCTCTTTCTCTATCAAAATGTCTTGGTATTTTTTCAAGTAGATCACCAATGCAGGATACAGTTTTTCCTACACAAAATTTCAAAAACACTTTTAAGCTTTTCATTTAATTTTAGTAATTTCCTTACATCTTTCTTTTACACTATCAGATAAGTCTTACATACACCCTGGTGAGAGAAGTACGTACTCAATGAAATGCATAACAATCCCATGTGCTGTATGAAATGCAATAGTAGCTATCAATAAATACAATTACATACTGGCACACTAGTTTTGTTTAACTTTGATTTATTTAACAATCACCACTATTTTAACATTGTAATGGTGATTGATAAATTACAGTTCTCATCCAAAAATTGTTACCTTTTAAATGTTCTTGGCTACTCTGATTCAGAGTCAACATCCATGTATCACTAGATGTGATTATCTCTTCTGTCTCAGTCTCATAACTTTGTTCAGCACCAAGATCACTCTCTGAGTCTGAGTCACCACTAAGATCATTGGGTCCAAAACCTCCTCAGCAGGACAACTATCAAGATCAACCACTTTGCTACTAGTTGACTATTCTTCATTGCTGCTGTTGTTGTCATACTCATCTATGAAATAAGATACTTCAGTTATGGGCAGCTACACAAGTTTGATTAAATCCATATTTCTTAGTAATTAACTTCAATAATTTTCTGCGGGTGCATGTAAGCTTACTTGGTAGTATTGTAGAAATTGAGGTTATTAAACATGGCTGATCCTATTATGTTGGCAAATCTTCTCTTGACCTAGAATCATACATGAAATAAAATTAACAGGCCCATCATCTTAAAAAACACTTACCCACTAGTAGTATAGTACATGTGGGTAGGGGATCACAAAAAGTTCACTTTTTGTTATCCCATACGCCCCATGTACTATACTACTTTTAACCGTGGGTAAAAACTATCTTTAATAACAGCGCAAAATAAGACCATGGTTCAAAAGGCGTCCCTCAGCAAAAGGTCATGTAAAAAAGCTGTGTAAAAAATAGTCATTGTTTCAAAGGGGGGTAAAAACTATCTTTAATAACAACGCAAAATAAGACCATGGTTCAAAAGGCGTCCCTCAGCAAAAGGTCATGTAAAAAAGCTGTGTAAAAAATAGTCATTGTTTCAAAGGGGTAAAAATCTCAAGGTTACAATCTATCGTTTAAAATATGGAATCTATATGTTTTTGAAATATATAGGTGCGTTTAAATTTTACAAACGGTCTTTACAAACAAATGTTAAGAAAGCATCGTTTCGGAGGGCATCCGGCAGCGCAGATTTTAGCGTAGCTAAAATTGAGCAGGGGAATGGGATGCCCGAGACTTCTGGAACCCAGGTGGGGAAAATTTTTACGAAGTGAAAATTCGGGGTTCCCCCGTACATTCGATGAATATTCGAAGAATATTCGAGAATAACAGAGGCTTAAAAAATGCTCTTCAAAAAACCGTCTTTAATAATCAAGTGTTAATAATCAAGTGTTATTAAAATATCAGTATCAGCGATAGCTGGTTTTTAGCGGGGGCGCGTGTCTTAGTGCATGTTTTTAACAATGGTTGTTTAATGTAGATAGCACATTTCATCAGCGCATGTATAATAATACAATGTTTTATAAATATCAGTAGCAGCGCGCTTTATAGTCTACGTGGTATATTTGGCAGACTAGTGGCCTTTAACAATGGTCTTAAAACTCAGCGCGTGGTAGAAATATTCTTTAATAATCAAGTGTTAATAAAGCATCTTTTTAAATCGTTGTTAGGGGCGAAGAATTTCAGGCAACTAAGCCTGAAATTTTGAGCGCAACAATGTCATAGATGCTCTTTACAAAAATATGGAATCTATATGTTTTTTTAATTTGTCTGTCAAGTGCGTGTCACATGTACATGGTTAACAATGTTTTATATAATTTTTGTTAAAAGTGTTTTTACTAATTGTTTCAGGATTTTGAATCTTTTTGTATATCGCTTTTGTATTAATTACTTGTTACATACAGTTATGTGATATGTAGTCAAACATGAGGAGCAGGTATGTATGATTTTAATCTAACAGAGACCCCGCGCTACATGCTTACTACACATTATAACTGTTTGTTAATATTTAGTTATTTGAATTGATAAGATAATGACCATAAGCATAACTTTTACATCCATTAGCTAATATGTACCGTTTATCATCAAAACAACTTAATGATACTTTATTAATTTCATAACTACTAAGTTGGTGGTTTACACTTCTAATAGTTTTCATTGTATGATGTATTTGTTTCTTTTCAAATAGTGTTTGTTTATAGTCTTCATGTTTTATTTTGTTTTTAATAATATTTTTTTTAATTCCTTTAGCTTTTTTATCTCCTTTATTATTATCTTTAATATAACTATACATCTTGCTTCTTAAACCAACAAATTCTTTAACTACTATTCCAGCGGCTTCGTCTTTAAATTTACCAATGACTTTTTTATTCGTCTTATCATGATATTGTGAATTTTCTGGGTAATCACTAAAATCAAATTTATCTTTATCAGCCCAAAAATCTTTATAAGCATCTTCAGTTTCTATTTCATAACAGAGAGAATCGGTATCAGTGAATAATAATTTAGCTTTATCATCGTATTTCTTCTTGATATAGTTGTAATGGAAATCATATATCAAAGTTTTACTTAAATCTAAAATACACATACCTACATATGCAGGTCTGTTAAGGGTTAGTGTTTCTTTGATCTTATGCACAGCTACAAGGTTCTCGTTAAAAATTTTACTACTTACATAAGTAGGTTTTGAAACTAATTTTAATAATTTATTTTTATTAGTTACTAGTCTAACATCTACTCTTTTTCGTAAGTTTTCCATTGTCTTACCAAAAACACTGTTATTCATGAGTTTGAAGAAGTCTTTTTCAAAAGAATTTTTTGCATTAGTTCTTTTTTGAGTGTTAAAGTCTATGTATTTTTTCAACCATGGAGATTGATTAAATTCAAGTACTCTATGTACTTTTTTTAATTTTAACCCGAGATCTAAGTATAGTTGAAGATTTCTATAATGCAGCACATACTTATCTTTATTTTTTAAAGTAGGTATTAATTTTGAAACTAAACCTGTTGATATATTGTAATTAGAAGCAATTGTCTTACAATATTTTGACAGCATGTTGCTAGTGACCTTAATTTTTTCGGGTGCTAGTGGATAATCGTTATGTAAATTATGTAGTTCTTCAGGGTATTCTAAATCAACTTCTAAAATTAGACCTTTTTTATTATCTTCTTTATATGTGGCTAAATTTATGTTGTTAATCTGTTTATTAGTTAACCATTTGAAACCACCAGTTGGTAGGTATTGTGACATAGCCCATCCATATAAATTGTTTGCATCAAGATACATTATATATTTTGAGGGTTTATTCTTATCAAATGTTTCCATATACTTGTTATTAGCCTTACCATATCGGTTAGAAATGTAAGAAACACCTCCTCTCATACCCTTTTCGATGAATTGAAACATGTCAATATCAGTCATTAATTCTAATTTAATATCTGTCATCTTCAACATAGCATCCCAGCTTAATCCCGGACTCGTGAAATAATGACATGGGTCTAAGTTATAGTATTCAAGACATGTTTTTCGAAAGTTTTCAAATACATCAGCTAATAACAAAACGTCTGATTTTAAATACAAATCGTGGTAATCACCCATGTTTTTGAGATTGAATGTATTCCAAACATTTTGAGCATGATTGTATTGTTCATCTGATATATTCTCATCAGTAAGAATACTATAAAAGTCTTTTTTTGAAGGTAACCCCTCATAAAATTTTTCAAAGCTATCCATATAATCATATGGGTATATACCTTTTTTAGTCATTAAATTAAGTTTTTCACCTTTAAACTGATTAGAGGTATATTTAAATGATTCTTTAGGTAAATTACTAACAAGCTTTTCAAGACTAGAGCTCATAAATTGAAAACTATCAAGAAATGTTAAATGGTTACCTAGCATGAAAGCCATATATTTTTCCATGTTATTAGGTTTAGCATTTATATTCATTTCAATTTCTTCTCCTTTTTTGTTTTTGTATGTATGCTTCTTAACAATAGCTCCGATTTCTTGCATTATGAAGTGACTATCATATCCACGTAGATTGTGAAATATTACTGGGATCTTTAATTTATCAGAGTCTATTCTAAGTTTTAAATTGCAATCTTGATGTGCTGAGCCTCTGTATTTACCAGTGATATGACAATGGTCTTGAACTCGAATATCTTTCTTAGTGTATTTTTTGTTACAGATATGACATTCATCAGCTTTTTTAAATTCTTCTTCATCATCAGAGGTCATTTTTAATGGTTTATTAAAGTGGTTTTTCATAATATTTTTACAATATTTAACTTCTTTTAACATAGCTTCCATAAATTTGTAAACAGCCTTTTCACCTCTATATAGTTTAATTGGTTTTGTGAATTTATTATCATAACAACAAACAACTTTATATCCATAGCCACAGTCTGTATGTTTCTGATAGGCTTCTGTATATGATTTTTTATTATTTTGAT